GGATGGAAAAAAGAATTTGATTTGCTTCGTTTAGGAATAGAAGATATGTTACAGATATGATGTAAATTATAAAAAATTCAAAAACTTATTCAGATAGATGTGAACCAATGCCATTTTAAGTGGACCTTGCATTTAATAAGTATTTAATCTGTAAAGATTTTTTTCTTCATTTATCTAATATCGTAAACTATATAAGTATTGTATACGCTGACCACATTGAGTGATAAAACTTGTCTTTCCTGTTCTTTTATTGATAAACATTTATGTATTTATTTAGTATTATCACATAATTTAAATATGTTCTAAGTTCTTGAATATGTATGATTAACCAAAATCTTATTCCGTTTTGTATGCTAGAATTTTGCACTTGGACTAAGTACAAATTATCTGAACCCGTATCTTGTTTTTTTGCCTGTCTTTAGATACCTGTCTTGTTTTAAATTCACAGGTACTAGCAATTAAAACGGTATCTGGCCTCAAGATCTATCTTTAGCTGATAGATTTATCGTATGACCAATTTTTTAGCTGGATTGTAAATATATATATTGTTCCATGTACACATGTTTTTACTTTTGTGATGTAAATGTGCAATAGTGTGTATTTTTATTCAATAATGTTAATGACTTTTAGATATTGTACAACGCCATTGAATATGAATATGTTTGTACGTAGAAATAGATATTTAAACAATTTTTTAAGTTTCAAATTTTCACACTTAGATATAAAATTATAAAAATTGATGAATAAGTAATAGAGTCAACAAACCTAATTTATACCAATGTGTTCATAAAATCGTTATCATTTACATAATTAACTATTCTAAAACGAATAAAATAAAAGTATGTCCGATTTACTGATAGGAAAGATGACCATAAAATATGGAAACGTACAATTCTCAAACTGTTGGTGATCTTACAGTGTTTTTCACTTCCAAAAAATCTTCACAGATGTATGAATTTATACACTTTACTTTTGTAAAGGTATTGCTTGATAATCATCCAGTAAATTTGTTTGGGAATGATTCATAGATTATTGATGTAAGATTGACAGATCTGTATTATCACATGTAATGATATTTTACCTTGATCCACTTACATCGATGATTTGACTACCCATTAGCTATTTTATAAATTGATATATCTGACGATAGATGCCATAAAACTGTCTGATTCACCTTATTGTACATAAGAAACATGCCATAATGAAGATTGTAGATGTTCAAATTTGATTTTAATTTGCACGATTGTCTCGTGGCACTAAATTCACATCAACTTCCTGGCAATATCATCATATAAATAGTAATAAAACAAGCACTTGTAAGTTGTAGATCACATCTATTATTCATTTAAAACTTTTTCTCATTCATTCACTTTACTATCATTCTAAACAAATCAGATGAGAACCAACGCCAAGAAATAAAATAAACGTTAGCTGCTAGTGAACAAATCACAACGAAAGTTTTTTTTCTATTTCAAATCCTATTCTGATTCACCCTATTTTACTGTTTTAAATGTAAACACATTTTATTTCTTACAATGTCTTCAGTTGAAAATTTATTGAAGATTTTCACAGTAGAAATATTATTGATGAGGTTTGTTTTCAGCCTTAAATTTCTTAAACATGGTTCACAATCTTTTAACGTGTTAAAGCAACTGTTCGAACGCAATAATAAAACTGTAGTTAAACGTATATAAAATATTAAAATCTTTTGAAATTAGGCGTGTATAAAGCAGACGTGAAATTAGTAAAATGTGTCGTATGATAACTACGAGACATCAAAACTTTGTCATCCTGAAGTATAAAGAAGGGTAAAAACTATTGATGAAGATTATTCTGATTGGATCAAATTAAATCTAGCTCATAATGGGTTTGTTACGACGCATTATAAGTTTTATGGCTGATAGATATAAACATGTTCATATAAACATGTTCTCAAAGAATAAAAGATACTTCTCAAGTTCAACATTGCAAAGTTTGGAGTTGAATTAATATAAGTCAATTTCAGTATTTGCTTAGCGTAATTAAATACATACCACATATGCCTTTGAGTAACAGTAAAAATACCATCCCTCATAAAAAACATTCAAGCTAACGTCTCAGGAATAACACAGTTTCGTCGGGATAATATTTCTTCTGGTACCCCAAAACCTATGTATTACTTATATAATGCAGGTTCTATTACTTCATTACACCGGTTGACCATTCATACAGTGAGACCTGCCTCTACTCAGCTAATTTTCTTTTTTCAATATTCCTAACATTTGAATAAAATAGATAATTTGGAATTGCATTAAAATCATTGAAATATAAAAAAAAAATCTTTTGGAAAAAAAGGACGTTTAGGAGAAAAAAGACTGGATTTATTTGTAAAAAATAACTTGAAATTGCGTTATTAAATCTTAATATAATTTGCGAATCCAAGGCTTTGTTTCCAGAATTTTGTATTATAGTTTAGAGACCTTCCTATTGAAAATGCGTATACCCATACTACTCGTACAAACAGGGTGCATGTAACTAAATAGCGTCGAATATTTTTCTTGGTGTGTCTTTTTCAATAATCCTATTACGAAATGGAACTAAAACTGTTTATTCATCTCACATTTTGTCTACAATAACATTTTGACAGATTTAAGTGATTTTTTAGCCTGTAGTGCTCCTCTTTCAGCTAATTCATTTATCACTTAAAGAATGACACGTAGGTAAACAAGTAAGTCTCTGTCCGCAAGATACTGATAGTGTTTCTTCTAAAATTTAATACCCGACACTTTCCTTAACCCCCCCCCCCCAAAAAAAAAAAAAAAAAAAAAAAAAAAAAAAACTATAAACATTGTTCAGGTTCTATATTTTTCAGAAGAAAAAAAAAACACACCAAAAAACAACAATCTGGTAATCTGTCCGTAATGCACTTGGATAATTCTAAAGTGATGACGTAAAGTTGGCTTTGGTTAATCTTGCAGAATGATGGAAATTACAGATGCATTGCTTAACATTATAAATGAAAAGAAAAAATTCTAATGTGCCTTGAGCATTAGCGATTATAGTGCAACAGAGTATTGACATATTTAGATTTTCTCTTGATAAACATTATGTAAATGAAAAGGCTTTTTTCATGATTAATGGTTATTGTAAATAAACAGTTTGATGGAAAAATGTACAAGTAAGCTTTAGACACGATAGGGAATAAAAGAATATGCATGTAGTCTGTCCCGACTGTAAACTGTTGCCTGGACAATTTCAAATTTTCATCTTGATATTTATTAATTGATAATTTTATAATGAACGGTTCTATAAATAAAGCTGGACAATTTGCTTTTAAAATTACAGCAGTTTAAGGGATAAGAATAATAAAAAAATAATCTTATATCGATGATGAGACTATGAAGAATGTGTACTATTTTATATAACAAATGATGTGATGTCCATTGTTTTAATTCTAATATATCCTGATATCGTAAGATACATTATAAACAAGATAAAACGCTCCTAACAAAAACATTTTAATGACGAGAAACAGAATATACTAGAATATAACATGATTTTATTTTAAATTGATACAATGTACGATACAACAGAATAGAGAAAAACGGAATCCCTAACCAAAAACGACAGAATTAAAAATGTTGCAGACTTGGTTTGATTGAGCCTGTTCATGGACAGTACTGGAAAAGAAAAAATAAGAATCCCTAAAGAAGGTCAAAAATGGCAAAATTGAAAATGTTGAAGGCTCGGTTTGATTGAGCCTGTTCATGGATGGTACTATCAAGTACAAACAACCGTCCACGCCCCTTAGCACCAGTTTAAGAAGAATTCAACATTTAATCATGGTAATGGAAAATTTTGAATTTAGAACCAACCGCAGAAGTGTTCAAAACTTACAATATACCTAATAAATGAGTTAACGTTTTCAAAATTTGTTAAGAATTTTTCATAATTTCATGAATAACATTCTGTGGTCTTAGATGTATGATTTCCGTACATCTTTTCAGTGTTGTTATATTTTTCTGGTCCTTCGGGATCATTGAGTTCAGAAGAATTGAGAACCGCACAACCCGGTGCTAGGGGGCGTGAGGGATGTTGTACTCTTCCATTATCCCTCATGTTACAGACTCAATCAAACCGAGTCTGCAATTTTCATGTAAATTTGCTGCTTTTAATGTTTCCGAGGGATCACTTTTTACAAGATATTTCTAAAACACTGTTCATTATTAGCTACCAAAATTGATGATATAGCGTTTTTTATCGTAATACATATTTTACAATCTCAAAGCATTGTTTACTTTGTTTGAATTCTTTCATCAATATATACTATATTCATTAAAAAGATATTTGAACCTTTAAGGCATATTCCAAGCTATTTTTAACAGTTTAAGATTGTAAATTAAGAAACATAAATAAAATTCAAAGCTTTGAATGAAATAAATATACATCAAGGGTACTTTTGACGTAGACATTTTTTACATACTTTATCAACGTATTTTTGATATATACATTAAAATAGTTCATAGTTTTCTTTACTAATCAAAGGGATATAAGGCTGCATTCTTCACTGAATAGCTTATATTGAAATTATATGTTGTTATTGAAGATAACGATCAATCTAATAAAATGGTCTTTACAGAGATTTGCTTGCATATTAAAAACTAATCCCATCAAATGTTGCTAATTTGAAAGTGAAAAGTCAAGCAAATTATGTTTTTGAATACAACAATAAACGCTTTTTAAGTTCATGTTAGTTTAGACTTGTAAAGGTTATTATAATGTTAGATTTCGGTGCATCTTGAATGTATTTTGTAAAAAGCCCGAGTGAAACTTTTAAGCATCAAAATCGCTTGCTTTGTACAAATGCCGGCAATATCAGCATTTAGATCTCTAAATTATTCATTATATGCTATCAAATCAAAAGTGGTTTTAGATGTAATTATTCTACTGACTCCTCCCTAATCCATCTCACTGACCATGTAAAAAGTCAAACTTCTAAAGGACTGCTCACCGGTATGATTATGTTAGATTTACAAAAGGCGTTTGACACTGTAGACCATGACATCTTGTGTAGAAAGTTACAAAAAATGGGTGTGGAGTCAGTAGAATGGTTTCAATCTTATTTAACTGGTCGTAGTCAAATTGTAAATGTAAATAATACTATGTCCGAAGCTATGAATATTACATGTGGTGTTCCTCAGGGAAGTATATTGGGTCCTCTATTGTTTCTATGTTATGTCAATGATATGAGTATTAGTATTAACAAAAAATGTAAGCTTATTCTTTATGCAGATGATAGTGCAATTTTATATTCACATAAAGATCCAGATGTTATTTGTAATGTTTTGGGTAAGGAACTAGAAAATTGTAGTAAATGGCTTGTTGATAATAAGCTATCATTACATCTTGGTAAAACAGAATGTATTGTTTTTAGTTCTAAGAGGAAATTGTCAAAACTAGAGCAGTTTAAAATACACTGTAATAATCACACCATACAATCTCAGCCATCAGTAAAGTATCTCGGTTCTATCTTGGATAATGATCTCTCAGCCACTTCTATTGTTGATAATATAGTACAAAAAGTAAACTCTCGATTAAAATTTTTGTACAGACAAGGCAACAGTTTGAATATGGAGCTAAGAAAACTATTATGTAACTCTTTAATACAGTGTCACTTCGATTATGCCAGCTCATCTTGGTATAGTGGCCTTACTAAACAACTTAAACATAAACTTCAAGTAGCACAAAACAAAGTTGTTCGTTATATTCATGGTTATTCCTCTAGAAAATCATTGAAAGTTATTGATTTTAGCAGTATTGGGTGGCTTAATATAGAAAATAGAGTCATGCAGTTAAGACTTAATCATGTACACAAAATATTTAATAAAAAGTGTCCATCTTATATGTATGATAACTTTTCTTTAAAGTCTGATGTTCATTGTTATAATAGTAGAAACAGTGTCGGGAACTTTCATATACCCCATGTTAATAGTTTTTACAAAAAGTACATTTTTTTACCAGGGTATTAGGGATTGGAACATGCTCCCACTTGATATTAAAAAGGAAAGTAACTTTTTTAACTTTAAAAAGAAAGTAAAAGCTGAACTAAGCAAAAATATGAAAACAATTTGAACAAGCTGATTTTATTTTTTATTAGTTTTAGAGATAATTGTTTTAATCAATATAGTATGTTTTATATGTATCTTGTGATTGGTTTTGTGATATATATAAATAGATATCTTTCATTGGTGTGTTAACTAGTCATATTCATAGTATTATTCCTGCAAATATGTGATATATGTAATTAACATAATGTGCAATAGAAATTAATGTTATTTGATCTTAGAAATTTAACATCAGTCCAGTATATCATCTCTAAGTATGGACCTGAATGCCAGTTCTCAAGAAAATATATTCTTTACCATCAAAGGACCCCATTGGAAATAAGTTCTCTATTTTATATTGAACTTTCATGGGTTATCATGTGTTGTATATATTGTCTTGAAGTCAACAAGATCTTTGATTTAATTATGAATGTAAAGTTATTATTTTTCAATTAATTACTGTGTTAAAAACAATGTGATAGATATAACTGTGATAAATTGTCTTAATTTGTTTTGTAATATGACATATATATATACACAAATAAATCAATCAATCAAAAAAAAAATTCGATGTTATAGCGTTTTTAATTGTATTACATATTTTACAAACTCACAGAATTGTTTGCATTGTTTGAATTCTTTCGTCAATTATGCTATATTCATAAAAAATATATTTGTTCCTTTAAGGCATATTCAAAGCTATTTTTAACATTTTAAGATTGTAAAGTAAGAAACATGAATAAAATTCAAAGATTTGAATGAAATTTTGCATCAGGGGTACTTTTGATGTAGACATTTTGTACGTAGTGTAATAAAGATTTTTTTCTATCCTTACATTAAAATAGTTCATATCAAAAAGATATAAGGTTGCATTCTTCATTGAATAGCTGATATAGAAATTATATGTTGTTTTTGAAGATTACGATCAATCTTATAAAATGGCCTTTCAAGCGATTTGATGCATATTTAAAACTTATCTTTTCAAATGTTGCTTATTTATAAATGAAACGCCTAGCAAATTATGTCTTTGAATACAACAATATTGGCGTATTTGTAAACGCTATTTAAGTTCATGTTAGTTTGTAAAGCAAATATATTGGTATATCTGCAATGTATTTTGTTACAAGCCCGAGCGAAACCTTTAAGCATCCAATTGCTTTGGTTGTACAAATGCCAGCAATATTAGCCTTTAGATCTAGATCTATGACCTTTCTTGATTCAAAATCAAAAGATACAGTCACCCATAAACAAAAGGAATTTGTCATGACATAAACATGCTTCAATCAATTAAATTTTTAACTAATTTACTTTCAGAGAGGTAGATGGCGTGTTATATCCTGGTATTGTTAAAGAAAAACAGGAAGCTAAAAAGACATACGAGAAAGCTAAACGAAAAGGACAGTCTGCTGGACACATATTTTATAAGTTTGTATTTTACTTCACAATGCCATTATTTTATCACTTTTCGATTCAAACGTTGACATCGATTTAAATGACGCAATTTAGTCATATGCTGAATTTATGATTGGAATAAAGTAATAAACAATATTTTGACATAGTACAATAGGCCATGCTAACATTATTCAAATGTTTTACAGATATTGATACATCATTGTAATGTTCAGTTTGCAATAGCAATTTGTTTACATGTGTTTGCTATACTTAAACATATATCAAGGAGTGCTTTTAAAATATCATAACTTGTTACCTTGATTTATTTGTGCAAAAAGAACTATGTATATATTAGTGTTCATCCGTGCTGTTCTACAGAAATTAGAAACTTCGACATGAGCGATAGCGACAGGAGAATGTTTCTAATTTCTGTAGAACAGCTACGGATGAATACTAACATACTTATACAACTTTATTTGGCCTCATTATTATTCACATAATTACGTCTCTACGTGGTTCTTTGAAGTTCTATGAAAAGTAGAAGGCGACTATGAACGGACTTCGATATAGTATCGACTTTTGTTCTTCTATGAAAATTAACACACACAAATTTTAAGACATACAGCATTTTCATTGGATGACAAATGAAGTTGGACACTAAAACATTTTCTTTGCCATTCCAGACCTCGAGACACTAATAAATTCCGCGTTACTATAAATATTGCTGCGCAATCGGAAGTGACGTTCCAGTTGACGTACGACGAACTTCTTCAACGAAAACGAGGCCAATATGAGCATATCATTTATATTGATCCAAAACAAGTAGTAGATCAGCTTCTTGTGGAAGTTTTCATCTACGAGTCTCGTGAAATTACAGCATTAAGAATACCCCCAGTACGAAACGATATTTTGTCCAATTCCTTTGAAATATCAAGTAGGTAATTCTTCCAGTCAATATTTTCAATTCTTAATATTAATATATAGAGCTATTTGATTTTGTACAAAATGTTGTTTTTTCTCACACAATAGTCTAAATTCACTTTAACGTCATATAATACAAAGTAAACATGAGATATTTGATAATATCTTATTTGCACCGTGGTGAGAAACCTGAATTAATGTTTAGATATAGCGTTAATTCTTTCAATGTCTGAATATGTGTTTAAATATTATTGAAATCAATCTTTCATTTTTGTTGTTATATTTATCATTTTAACAGCCAGCAATGACTTAGCTCTTGTTGAACGACCGTCTCCAAAAACTGCTTACATCAGATACAATCCGTCACCAGAGGAACAGAAAAAGGACTCAGCACAGGGCGTGTCAGGTTTATTTAAAGTCCAGTATGACGTGCAAAGGTCACTTGACGCAGGAGATATTTACGTATGTATAATCATTGGTAGACACACTCAAATGTCAAATGCCTTTAAAAGTTGGATAAAGAAAATAAAACTTTGACGAGTATGACTTTATTCAAAACGTCAGTTACAAACTCTTTCACAAATCATGTAAAGATTTGAATTTTTGTAGGCTTTATGCCGGGATCACACCTGAATTTTAAATAATGGTGCTTTATTTTTGTTTCTTTCAGGTGGTTGATGGATACTTCACCCACTTTTTTGCACCAGTTGGTCTTGCGCCCCTTCGTAAAAGGATTCTTTTTGTTCTTGACATAAGCGGGTCAATGAGTTTCTCACGCAAAATAACACAACTAAAGGAAGCTATGACTCAAATATTAAGCCAACTGAACGACGAGGATTATTTTAACATTGTTACATTTGAAAGCAATTCACATCCATGGTCACCTGAAATGAAAAAAGCTAACAGTGACAATATAAATGAAGCAACCGAGTTTGTGCAAAACCTTATAGCGGAAGGCGGTACGTATATTCACACTTTTATATTAACAATAGGACCAATATGAGGTGTTTAACTTATTAAATAATTTTTTCATCAGTTCATGCATTTCAATAAAATTCTTTTATGAAATAACATACGTATGGAAGTTTACATTTGTCACTAACATACAATAATTTCGTTTTATAATATATTTGTAGGAACAAATGTTCATGATGCGTTGACAGATGGTTTAGATATTCTTCAAAATAGCAACGACGTGGGTGTTAACGCTCCTATTATTGTTTTCCTTACTGACGGTGACCCTACTGTTGGCGTTACAAATTTCAATGAAATTCTTAATGCTGTTGAATCTAAGAACAAAAATAAAATACAAATTTTCAGTTTAGCTTTCGGGAGTGACGCTAATTTTGAATTTCTTAAAAAGATTTCGGCTCGCAATAACGCATTTGCCCGAAAGATTTATACTGATGCTGATGCGATGCTACAGTTGACTGGTTTTTATAACGAAATTTCAGATGTTCTCCTTTCGAAAGTGTCATTTACATATCTGGATGACACGGTTAACCTTACATCTCTTACACAATCACAGTATCCTAGTTTCTTTGATGGATCAGAACTTGTTGTATCAGGAAAACTGAATGAGTTAGACTCTGATTTCAATGCTCTTACACTTTCCGTTGTCGGAAATGGAAACAAAGGTGTAATAGAGTTATCGTCAACAACTAAAATTGAAAATCAGGGTAAAAATAACATACCAGACTTTAAAACAAGACTGGACTATTCAACCATTGTTGAAAAGACATGGGCGTACTTGACGATAAAGAAATTGTTGAAAGAGGAATTGATTACAGAGAATGATCTGCTAAAAGAAGAGATTAAACTTGACGCTTTGCATCTGGCTTTAGACGTTAGTACAATTTTGATATTGCAAACATTCTTTAAAATAACATAAATGAGAGCAAAATGATTTTAATATTTCTAATACGAATGGGATTAATTTAGTAATAATAATATGTAAATAAATTCACATCTATTACTCCAATTACAAAGACAGCATTTTGATGTAAAAGGTATAGCCATAAAAGGATAGAAATGTCTAAAAGTTCTACTGAAATCACATAGGTGCTGACATGGCGCCGTTGCTTACTGACGTGATGTATTTCACCTTTATTTTAATCATGTCACGAAATTACTTGACATGTATTATACTGCACATAAGAAAAAAGAAATAGACATCAATATGTATATCAAATTTTGACACAAAGTATGGCCAAAGTATAAATGGTTGTTTGTGAGGGTCATAGAAGCCTTAAACCGTTTATATATAATTATGTATTAAACGATCTGAAGGGATTGTGTAAGCAATACAGAATTAGAAAACAAACACTTGATGGTATGACACAATGATAAGGAATTATCAACTTTTTATTTTCAATTTAACATATGTTAATTAATTTGGTTCAAATTTTACAGTATAATTTCGTTACTCCAATGACGTCAATGGTTGTTACAAAACCCGAGAGAAAAAAGGAGAACGACACAAAAGAGACGAATAATGTACAAGAGGGTAATTTTGTTTATCTGTATTTCATTGCCAAATTGTCAAACATGACCCATTTGTTTTTCTTAATTTTTGTATTAGTGAACAAACAATGGACATGATTAGTGAGTTTCGCATTTATTTCTTAAAAGGCACATTACTAATTGAAACGATACTGATTCACAAATTTTATACCAGTATATATTTTTATAAGAGATATTGTTACACATTATAAAATAGGATGGAATTTCATTAGTTTGTAATAAATCTTGATTAAAAAGCATACTTTTATACAATATGCACTCTTATTATCTGCGATAGTGAGGTTGCTCATGCTAAAAATGATGATGTTGATGTTTGTGATAAAGGGAATGCATTGTTTACGATTGTTAAATTTTATTCCATCTTAATTAGTGAAAATAAAATAGAAAAGTGTAACAATATAAGAAAACGGTAATTTGTCTGTGCTTACCTTTTCCTCCCTAATTTTAATGTACTACTTTTTCAGACGATGCTAATGCGCTAGAAGGTTACAATGATCCAGGAACAGCTGCTTTGACAGGCTCTTCGGGAACGCTCAGTCTGGCAGGAAGTGAGTCAATTTACCAATTTACCTGCAAACTTCATTACATAGCTGAAACCTCTCCTAGTTTCTTACAACAAACAGTTGAAAATATTTTGTAATTTTTATCTTACGGTCCTCCATAAAATGTCATTTTCTGTTTTGTTACTATAACTTGGTATATTGTTGAATTTGTAGGACATGATCATAACATATGCGAGCCGAAGCAGGATCAAACATTCTATCATATGTATATAACAAAGTTTATAACTACAAAGATATGCTTTAAACATTTCCATTTAAAATATTGTACCAGTACAATGTAATAAGCGGCTCTCTTTTATATTAAAGCTTTAGCAAGCAAAAAATGTTCTTCTTGAATTCATTATTTGAATATGGAGGAGCAGAATTGAAGTAGACAGATTTACTTTTTCTTATGGACGCGTATTTATTTTTTCACATGTTCTGTATACTCAAATTTATTATTTTGTAGATAAGGCAAAGTTTATGACGGACAGTGATCCCCATTTTATCGTTACCGTCAAAGGTTTAGATTATGCTATCTGTTTCGACGTGATGGGTGAGGAAGGGGATGTATATAAGTTAATTACTGACACATATTCCGGTAAATAAAAACCTGCAATAATTTAAACATCATTACTAGTATTTGATATGAAACCCTTCAATGTTCCTTTTTTGTTACTGCCTGGAAACTTTTGTTATATAGGATACTATAAAAACACAAGCATAGGACTATTTTTCTCAACTAAGAATTTACATGATATAATTGTTGTAACATTTTTTCAAATAGATTTTAAATTTCGGCATTATATAATATGTTTGGAAAAAAACTTTAACTTACTGTCATTTTTTAAAGTGAAACTTAATAGCAACAACGTACACATTGCATTTACCATTTTTTCACTCTTGGTGGTGTTTGTGTTTAGTTGCGTTTGTTACTCCTTACCCAAAGGATTAGCCCCTTAAAGATTGTCCTATGTAAGCATTCATATGTCTAATATTAAATACAGGTCTGACAGTCGATGCAAAAGTTGTGGCTAATAAAATGGTCGTGAACGGAGCGAATGTTTCCCATCACTCTAACCCCAGTGAAATTAAAACTTTTCTCGGCGAAATACATATAAAAAGAAGGCGAATGGAGCTAACTGTGACACCAACAAAAATCACTCTGATGGGTGAAACTATCGACTGGACTAATGGTATGACATGCATATTCAACACTAGTTTTGTCAACCATATAGAAATGTCCATTTGAATTAACACATGTACTTAATTTAAAAATGTCATAATGATTTCAAAATCTTTTATTTTTAAATGTTACATGAATAAATAATTAAATGACTACTTATGTTCTCTTTTCGGTTTGGATAAAACCTTTTTTTGAACAGCTATATATCCTGACTGCATCATTTTTATTTTAATATCTTGTAATTTTATTAAGTAAACTGGTTTATTTTACAGGAAAAAATAGTGTTGTTTCAACCAATGTTTGTTATATTCATTAGATATTACACTTTTCCTAGTTAAACTGTACTTACATGTCAAGCTTTCTTGGCGAGATTGGTTACATCTGTATCCCTTTATTTCAGGTACCACACTGAGTCACGGTAAAACAAAAATTGTCATTGACCAGGCTGGCTCGATGGTGGTGGTAATGTTCTATGACAGAGTTACGTTTCTTGTCATGCGACATCTAAGGTCGAAGTCATTATTGAGGGCAGGAAAGGTCAATTTCCTCGGCCTATATATTGTCGAGTATAAAGGATTGTCTTACCATACACACGGACTACTAGGTAAAGTTATAAACGAGAACCACGATATTTTATGTTGTTGGGGTTTTACGTCGCACCAACACAGTATGGGTCAGATCGCGACTTTCGAGTTTTACCGGTGAAGGAAGACAAGTGGTTCCATTTCGTGCGTTATTTCAGACACGAACGGAAACCTGAGTAAAACCACCGACGTTCCGATAGCTTCCTCACATGAAAGACGCTCCGAGAACCTTTAAGTTTAGATTTTATTTAAACCATGCTTGGTACTGCTTTCCGGGACTAACAACTTACATTAGCCACCAGATTGAAAGCCACATTATCATTATTTTTACCCGGAAAGGTCTAATAACATAGTAGCTAAACAAAGATGATTAATTATCAAAGAGTTTCCATTTTAAAGAGTATCTTGCTTTGTATAGGAGTTGTGAATTACTGGACGGGTTTTACAAAGTTGAACAAAATAATATTTAAAACACATGAAAAGATAAGCCGGCAAACATGTTGCAGTTCTAGAATATTTTGTTATTTGTTTGCATTTTAGGTCAGTTCCTACACAGAAACGTTATTTTAAAGAAAACAAAAAATCGGAAAGGAAAGTTGATGGGTCGTTTGAGGGTAAGTGGCAATACACAGAGACCACGCAAGGTAATGGCCACTTTAGGCCACCGGTTAAATCTGGCAAAAAACGAAACTGTGTCGTGCTGGATGGTCCAACATAATGGCGATGCCCTTCTTGATGGAAAAATCACAGATTATTTGATTAAAAGAGGTTCGTCTGACGAGTCGGGTTTAAACATTTCAAACGAAAATAAACAACAGGAAAAACAGGGGAAAATATCAAATGTTAAGCATAAACTTGAAAAAATCAAACCCGACAGTGAGAAAGATAGCAAGTAAAATGCTTTTTGAATAGGTGACGACTAAGACTGTTGTGACGGTGTAGAAAATTCATCATTCCTAAAGATAGAATGGACGAATATTAAAATAAAGACAAGTAGCATAAACATTGGATATTATGATGCAGATGTAATGAGGTGGCATTTAGTGATCATATGAATCTTTGGTTTGGATATCATGAATTAATTATCGTACTGTGCTGACGTATCGTAGTGAACATTACGATTGCCAAACTGACCTTCTGATAAACAAGATTGATGGTGTTGTACATATGTATACCATTGTAAACTTAAAGTGTGAAGAAGATAAGTCGTGGAGAGAAATTGGTGAGAGGGAGTTTGCTTTTTTCGAAATATCAAAAACTGATACAGTAACTAACAGATATGTATATGTTTGCTTGATATGTACCCCGTCTTTGAGTTAAATGTATATACGTGTTTGGAAATTAAACGTAAAACGACGGGAAATGTCGAAGCACATCGATGTTTTCAAATGTGAAATGAAGACGAGAAGGGATCTTCAACATTATATGTAGACGAAAAGGTTTTGATACACGTTGTTATATGACTGCTTTGATTATTCACTCAAGTAAAGTGCATATTTACATGATCATATATAAACTTTCGAATGATTGAGAAATTTTGTATACAAGGTTTAAACATTCACAATATTTTCATTTCTTCAATGGTTATGTTTTGATAGGACAGTTATAACAACGGTTTTGCTGGTATGCATGTGTATATAGACAACTGTTAGTCAAAATATGGTTTGAAAGAATATTAAACTTACACAAAAAAATATCAAAATGGCATAATTATATATATCCTGATTGGATAGTTTTGTAAATTAGCTTATGAGAAAATAATATGATGATATAAAATCTTTTGAAGTGTTACCATGGTTATTTCTTTTAAATTGTGCGCAATAGCACGTACGTTTTACATTAATGTTACAGTCTTATTGCTGAACTTTAAATAAACATTGAGTATTTGAGCTTTTAGATAACTTATAAATACTGTATATAATATCTGAAATCATTAAATTGACATATTAGTTATAAAGGTATATAACGTTTAAGTTAGGAGTTGACATTATTGGTTGTGTATTATCAATTACTTAAATCAAATATAAGATAAGTTGAAGAAATGACAACAAACTCAACAACAAACTGAATGCCAATTACCTTCATTATGGTAAATTAATCAGTTACAATTGTTCGATTATACACATTCTTTTGAAGCTTGGTCGAAAATCATTCCATCCGGGCATGTCATTTTCGTGAATCTCCAGTCATCACATATGCCAAAGTATGGAGAGTTTGGCATACTTTCCATTGGTAAAACACCATTCTGTACCGTGCAGTTAGAGTATTGGAAACTACAACTCCGACAATGAGGACCGTTACACTGGTTGTTATGATATTCGCCTGAGTGTAATAAGAAATTGTTAATTATTAAAAATGTAATTACCCATTTAATTTTGTCATAGTTAATCAGAAAATGCCATTCGCTATATAAACTTTTCAAGCAAACATATAACATTTTATGATAAAAATGAAATTCGTTGCTATGTATCTTTAGACTAAAAGACTTTTACTGTTACTGGCTCTGTAGTTTACGCTGACAATGTTAGAAAGTCTTGACGTAAATAAGATTAAAAAAATAAACAACGAAAAAAGAAAATCCCGATAAACTTGTGCTGCAGCAGCATCTAAATCCGTAATATCAGAGTAATACTCGTGAACAAATTTTAGAAGAAAAAAAAACCTTCATGAATACAAAAATATATATTGAGAAATAAAAAGATTCCAAATAAATTAAATATCTATGGCAATTTGAATGTTTCAAACTTAACATGACAGAATTACAATTTTTAGTGTGATGCTATACCGATTCTAACAGCATGAGGACTTTTTCGGATTCAGAATGATCTATCTAGTTTGGCTCGGGGTAAAGTTTTACAACGACAAAATTGATATGTCAAGCTTTCGCCAAACAGTTACACATATGATAATAATTATAGTTCGAAAACAAATATCTAAATCTATCATTGTGAGTAAGCACTATTGCCTTATACATACAGGAAGACTCCATGAAAGCAATAACCGGACTTACACAAATTTGTAGAAAGATTAACTCTCTATAATACAAGATTAAAAAAATCATATTTTGAATGATTCAAGCTAAAATGCAGTAAATGAAACGATAGCGCTTTATCTTACAAAATTTAAAAAATGCAATTATACTTACAGCCATGTTTGTATTCTATTCTGTTACCACACTGAACATTTTTGTGAGGCTGACATGATTGGTATGATATGCTGTACAGATATGGATAATTACACTCTACCAGATGATCACCCAGCCAGTACCGGAAGTTAGTGTCAGTGTTCTTCATAGAGCAATTATAATACATCTGACATTCAGCATGTGGGTACAGACCGGGTTGTCCGGGCTCGCAGGGAGCTGTGTCTATACTATCATCATCTCCTCCTCCACCTGTTGAAAAAATAACTTTACTTAAAACTGGTTCTTTTGAATAAGTAAAAATACATAGAACTATTAACGCTCAATACTAGGGTTGCTGTAACTAAAGCATTCACCTTTAACACAAAGCATTTCAGGTAATTGATGAGATGACGGACCTCATGTTCTAAAAATATAAAAGACAGGCAGCTTTTGATCCAAAGTAATTCAAGCATGTTGTTATAGTAATAAAATAGAAGAACTTTTAATGTATTCATTTTGAAGAATGTTATGTGCAATATACAAGATTACAAGTCATGTACATGTCGGTACCATTTATGACAAATTGGTTGGTAAAATCGAAAATATAAATGTACATATTTCTTCTTACAAATAAAAAGGGGGAGTTAAAACAGATAAAATTACTACTTACATGAAAGTTTGATGCTTAGAAACAAGAAGAAATAAAACAAAAAACTTTCCATTTCATTCATAGACACGTATAATGTGTCTCTGTAACAATGCTTATTTTGACGAAATTGTCAGAGGGAAAATGGAAATGTATATGCCGGTATTTAATATAAAACCGTCAACATATGTTGCGAAACATATCATTTAAAATATTACATAGCTGCAGGATTTAACAGCTGTTTGTCATGCTGTTAGGAATACGTGTAACCTAGCATGCCACATTTCCCTTACATTTAATAAAGACTCCAGTAACCAAACAATCAAGAGTATTCTATGGATAGTTGGCAATTCATGCAAACGGCATGACCCAAAAGTAACGGGTAAATACCCAATCAGATTTTAATATATGCTTCCTAATACTAATGGTAACAGCGTTAAAATCTTTCTGAAATTCACATATAACCTCCTTTGTTTTAAAACTTCAATTTTTGTTAGTCTTCTTTTTTTGATACAGTCACATCATTCACGTCTTGGTTTATTTTGTAAAAATTCAACCCTTCAACTACAGTTTATCTCCTATTTTATATAATCTTTCTTCAATGACTCTGGTGATTTTGTTTGACATGATGGGACTACTACACATATACATATTTTATTTTCCAGACTCATGTACAACTTGATGTAGGTCCAATAACTGATGTGCAAAATATCAGATCGTTCGTCAAAATATATTTTTTTTCACTCTGAAAAAAGTCTCAAAAATGTAAAGCTTTTGAAAGTTTAAACCTAAAAATGGACAAAGAATAGCACAAAAAATACAATTATCAATGAAACACTGAGTATTTTTATTGTCAGTGGAGTTCCATTTACCTTAGTAGAATACATATTAAATTAGTTTAATTAATGATTTAAATTTGGAAACTTCATCGAGAGTAAAATGCTTAGTAGGTGAAACACTTCTTTGCGAATATAATTATCATTATTTGTGACCATTCTGTTGTGAGTTTCTCTGTATTAGACTAATGTTTTTTGAAGTTGTCCCCCTTATAACAAAGAACGAAAGTCTCTTTTCGGTTGTTCATTCTCTTACGATTTTCTGTGTGTATTGTATGAGAAAATAAATAAATAAATAAATAAATAGTTAATAAATAAATAAATAAATAGATAAATAAATAAATAAATAAATTAATTAATTAATAAATAAAGACGACATTTCTATTGACCTATTTCATAATTGTTTGTTTATTTGTTAGCTTTGACAGGACATACTAAAAGGAAATTTTTTCGTTTGAGTGAAATATGGTATATTTTTTCACGGAACATGATAGCATGCCACATATTTTCACAGGCCTGGAAAAAAAACTCAAATTTACCAAAATACGTAATTTTGGTACTTTTCGGAAAAGAGATATTTGCACGTCATAAAATATATAGTTAGTTGGCATTATTTTTAATTTGATCTAAATTTCAATTCAAAAAGGTAATTACAGTTTATTGTGTTTACTAAAAAGTAAACAAAGTAACGTTAACGAATCGATTTGGGTAGAAAGATATTATCTTCTAAGGAAATAAATCGGCATAAGTAATGAACATGTTTGCTTTGATTGCATATATTTTAAAACATTTAGTGTTTGAACAGACATAATTAACATTATAATTTTTCATGCCAGTGATAGTGGATCGACTTACAAAATGTCCACAAATTGACGCCCATAAATATTTTCCATACCACAACCTTCTTTGTTATCAAAGAAACAAAAATCTGTCAAAAAATTATTAACAAGGGCCATCGTTGGGCGGGGTAACGTTCGACTTCTTTTTTTTTCTATAAGCACACAAATAATCGGTTTAAATAAATACTAAAAAAGAACATTTAAGAAATTTTTTTTCCACTTTTTAAATTTTATTAGGTCTGTCTGGTCACACTTCTTGTTTTGTCCAAGTACGAATAATTTCCATAAATAAATGACAATGTTAAGAAAATATAAGCAAATTCAATCATTTGACAGTCAATGCAATGTCTAAATTACTAAACATGTCCGTTTGACCACAAAGTATTTTTCTCCACGTATAAATCAGATCTGTACATTACATAACCGGTAGGAAGTTAGCAGTAGCAGTGAACAGTAGCAGTAGCAGTAGCAAAATTTTAAAACGTAAAGTTGGCAGTAGCAGAAGCACAGCATTAGCAATCGCAAACTTATAAAACTTGAAATTGGGAGAAGCAGTAGCACAGCAATGGCAGTAGCACAACAGTAGCCGTAGCATAGAAATAGCTGAGTACATGTATTGCGACTTACACAATATGACGATTTTCAGTGAACATTTTGATATTCAACATAAATTTCTAAAATAATAACACTGATTTAGAATCGCAAACTGGATTGAGTAAAGCAGTTATTCTTAATTAAAGATGAAAGAAGTTTTAAATTTACAATCGAAGATCGATTGCTTTCGTAATGCTGGCTGAATACTTCTAAATACACCAGATAACCGATTTCATGACCGAACATAACGTTGTAATTTATCATTAAATGATGTATATATAATGCATATATTTTTTCCACTTAACAAACTGGACGAGATTTCTTTTTTCTATTAAACCACAGATATACATACAATATTTAAATTTAGCTCTATGAATTTTAACTTTGAATCCGGACATAGGTACGTAACTTATCATATACTTTTCTATATTTTCATGATATTTTCTGTGGTTGGTAGTATTAATTGGATTTCATTTTTCTCAGTAAATCAGCCAGTACTGACCTATGGTCAATACACATGTAAATGAAATTAAAATGGGCAAACATCGAACAACAAAAATATGCAAATATAAACATGATGAAAAATTAATTTCCTCTAAGAAGCATGTGAATTAACAAGAGTTTCTGTACTTATTTTCAGAGGTACATTTAGTGCCGCATTTTTATGTTGATATTTACAATGATGCGAAGATATGTGTCCAGATATCAGATATGGTGTATTTCCAGATAACTTGTTTCTTAGATTAGAGTAGATTGAATAGGATGGCACAATGGAAAATGATATTCTGATTCTAAAATATTAATAATATCATTTAGGAATCGGGGTAAATGAGCAAGACATACTACAGAAATCCACAAAATACAGCGTTCTGCTAACTGTCTATTGCTTGTTGTGCAAGCTGTAGTGTATGAATTCCGTAAGGATGATCCCCTTAGTGTTTCCAAATAATTCCATTTCATGCAGAATTTATATTGTTGAATACGTACTGCTGGTCTACTGCTACTACTCTGCTACTGTCAAATTCATGTTTTATAACTTTGCTATTGCTACTGCTGTGCTACTGCAACTGCCAATTTCACGTTTTATTTTTTTTGCTACTGCGACTGTTGTGTTACTGCTTCCGTTGTGCCATTGCTACTGCTGTGCTACTGCTACTGCTGCGTTTCTGCTACTGCTCTGTTACTGCTACTACTGCTCTGCTACTGCTACTGCTCTGTTACTGCTACTGCTGTGCTACTGCTCTGTTACTGCTACTGCTCTGTTACTGCTACAGCTGTGCCATTGATACTGCTGTGATACTGCTACTGCTGTGATACTCCTACTGCTGTGCTACTGCTTGCTACTACTCTGTTACTGCTACTGCTATGTTACTGCTACAACTCTGTTACTGCTACTGCTGTGCTACTGCTTCTGCTGCGCTTCTGCTACTGCTCTGTTACTGCTATTGCTCTGTTACTGCTACTGCTGTGATACGCTACTGCTGCGCTTCTGCTACTGCTCTGTTACTGCTACTGCTCTGTTACTGCTACTGCTCTGTTACTGCTACTGCTCTGTTACTGCTACTGCTGTGCCATTGCTACTGCTGTGATACTGCTACTGCTGTGCTACTGCTTGCTACTGCTCTGTTACTACTACTGCTCTGTTATTGCTACTGCTGTGCTACTGCTTCTCCTGCGCTTCTGCTACTGCTCTGTTACTTCTACTGCTCTGTTACTGCTACTGCTTTGTTACTGCTACTGCTGTGATACTGCTACTGCTGCGCTTCTGCTACTGCTCTGTTACTGCTACAGCTGTGATACTGCTCCTGCTGCGCTTCTGCTACTGCTCTGTTACTGCTACTGCTCTGTTACTGCTACTGCTCTGTTACTGCTGTGATACTGCTACAGCTTTGCTACTGCTACTGCCAATTTCACGTTTTATAATTTTGCTACTGCTACTGCTGTACTACTGCCAATTTAACGTTTTATAACTTTCTTCTGATACTGCTGTGCTACTTTCCATACATTCATAAATAAGAAAATTATTACAACTTAACCAATATTCAATAATTTGACTTTAACGGGCAATGTCATTTAAAGCTCAAGGTCATAGTCAGTTCAACCTTTCAGAAAGTTGTACCCAAAAGGCACCTATCCATGACGTTACAAAAGATAAAAAAGAGTGGTTTCTGTTTCACATCATAAAGGAACGATTGAGTGTTTTGTTATCTTTAATGCTATATCTTTATCTAATCCCTTATGTTTCATTTGTTTATAGATCTTCTTTAAGCTAATGAAGAATAAAACGTCTGGGTTACAGTTTACAGTTACAGTAGGCCTATATTTCTGTAATGTACTGTAAATTTGTTTTACTATTTATTGCTATTTACAATCCGTTAAAAGAAAAACATAAAAGAATATTTGATATTTGTTGGAACGACTTAAAATGTGCTGACTATGCGTAACATTTATGTTTTTCATTTCATTGTTATTGTTCAGTCACTCAATATGCTTCAGTTCACATGACAGACAAAAGATAGTTATTCTGATTGAATGATTCATTAAATAGGAGTCTTTGATCTTCTTTCACTTTTTATTTGACATTGACTTTGATATTTGCAGTTAAAATCTGCACAGCTATTGTTTTGGCTTATTATCAAAATCGGATAAATTTAGATAAATTGCACGCTACGCGGTACTCTTTCTTTGCAACATGAAAATTGATTGATATATATAAAAAATAGATATTGTATTAAAAAAAAACACTATGAAATGTCATGAATAAATCTTTAGTTAGTTAGAATGACATGACCTTGATGTATTTATTAATTTAGAATTGGTCAATGACATTGAAGGTTATTTTGAAAGGTATGTAAACAATTTTAATTATTTACAGAATGTATATAAATGCATATAATTATTTTTTTGCACTAAAACGAAAACAATATATATTGGTATGAGAAAGATATGCAATTATCAGTTAAATTATTCTTAAAGCATTAAAAAAAATCTTATTTTAATTACAATACATCTTGAATTAAATGTGTACGTGTGTACGGTGTGTGTTGGTGCGCGCGCGCTTGTGTATCTGTGCGTGTGCGCCCGCGTATGCGTGACTAATTAGAAGAATAACAACAGAAAAAGAAAACATACTGTTTAACCATGATAATACTAAACAGGTTAGCTATTAATTAATATATTTTATTATGTTTTCCTGTTTTTATCTTTGCCATACATAAGTATCACTGGTAAAACAATTGATGTGAGTATATTGTTTGTTTCTAGGAAGATCCTTACTTTCTAAATGTGAACAACTACACTTTATGAACCAACGATGACTTGGTATCTGCCTTCAAATTTTAAACAGACTGAGATCTATTCAGGTATTGTAGAATACAAAACAAATATCAATTCAAAATCAAAGTTACTTGTTAATAATCTATCTGCTTCAGTATTTAGAACAAGAGCAAATCAAATAAATGATCACTCTAAGGAAACAAGTCATTAGAACGGTTGCAAGACAAAGCATAATTCTGCATAATAATCTGGATAAAGTGGACGCTCGGAAGCATTAAAGTCAGAAAAATACATGTCAGAATCGGTTTGACTGAGTCTGTACATGGAAGTTTATCGGAAAGTGCAACATCACTCACGCCCCAATAATTCAACGATACAATTTTGCACTTGTGAAGTGGGATAGTTCCAGTACTCCTACTTGAATACTGTTTAATATACCTTGTTGTATGTTGCCTACATTTTGATGTCTTGTCTGTGATATTCAGCCGTCATAACCTCTGACCCCTATTCAAAATCCACTTTGAATGGTTTCGCCAATTGTTTTTTTTCTCGTTAAGGGCACACGCAATCTTTAACTTTTGGACCATATCAGCTGCTTAAATTGAATGGCTCGAACATGTCGCATTGAAGGTCAAAAGAAAGATGCCATGTAAACGGATGCTTCTTTATTTGGATGTTCATGTTTAAGCGTTGAACTTTGAGAAAAATGTCGGCACGGAAGCATGAAATACCATTAATGATCAGTCAAACAAATATAGAAAATAAGAATCCATAAAGAAAGTCCAACACGGCAAAATTGAAAAAGGCTCGGTTTGATTGAGCCTGTTTATGGACGGTACTGTCAAGTGCAAACTACCATCCATGCACTGGCTTAAGCAGAATTCAAAATTTAACATGAACTGGTACAATTTTGAATTTGAAACATCCAAAGATGTGTTCATATATGGAACCTTCAATGTGACACGTAAGTGCCATTACATGAAAAGTGGCATATGGTCCCCAAATAAAAGTACTAATGTGTGTGCCCTAAACGAGAAAACAATGGGTGGAACTAAATAAAATGGAATTTTGAAAGGGGGTCAGAGGTTATGAAGCCTGCATATCACAGATAAGACGTCAAAATACAAATTTTAAAAGCAGGCCACATATCCTAAATGTGATTCAACAGTATTCCAGTGAGGAATACTGGAACCACCCAACAAGAAAAAAGCCAAAATAGAAAAAAAAGAAAAAACTAAATTAACACAAGCACAACAATAATGTCGTGCTGAACGATCTTTAAGGATCGGAAATATAAAAGGAAAATATAAAATCTTTAAGGATCAGAAAGGTCTCTTCCAGTCGCAACAATGTTGAAATAGGACAGAGGATAATGTAGCCGCTGCTGCACTAAACTCTTGTCTTTTACATCCTGCCACCTCCAATTTCAAGCTTAACTGTAAATATATAGGTCTTTGATACACTATTCACTTTTCAGAGAGAAAGTTCCCGCCACTATCAATGAGAATGGAAAATACGTGTCCAAACTCTTGGAGTAGAGATTTTCGCGTTTGTTTATTGTACAGTATTGAATAACATATTTATCAACAATGACTTAGTTGACGCCTTTCCTTGTTGATCTTGTTAAGCATATTTTAGAAATTTTGCCTGATATACATATTTAAAAATCTTGAAACAAAGTGATCCCTCGGTAGCATTAATCACAACAAAATTACAAGAGAATTGCAGACTCGGTTTGATTGAGTCTGTACATTAAAGATTTTGTCTATTAGGTAATTTGATACATTGTTTTCAGTTGTCATTTCATGAAATGTTTCTTTTTATTGAAATGTTTAAAAACAACCGTAGAAACTCTTTTGCCTTTTTTTTTAGCAGGGTACGGTCTTAGACTGGGCAACTCAATAATTCCTCAATTACATCCTCACGAGCTTTTCGCAGGTTTAATTGGGCCATTTGTTGTATGCAAGGAGGCTGAACGCTATTTCTTTCTCACCACAAGCCTTGTAACATTGAAGCTATCAGAATTTACAGACAATGTCAAAGGAACTCCGATATTCCATCTCCTGTTGGAGACGCGTAAGGGAATAAAATGCGGATATGTTGCTTCAGGTGTACAGAGAGACAATATCCCAGCATTGATAGAAATATGCGAAGGACAAAGACTTGATTTAGGGTTTATTTTGGATAAAGGGTTTTCTGGTTTGTTATGCTTTTGTGTACTATTTTTATCGACATTTTTAGTGCCTCGTTGCCTATATACAGATTGTATGTTAAATATAAATTTTCAAAAAACATTTTATTAATGAATAATTCTGTTGTTTGAACAAATGGTTTCTGTCACCTTATCTGTATCAATGAAAATAGTTTATTAAGTATTTTGCTTTGTTGTGAATGATTAAACTGTTTATTTTTTATTTTATATTTACAAAGGGGTCAGTGAAACCAATTTTCCAAGCTACGATAATAGAGATTCAAGGAACATGACACAAGTATACATATTCGGCAAGTATTTTAGACCAAAAGCTGTTCAAATGCTATATAATATTACAAAAAAACGTATCGATCTTTATGCGCCCGAAGTTGGACTTTTTATGCAAGGAGAAGGCGGTGCGGCAGTATTTCTCATGGATGAAAACCGACTTTTACACTGCGTTGGTGTTTTTGTAGGTGGTATCGAAGATGATCCCTTCCATTTCGTAGTATTTCCAATAGAACGTATATTACTTGGCTTAGAGAGAGATCTTGGACTACCATTAGAAATATTGTCTTTTAACAATAAATCAAGAAGAAAGGTAAATTGGCAATACATATCAATCGGTTTTACTCTTTTAAATCATTACAGAATTTCAAGATAAAAAAATATTTAAAAATATATTTTTTTTTGGATTTGCATACCGTTTGATGAATGTCTGGACCATTAACCTTCGTGCAAAGTTTCAGATTTTACTCTGTCCAGAATTATTATTGATTTTAGTATGTTAAATGACTATAACATGAATAGTGTTTACAATTCAGAATCGCCAAAAAAGATTTTCAAACTGATTATAGGTTAGGGTTTTTGCATATTTTATCTGTTAGAAGTCCCCCGGTTGGTCTTTGTCAGAACTTAAAATTGTACATTTTTAACATCTTGGTCTACAGTTAAGCTCCTTTAAGATAGATATTGAATTGCCATTACTTAAACGTGTCTTTCTAAATAACTTTCAGTAGTATTATCATATTGCCTCCTTATATCAAACAATTTTAGACAAATTATATTTGACTAAGATGCAAAAATGTGACATTATGCTTTTTGTCAAATTGAGCTGAATTGACTAAATATTTTATAACGGTGATTGACAAACAGTAAATATTAGAAAATGTTTCAAATAAAATATTAATCAGCCTTGTACATGTATTGACAAACAAGTAAGTGAATTACCGTTCATGTGAAGTTGATTATAATATTGAAAGGCATTATGGCAAAATGTAAGCTTTTTCAACTTTCCTATATACCCTTGGATGGAAATAATTAATAAAAAGGAAAATTGCTATAAATACACGAATTTTTTAAAGATATACTATGCTCATTTTTAGTAAAATATTTAAATCGAAGTTATTTATTAAAACCTATGAAATTCTTACTGAATATGTCTAATTTGAATAAAAAATGAATAAACTATGCATTTGAAATCACGTTCTCTATGATAGGACAAGTAAAGTTGTTTTTTTCTTTAAAAAACTGCCAGTTTTTTTAACGACATTATAAATTCATATTGTGACGACCTATAGTGTGCAGAGTTTATAACATGACATATCAACTTTGTGTGAAGTCAAAACATGTTTATTTCATATTTATAAAGAGACTGTGTAGCAATTATCAATATTTTCTGATATCAAATTTGAGCATGATATATCTTTAAATACGATATTTCTGATATTACTTTTGATCATTGTATTTGATAAAATGAGGACCACCGGTGATTGTTTTATATTTTAGGAAATGAGCACAATTACATCCTTAGGTATGCAGAGTGTTTTTTTCTTTTTATTGAAATATCTATAAAATATTCAATAAAATTTCACATTTCAATTTCTTGATCTACATGTAATTTAGATATTATCGTGCTTTTTTGTTATAATGACGTCTTTAGATTTTCTTTTAATCCATCACAAGTGTCCGTTCATTTGAACTGAAAATAGAAAAACAATTTTAATAATAAGCATAACATAATTTTATCTATATAAACACAATCAGTGTCCTGAGCAAATGTAACATTGTTACGATAAGATAAAATAATCAGAATTAAGATTTTATAATTATATTCTATTTTTCACCGTAAATGTGAAATATAAATCCATCCATATTACTTAACGATGTAAATAAATCAAAGTATCTTTTCTTATATGTCAGATCAAATAAGTTTGGAAATGAGGGACATGGACTTGGAAAATCATTGGCTTGAGACGAATGACCGTCCTAGCAAAGAAACCCTGAAATTGTTAACGCTTAAATTTGGAAGGAAATCGGAGGTTGTTATTAAGAACTGTGGAAAAATTTGTAGCTACGTAAAATACAATAGTAACAATATTGCCGACGTCGTTCCAACATACACACCAAAGGATAAAAACAATATTGTGTTTGTCATAATTGCACGAGACGAAGTTGTCATGGAGAAGCCGGACGAGTATTTGTTTACAATAAAGTACCCAGAAAGCAAATCAAGCCAGTACGGTGAAGAAGGTAAATTTGTTATACACAGTACGTTCTCTGATAATGCTAAAATGACGGATCCTCAAAAGGACAAACTGAAAAGAATTGTGAGTAAAAATGCCGACAAATTAATGAAAAAACACAAGTTATTAACAGCTATCTCTGGAGGCTTAGTTAGATCTAAAAAATATGGATCACCAGATGCGCGTCTTTCAAAAGAACTATGCATTGTTTTATATGTTTTGTGTAAAGATTACATTCCAATTGACGAGAAAGTGTTTAAGAAGGAATATGGTGGTATAAGCATTGACGTAAGAGAAGGTTTCTTTACTCCTTTTGCTTTTACTGCCAGTAGTTATCTGGAAAGCATGCGAATGGGATGTCAGATCGGACGACGACAAATGGTCGGGACCGTCGGAGGATTTCTTGAATGTCGTGGATACGGGCTATGTGGATTGACTTGCGCCCATGTGCTGTTAGATTCTTCTGAAATGATTGCCCTGATAAACAATCCAAATGGTATTATGAATTGGCAACACCCACCTAGTGACAACAATGTTTATCAACCAAATAGTGATGTAAATACTCAGGCAGCTGCTACGCATGACCATTTCGCCGGAAAGCTTATAAAAGCTGTGTACCAAAAAGGTGGTTTTGGAAAGACTGGTATTGAAGTCGCTCTTTTTCAAGTGGAAAAAAGATACCCTCTGTCTGGGCACTTTCCTACCTTACAAGGTAAGGTAGATTGTCAAAGTACAATTTTAAAGTCAATAAAAAATTATGTTGAAGTTGTGTTTTCTTTTCTACAGCAGAAATTATGCGCTTCTTAACTTTATTATGAAATATAAAATATATACATGTATGTTGTCATTATTGAGGGTGCTATTACTACTATTTGAAAAATACATTTTCCTTTAGAAAGCATTTCAATAGGTCAGGAAAAAAATGAATAAAGATCAACACGACAAGGCGACGTTAACATAACTCAGATCCTAACACAATCTAGCCACACAAGCAGGACATCCAGACGACACCAAACCAAGTAAGGAAGAGGACACAAGGGCGGGGGGGGGAAGGATGGGAGGGACATGTAATAGTAAAATGATAAGAACTATTAAGGGCCGATACGGGAATTAAAGAGACAAGGGGTGTAAGGAAGAAAACAAGAGGCTGGGATAGGACAGGTCACCAGATGGGATAAGAGGGGAAATTGAAAGAAAAAGCTTACCGTTAAAGACAATTTAACAAGATAGAACATCACAAAAATCTGGAAACAAAGTGATCCATCGGAAGCATTAATCACAACAAAATTACAAGAGAATTGCAGACTCGGTTGTACATTGAAACATCTGAGGTAACGCCTTGGGACGGTCATTAGAAATAACACCACTTGAGACTTTAAACCGGATTTATGCCCACTAAACCTCACACTTTTAGTCCCAAAATGCTCCTATATGATTTGACCGTGTAAATATTATTAACATATATTTATATCTCCATCGCAAAGGTTATTTATATTGTCTTTTTTCTTTGGATATGAATACAACGATCATCAAGGTAATCTCATAATAATAATACTTTTTAACTCTTTCAGATGGCACCACATCTGAAATGCAATTTCATCGTGGAAAAGTTGCTGGATTTTCAAGGTTGAGATTTGGCAGGGTTAAGAAATTTGGTGCTGCTACCGACACAACTGATGGAACAATTGTAATGGAAGCGCCGATTCTTTCAGTGAAATATTGCAAAGATTTTCAGTATTCGGGTGATTATCAGATGATTTTGCATAATTTATTGGAAGTCAAAACGTTGAGTGTGACACCACAAGGTGGTATAGTACCATTTGCTGACAGTGGCGATTCTGGTGCCCTTGTATTTTGTGATGGAAATGACGGAGAAATGCTTTGTGTTGGAATAATTGAGGGCGGAATTACTGCTGGAACTGTTGTTGTTATGCCGATTATGCCAATTTTAGATATATTAAAAGTGAAAGATTTCACAAACTTCGAGCTTGAAAACACAAAACATGAAGTAGAAAACACCAAACATGAAGTAGAAAATTTGAAACAACAAATAGAGCAGCTAAAACAGAAAATAAATAGCAACTAACATTACTGTATACATATACTCACGCTATGCCTGATATTAATATTGAGGAAAGCGTATTTTTTTTTCGGAATTAAACGGCCTATAAACGACTCTTAATTGCAAACAATTCAATCACGTTTCCAATTAACTGACCTATATGAGGTTTTACAGTATCAAAGGAATAAATGTAAACATTAATTTATGTATTGCAGCAGTATATGGTTAAATTGCATATTAGTCTGTATATAAAAGAAGCTTTATTATGCAAAAAAACATTAAAATATGAGCAATGAACATTACATCAATAAAAAAACATGCAATCAATGAAATTAAGGTAAGATGGCAAATAAATGAATATGCATGTTTGCACAAAAATCGACTTTTTCCAATAAATAGGCATAATAATATTTAAACTTCTTTATAATTGTATCATTTTGGGAGAAACAATATCAATGTCCAATCATTATGCTTGCAGTTTTTTTATGCTGACAATTTTTTTTTTTTTCAAAAGCTTTATATAAATAAGTTGCAATAATTCCACTATCATTTTTTGTGTCGCTATCTAATAATTGCAGCTCGGAGGCCTCCAACATATTTTCCGATTTATTGTTTTCTTAATTCCCAAAATATCTAGACATTCAGTTCATCTCTCGGACTGTGATAGCGGGGGCATTTTCTATATTCATATGGATTTATATATTAATATTATATTTTTGTTTGTGTAAACCATAATTTGATTATTTTAAAATTATAAGACTTCTGTTAAATTACTTGAGACATATAATATCACTCTTTTTTTCCAATATACATGTATCTATCTATTATAGTGTGTACAAAGTATAATAAATCAGCATAAAGAACAGTAAAGTTACAGAATATTTGTAAATATACATTTAGAAGTTGTTTTATGGCCGTAATTAGAATAGGTTCCTTTTTGTAAACTTTTTCTAAAGATATGTTGGCAACAAGTTAAGCATTTTAATCATGTTTACAGACTTTTTACTCCGTTCAATGAGGAAATAGGTTTTATTTATACAGTAGCCTATCTGGTTTAGTAATCTGTTTATGCCTTTTGTATTATTCTTAAGATGACATTATTTTTAAAACATTGGATATCTTGTTCCAAAAAATTGACATATATCTTCAATCAAGATACAAGTGTGATCATAATATTCAACAATTTGAGAGTAATGATAAACTGGGTCTAACATATTTTTACATTTAAAAAGTTAAAGTTTTATTGATAAGTGTATATTTTATTGTCAAATAAAACTTTCTTAAGAGTTGCACAGAATGAACTCCATAAGATCCAAAGAATTGTTTTTAAACATCATTCTTAAAGAAGTTTGTATTATTGCCTTTGAAGTAACAGAAGATGGTAAAAATTGTTTTCAAATCTAAAATTGTTATGTAATCATAGTTTAAGTGATGTTAGAGATTTTCAAGATTTTTGAACAGTAAAATATTTGTACCAGTACAAAGTCATAAGGAACTATTTGATCCCACTATTCGCTGCATGTTCAAACAGGTAGAAACCGTATACTTAGACTTTGAACTGTTAAACATGACTTGACTGTGCTGTTTTATTGTGATTTACGTGAAGGAAAAGACGAATGCTATTTCGTTCTAGTTTGTCTTTGTTATACTGATATAAAAATACTATGGAAGCCAGGATATGTAAAGAATTTATTACAAACCACCTGGTATGTTAAAAGGATATGCTAAAAGCAGAAAAAAGAAACACAGTGGTTACCCTGTACATGCCAGAGGTAACCGTGTTGCCGTGTCGTCTGATTTTGGTCTTCATTGTTTGCTATTCAGTCAGTTCATATAATGATTTTTTCCCAAGAATTGATGAAATGGTTTTCTTCTGTTTGAGAACAAGACAGGCCATTTTATATATTTAGCATGGCAACGGTTATACAAAGAATGCAATGAATATATTTCAATTAAAATGATAATTTGTCTTCTTTATTGGTTTGAAAGCTACATGTTATATTTGATCGTTTTGTTCTATGTATATATAGTTTTGTGAACATGTTTATATGGCGAAGTTGAAGTAAAACATAAAGTTTCTGTTCTTTTCTGTTTATGTTAATTGATCTACTGTTTGATTAAAATATTTACAATGCTACAGTTACTATGTTTACACATTTTAGGATTCTATCAATAAGCTAAGGTAAATAAAATATATTTCATATAAAAATAGTTAGTCTGATTTTATTGACCTGTCAATTATGAATACATTGTGGCACTCATCTAAATATTCGATCCTTCTTCGGGTTTGTCCGTGTCGTTTACGAGAATTAGCATATTTGTGCCATGTCACGACAAAACCAATATAGTGCGTTTGCGACCAGCATGGATCCAGACCAGCCTGCGCATCCGCGCAGTCTGATCAGGATCCATGCTGTTCGCTTACAAACCCTATTACAAGTAGAAAAACTGATAGTGAACAGCATGGATCCTGATCAGACTTAAAGTTTAAATGAAAGTTTAGGATAAAAAAGCATAATAATTATATTGTTGTCAACGAAATTTGCACGGAAAAAATGTGCCGCGCCCAGAACTCGACCATAGAAATGCAAAGTCCTTGATCAAACACCCTTCCTGCTGTGCAGTGATTGGAGTATTCGATTTATGTTTGCAAAATATAAGCTCCTCTGAAATTTAATTCAGAAGTAAATGCCGTAAGGGTAGAAAATCCCGACCGGAACTCGAACCCAGGACACTCAAAATAACCCAACCGCCGCTCTACCGCTGTTTATACATCTTCATCAAATAATCTAAACATTTCTATACGCGACAACGCCCGCTGTATTAAATTCGGTCCTCTCAGAGGTAAAGAGAAATCTGTATAATTTTAGTAACTTTTACATATAATTAACATCAAAACTTAAACAAGTGCAATAAACATGTATAGCGCATCAGGCGAACTGTGTATAGGTTTCGCTTTTAAATGATAAATTCAATGATTTGGAAATAATTATTTAAATGTGCTCTAATTTTCTTTTAGTTTCGTTGACTTATAAATTTTGTAATTTCGCTGGGTTTAAATCTTAATTTGTAAATTTATCGTGACAAGATTTATGAAGGTCACACTTGTACTTTTATGTGTTCATAATCATTTGGGATCATTGAATGTATCAATAATTGTTGGCGTTTTACCACAGTATGCAAATTACTATATCATTAGTATTATATCAGTGGCATTGAGAAATAACGGATCGCGGTCATGTTTATATATCGCTTACAAAATCACAGACCATTAAATCGAACACAAAAGACTGATCTATCGTAAAACAAGCAATTATAAATATTGAACCGTTTGAAATGTCAGATATGTGGCCATTTTCACAATATTTTAGGGATATTATATAAAATCGGCAGGTATTTTAGTTTTCATTTTTACAAGTACAAATAATTTAACAAGTAATTATTATTTGATCATTTTTGTAAAATAATTGATATCCTTAATACCTTAATACTATGATATTTTATAAGTTATTTTGTTAAACGTGTCGGTAAGTAATTTTATGATACCATCTGGAACCTCACATACTACTTAATACATGCACAATTAATTCAACAAGTAATTCTTATTATTTGTTTTTTTTAAATAACTAATATTCCTAACATTATGATATTTTAAATCAATGTAAGTAATAAAAATCACTGTTGCCATACATTTGTATGTCTTTTTGGTTCTCATTTACACTTTACACACCAATTAAGGAATTGTAAATAATGTTCTTATGTTCGGAAAGACATATAACAATGTATTCTTAGTATCATAACACATCTATATTTACATATTTATGTTTGATTAAATTGATTTGTTAATAGCGTAAACATGTATATATATCAAACCATATATCTTGGTTAGAAACAGAAATATTCATGTCGATTACGTATAGATAGTGTGTGATAATCTGGCCACACATTGTTCGGATGAATATTTAATAGCAACTTCATAGATAAACTAACAAATACATCATAAAGACAGAAAGAGATTAGTTATTATGTGTATTACATTATCTTATCTTATCTTTAATTGATATTGTATTTATTGCTTTTGTTTGTATCACTTGCTATATTTTTGTTCTGTTAGCCGATATTACGTATCATAATATTTAAACATGCATGCTGCAGATACGTAAATTTAATTTCTAAATGTGAAACAATACACTGTACATAGTCTTTCAAACGGACTCATTTTTCAAAGAAATTAAAGTAGTTTTGAATAAGTTATAAGATTTGGATATTTCCAGATATGGCATTTGCATTATCCGGCTGAAATGGGTGACACGCCATCAAGGCCTTCGGGCAGGCCTGGTTATATCAATACATCACCTTATCCAAGACAAGGATCAAACCATGAACCGTTCATGCACCAAATAAATTATTCCTCGGAAATGGGGAGATCTGTTCATTCAATAAAACCTGCTTACGCAAAAATATCAGACGACAAGATAGAGACTGAAAAAGCCACAGTAGATAGATTCCCGTTGAAATGAAATTAGTTTGAATGTGGCTTCGAATTTGATCTCAAAACTAAATTATGATATTTCCGTCATGTCATATTGGCATACCAGGAATGTCGCTGGTGACAGTAACATCATATATTGTACATTTATATATATTTCATATTCATGATTATTATGATTCATATTAGCGAGTGTTCCAGTGTTTCTATAAAAACCTTGCAAGTCAGATTTACTTTTTGTGTCGCTTGAAACATTCTTTTAAAATAAGCAGCGCGCCAATGAAAATAAATCTTTTTCTAAGTCTTACGTGTTGCACCAGTCAATGAAATCATTCATATGTTTACATCATGTTATCTAACTGTGGAATTGGAAAACATTTAAATTTGACTAGATTCAGAAACAACATTAAATGTTTTAAAATCCTTTTGAGTGAAAAGGTCAATAAATAATGTTGAGGAAAAATCCTATTTTCCGAAAAAAAAAATGAGTGACAGTCAATCGTTAATGTGATGAAAATATCTTCATGAATGAAATAAAAAAATCGAATACCGGGTAAGAAATTGACAACAAAAGATATAAAGTAAAACATTGATAAAAAACATTTGTTTTTAAAGAAATGAGACACGTTGGATTTTAATCTCTATGCTTGGATTTGGATCAGTTCATTCAAAGTTTTCGGGATTTAAATATAAAAATACAAAAATAATGAGCCAGCAGTTTAGAGCCTGGATAGACTGCACTGATGTTAAGGCTGGTCTTGCTCTATACTGGTGGCAAAGGCTTAATTACTTTCGGTGATTGCAATAAACATCGATGTTTCATTCAGATTTCTCTTCTTCGAACGAACAAGTTCTTGCGTGAGATGAGATTGACTCAACGACCCATGGAAGGAGAGGCAGAAAGTTTTTTGACACTTTTGTTTACTTGTACCATAAACTACCTTCTGTGGCATTCTATGTGAGTCATTTTGCAACTACTATGTAACTGTGACCGATGTTTAACTACTGACTGCATTTTGTTTTACAATCCATCAAACATATTTTATATTACAATTATGCCGTACATAATCTTTAATCTACAATTCTGATGCTTTGATTTACTCCCCCAGTCAACTGCAGAATTAAAATATGGAGGACTATCAGCTTCATTTACGGGAGATAGCAATTTCTATTATTAGTCAAGTTACAATTTATATATTGTTATTCTATGTTTTTTATGGACAGTGTGGTAAAGGGGTACTTCTTTGATTAGTCTGTCAAGTGCCAGAAAAAATAGAGTGTTTTTGGTAATATGCAAATGTGTCTGTCATAGAACAAAACTATTTAACTGCAATTAATTGTGTTCAACCGCGACATATTCAAATAAACTATGAAAGTATCTAAATAAGTGTATTTTTTGTTACAGTCTTGTCTCTAGTCCCGACCAAAGATCCCGTAACATTATTATAATAACTTAACTCTATCATCTTTACCTACCGTTACTAATCCGTCACCGACAGCTAGATATGCTATGTCCGAGTGTTTTGTGTGATGCCTCATTGCACTTTATATTGTGTCATAGGCATATGGCATTATATATATGTTATAAATAAATAAATTTGATATTTACAGGTTATTTATCTTACATGAATAAAATCTAAGTATAATAGATAGAGGATATTTTAACTATAAAAACAAGAATTAATTTTCATCAGTGGTATGAAAATAAATCCTGTATTTATAGAAAGAACTTGAATTTGCTGTGTGTTATATACATTTTTCTCTATTTTTTTGACATCATCGTTTGAAAGGCATTTCCTTAAATGATTTATTGTCTTATAAATTTGATCTTACATGCGTGAAAAGTATTTCGTTCTACTAGATTTTCTAGTGTAAGATAAATTCCATTTGTGTAAAGAAGGATTTTCATTGAATTTTACTTGTGTGGCATTAGCATATGACCAGATAACCTTCTTCCCGCCAGGGATTTTGTTTGGTATTTCTATTGGTTGGGGGGGGGGGGGGCATGGTCATCTGAGGACTATGTATATCAAGATGCATCCACATAAAAAGTATGAAGTCCCTACCTTTATGCATCTTCATTTAAAAGCCCGTTGAATATTTGATATATCGGGTCCCTGTGACCTTGTCCTTTTGACCAGAAAGTGTGTGTGGTAGGTTGAACTCATCAAGGTGTCTCCACATATGAAGTTTAATTGTTATATGTTTATTAGTAAAGGAACGCGTGACAATAGACACCAACTCCTATACAAGTCAATATAAATTAAGTACCCGCTAAGGTTGGGCGACTGTTGACTCATGGGTCATGACTAACATTTGTTTTGTATAAGTTCACAAGGCAATGCTACATATTCAATATTTAAGCTTCAGGCATTGAAGTTTCATACAAAAAGACTTAAACTTATCTTTCCTATGCAGGTTAATATAGATCATGACCCCATCGCCTTGGGTCGTTGAACATTTTACTCCAAAGAACATGATTTAGATACATGTATATTTTGCAGTGGTCCACAAGGCAATCCACATATTCAATATTTAAGCTTTAGGCATTTAAGTTTGAGAAAATACGGCTTAAATGTGTGTTTTTTTTCAAGTTGTCCCCTTGACCTACATGTGCAACAGACAGAAACTACTGAAGGATCATTCCCGTAAACTTTGGTTACAGGAGATGTTGTTTGAATAATAAGACAATATTGTAGAGATAATTGTATCAAGAAAAATCTTCAACCATCAAATAAGTTTGAAACTCGTAAATGTAATTGAACCAAAACTATCTAAACATTTAGTGGTTTATGCCTAAACTTGAAAACAACTTGTATTTAATGATGTTACATAAGTGTACAAAAGGTAATTGCAATATTTTGGCTCCTTAAAGTTGTCATCTGGAAACCATCTCATTGCTAATTAACACATTATAATATTTATGCAAATATTTAGTGGTCCAAATCCGAATTAAATTTCAACCTGAATTTCATTTGTTTCAGCCGTGTTCTGAAAACTATTTTGAATCAAGTGACTCCTAAAAAACTCAAGTGCAAACTATTTTTAGATGAAAAGGAGCAAAAACTATGTAAAAATTTAGTTGTCTTAAACAACTTTTAACTCCACCTGTAATTAATCTTGTAACATCTGTGTACCAAAAATAATTTCAATCAATTTACGATATGAAGAGTTATCATCTGGAAGCAACATATATTTTGCTAAACTGAAGTTGAAATTGGTCATAATTATGTAAAAATTTAGTGGCGTAAACCAATATTTGATCTTGATCTATATTTAATTGTGTGTCTCTGAATACAACCAGTTTTACCTGTTGAATAACTCTGTTTTAAGCCGACCCCGTTCAGGTTCAATGGAGTCTGCGTACACTCCAACTTTAATGAGTGCAGGGGCACATACCTCCATTACCTCACCAAAGTCAGCTGTATTGTCAATAATTATACATTTATAAATTAGACATGGCTTATTATCATGTAGGCCATCTTCTTAAAATATGTTTATATTGTTTTAATGCCTTTTATGATGATATTGTATATTGAAAAACAATTTCTATATAAATGTTAAAGTGACATTCATTTTTCTTTACTATATCTTAAATGTTTTATGTCATTATTAATCAAATGTTATTTACATAAATTTTCAATATATTCTTCTACGAATTCTGATGACTAGATGGCCAGTTCTGGAAACTAATAAAAGAACTCCCTCTGAACAAGTGAAGGTCTCCTGCAAATCTTTTATTAACTGCAGCAACTGCATCATTTAAAAATGTTATCCTTGTCCCTTTAAGCACATCATCTTATGCACCTTCACTCTTTGCTAAAAGCTTCTTCAAGTGTGGCCCATTGCTAGTAAGATGTACAAATTAGACATATAAAGCAACATGCATAAGCTTTAGTAGGTAGTAAGATTATATGTAAGTAAAATAGCAGGACAAACACATGGTAAGGTTATTATATGTCAGTACAAAAGCCGGATATGCAGGGTAAGTTTATATGTTAGTAAAGCAGAAAATTCTATGTTTCAGCTGAAGGAAGCAAAGTTAATAAATATATATGTACATATATGAAAATACCTTTCTTTTGTATTTATCTAGAGTTGAATTAACTGACTGCAGTTCGTTCCATATGTCTTCCAGGCATGCATTCTAGTTTTGAATGGCCTTAGACATCATACTTAAACAAATCACCAAATCTAGAAGGAAGTGTAGCCAAATTCTAACATGTGAATCTAGTAAAAGCTTGAGGAAGTGTTTTCCCTTGGCAGCAGAATCTTTGCGATGGGCAGGGTCTTGTGGATTTTGAATCTAAATATAAAGTATGTAATCAGTAGTTATTAAATGAATATCATTTCAGATTATTCATACAGTTGTTTTTTTTCTCAATATTATTGCACCTACCGGTATTATATTACTGTTACTATTGACCTTTCCACTATTCAGCATTTGTAAGACATGAAACACAGTTTTATTAATGTTCATTCAGTTAATGATCAATTCATTTTATATTAACTATTACAAGCTGTAAATGCTGAACAATTGCGTCATAGCCATGCAAAATATTCTTAATAGCAAGACGTGTATGAGGCAACCATCTGGTACCACCCATTCTGGTTGGAATCTTTGGAGGGATAGCACGTGTGTTAAAACATGCCATCAGATTAGCTCTATTAAGTGGGTTGTATCTGAAAGTATTATTCAGTTCCTTAACATATACTGAAACAAAAAAGAAACTTTATCCAAGTTTGAATGTAGATATGTAAGTACAGTTTTTTCAATCCTTTTGTCGATTTTATGTTGAATAAACATATCGAGCTTTTATACGGGGATTAGCTGACCGATTTTTCAAACAAAACGTGTTTTACAAGCTACTACATGTATATATGTGTGTACATCTAAGTGGTACCCTTGAACAACTGGCACATACTTTGCGAGTTTCTTTTTTGGTTCAGTATATAACTGAAGATTATTGTTTTGGTTTTTATTTCTTATAGACTTGCAAAAATATAGAATGGAAACAAATAAATATATTCAGTATTCCAAATTGTCTGCTTCGGTTTTCAATAAAAATGTGATTTTGCTTCTTCTTTAAATTTGAATGAAAATATAACATACTAAAAGAGATACAAATTCAGCAACAGTGCCTCACATTTCTTGCCGATAGTAGCTGAAATGACCTTGTTGGCATCTTTGTATGCTAGTCTGTAATTATAACAGATATTCAATACAAAGTATGTATGATTTATACAAAAATTACAGTTAAAGTGAGTCTCATGAATATGTACTTGTCAGTATTTCATGAAAAATGTAACCTCTAAGTTTGATGTAAAATTAAGTTGAAGCTCTCGATAAATTTGTGTTAAAATTGTCAGTATTTCATGAAAAATGTAACCTCTAAGTTTGATGTAAAATTAAGTTGAAGCTCTCGATAAATTTGTGTTAAAATTATTATTCTTTTTACCTGTGTGCATAACAATGGATGGCATGAATGAAAAAATGGTCTCTCAGTCAGCTCTCACATCTTTAGGAAGACACCTGTCTTCTTGCCAATCATTACACTGGCACCATCTCTCTCCATAGCAATTAGCTTCTGTTGCCACTTGTCTTGGAAACGCTCAGACAAAATGTTTCCTATTCCTTGACTGATGTTAGCACTGTCCGCTTTTGGGACATTTTGAACCCCAATGAGATGTGTGTAGACCTGAGGAAAACATAATTACACAAATTATTGATATAAATGTTTATTGATAAAATTTTATAGCACTGACCTTGGGTATAATGATATTTTTTAAGTGTTAAAACGTTACTTAAAATTAATTCTCTAGCTCAATATACTTCTATATCTTGATATGTATATAAGAATAATAATTAGTTTACATTTTGGCCAAATAAATATTTTAGCTAAATTATTTGACTTGAAAACGTGTTGATGGACTTGTGTTATATAAAAGTTTCATTTTGTTTGTAAACTACATTATCTAATAATTCAAATCTTTATCATGTAATCAGATACTTTAAAAAAGACCACCGCCTTACCTCTCCATCAACACATGACTGGACTAAAACTTATTCTGCCTCTTTTGAAGACACATCTGAGGAACCATCAGAAATAACTGATATAAACTGGGCTCTGTTTATTATATCATTTTGTGCATGTTTACGTACATCAGCGATAGCCCCTACAAATTTTGCAGTGTACTTATCAGTTGTGTACGTCTGACCAATATCAAGTCATTTAGCTCTATCTAAATGACACAGATTAACATAATCTGCATATGGTCTTCCAGTCTTTGCTATGTAGTGTGCATTTCTGAACAAATGAATCAGTTTCTTAAAGGCAGCATTATTCAGTTGCTTTATTGTCTTTTCTCCTTGGTAAGGCCCTGGAAAAGACATTTGGCTTTGCATTTCAAACTGTTAGCATTATGACCCTCTGATGCATCATGCTTTTTTAAAGCTTGCACTTTAAAATTGTCACAGCCTGTGACGAATGACCCGACCTTTTCATATTGTTTACAATACTTACATGTCATATTTTTTTCTGCGAATCATATGAAAGCCATTCGAACTCTGATAACCAAGCAGACTGGAAACTTCTTTCACGTTTTGTTTTATCGTAACAGCGTTGAGCTTCTAGTCTCTCATCTTTTGTTTTTGCTTTTCTTGTTGGAGGTTCAGGAATACCGCTAATATATTTCCACATACTGATGAATCCTCAAAAAAATATTTTTAAGCAACGCATTACAGTAAAGCGCTTCGGTAATCATGATCCGGTGCTGACGTAAAAAAATTGTATTGTAAAAATTACTAATATTGATGTTATCGATATTATTTTATGACAAGCATCGCGACTCGTTAGTTATAAAGTTAGTTTTTTTTTAATGTTACTTGTAATTTGTTTTGAATTATTAATTATTATACAAAATACACTTAAGGACAAGAATAGTTTTAACGGATCCCGACGGAATCCCTAGCCAGGAATCTTGGGGATTCCTCCCGATATTTTTGGATCCTCGTAATCCCGGGACGCCGTTAGTGTCGAACCCTGTGTTCTTTGAAATTGCAGTCTCTTTTTAAATGTTGTAACAATATGTTATATATTTTTGGCTCCTACAACTGAAGGAATATATAATACTCTTTTGCATTTTACATTGTTAAATATACATCTTAAAGTATATTAGATTAGATTTTTAGTTTTTGAAAAAGGTTTCTGATGTGAACCTTGGTATGTTCATATTCATTGTATCAATGTGTTTTACCACAGTGTGCAACTATGCATTATCATTTAGTGTCATATAAGTGGCGTTGAGAAATAACGGATAGCGGTTATGTTTACAAAACCACAGACCATTAAATCGAAAACAAAAGACTGATCTATCGTAAACTAGCAGTTATAAATATTGAAACGTTCAACTGTCAGGTCTTAGAAAGGAATGTTGCCATTATTATAGAACTTGAAGGTTATTAAATACAATCTGCAGGTATTTTACAGTTTTCATTTATCGTCTTTTTTCTTTCATTTTTAGCTCGACTATTCGATAAGAATAAGTAGAGCTATTGTAGTCACCCGAGCGTCGGCGTCGGCGTCAGCGTCGGCGTCTGCGTCGGCGTAACCACTTATGTTAAAGTTTTTGTAATAGTTTTAATATTTTCAAAGTCCATTGACATATGGCTTTGAAACTTTGCACACTTGTTCACCATCATTATCCCAACCTATAGACAGGAGGAGGTAACTGTATCAAGCATTTTGACAGAATTATGCCCCTTTTTCGACTTAGAATTTACGTTAAAGTTTTTGTAATAGTTCAGATATTTTCAAAGTCCATTGACATATGGCTTTGAAACTTTGCACACTTGTTTACCATCATTACCCCAACCTGTAGACAGGAGGAAGTAACTGTATCAAGCATTTTGACAGAATTATGCCCCTTTTTCGACTTAGAATTTACGTTAAAGTTTTTGTAATAGTTCAAATATTTTCAAAGTCCATTGACATATGGCTTTGAAACTTTGCACACTTGTTCACCATCATCACCCCAACCTGTAAACAGGAGGAGGTAACTGTATCAAGCATTTTGACAGAATTATGCCCCTTTTTCGACTTAGAATTTACGTTAAAGTTTTTGTAATAGTTCAAATATTTTCAAAGTCCATCGACATATGGCTTTGAAACTTTGCACACTTGTTCACCATCATTACCCCAACCTGTAAACAGGAGGAGGTAACTGTATCAAGCATTTTGACAGAATTATGCCCCTTTTTCGACTTAGAATTTACGTTAAAGTTTTTGTAATAGTTCAAATATTTTCAAAGTCCATCGACATATGGCTTTGAAACTTTGCACACTTGTTCACCATCATTACCCCAACCTGTAAACAGAAGGAGGTAACTGTATCAAGCATTTTGACAGAATTATGCCCCTTTTTCGAATTAGAATTTACGTTAAAGTTTTTGTAATAGTTCAAATATTTTCAAAGTCCATTGACATATGGCTTTGAAACTTTGCACACTTGTTCACCATCATTACCCCAACCTGTAAACAGGAGGAGGTAACTGTATCAAGCATTTTGACAGAATTATGCCCCTTTTTCGACTTAGAATTTACGTTAAAGTTTTTGTAATAGTTCAAATATTTTCAAAGTCCATTGACATATGGCTTTGAAACTTTGCACACTTGTTCACCATCATTACCCCAACCTGTAAACAGGAGGAGGTAACTGTATCAAGCATTTTGACAGAATTATGCCCCTTTTTTCAACTTAGAATTTACGTTAAAGTTTTTGTAATAGTTCAGATATTTTCAAAGTCCATTGACATATGGCTTTGAAACTTTGCACACTTGTTCACCATCATTACCCCAACCTGTAAACAGGAGGAGGTATCTGTATCAAGCATTTTTTTTACTATCAAGCACTAAGAATAGTCGAGCGTTGCTGTCCTACCGACAGCTCTTGTTGTTTATTTATTTTTAAAGAGACATAACATTGTATTCTAAAACATCTATATTTACATTTTCAGATTTTTGATATTGATTTGTTAATACAGTAAAGTCTGTAACTATATATCAGACCAAATCTTGGTTAGGAATATTCAAGATGACGTGTAGGTAGTATATAACAATCTTGCCAAAAATTGGATGCATATTGAAACGCAACTTCATTCCGTGCGGTCTGGAGACCGCAGGGTATGGACCTTTCCAGTTATTTGTAGCGGAACATTTAGCCACACCTTTTCCATTCATTGCTAGGTCAACTGCTCACAAACAGTATCACAAACATAACCACGTGTTCTTTTGTGTAAACCAGGTCAACCATTGACTATGTATTATCTCAGTGTAGCTATTGGATAACAAGTTAGCTAATTTACATAAAACTGTAAACACTGGAAAGGTCCATTGGTACGCGTTTAACTTTTGAGGCATGGAGGAGCACGTGACCTGTTTTCGGTACATGGAAGAGCATGTGATCTGTAAACCGTACACGATTGGTTAATTGACCTTTTCGAAAACCTGGCTAAATACCGTTTGTCGGTACGTTACGGAATTACCTCTAGGGAATTAGTCAGAATTACACCTAATTAAGAACAAAAAACTATTACGCGATATTTCTAATTTTCTATAATTATTTAACCGTTTAAGGTGGAAAAACTTGAATGATGTATTTGAAAATTATCATTGTTTCTTTAATATATATATCTCAAATTTTACAAACAATAAATTGTTTATACTGAAAATCTACAAAATTAAAATATTCGTAGTGGCATCTGCCATAATAAATATACAGTAGATATTTTCTGCGTAAACTTGTGTGTTTACTTTTTTTTTGCTTGGAATTATTCATAAAATGGTAGGCCTATTTAATCATTTTCTTAAAAAGAAATAATTGTTTTATGTTCGACCTTCTCCGGTCATCAACGGTCACCAGTTTCCAAAGACATTCTTCTATATTGATCGATTATTGTCAACTATATTCCTGATACAAACGTTTATTTATTCCCCTCTCCCAAAACAATGTTGAAAATAGTTAAATGAAATATCTTTATATCATTAAAAATGTTCCCCGCAGGAAACCATTTTACTTGTAGTATTTTATTGATAAGAACGTTCAGTACGACATTATTGTTGCGTGCTTGTGGTTTCTATTCGGCTATTTTCTAGTTGGGTGGTTCCAGTATTCCTCACTTGAATACTGTTAAATCACCCTTACGATATGGGGTCTGCTTTTTAAATTTGTCTTTTGGCAGCTTATCTGTGATATGCAGGATCCCCTTTCAAAATTTCATGTATTTAGTTCCGCCCATTGTTTACTGGTCTAGGGCACACGCATTTTTTTACTTGACAACCATACACTGCTTTTCATGGAATGGCAAGAAAGTGTCACATTTAAGGTTCCATGACAACCGTCGTATTAAAACATCTGCGGATGTTTCTAAATTCAAAATTTCATCATTACCATCATAAAATGTTGAAATCTGCTTTAATTACGGAAATATTTTACTAAATTTTACAATCGTAACTTTGATTTAATTTCTAAATTCAATAGTGATTTAAAAACTCTTCTGCGACAAGGGATTAGCCAGCCTGGTTTTTATGGCGATGTGGTTTACAAACTTCGTAAGATTTTGGGTCATGGTAATTTTTCTGCTGTTTTTACTAAAATCATTAAACGTTTTATTAAAAGAGGTTATGACCCTACTATTTTAAGACATACTGCATGTTTAGTGTTCAACCCTTTTACAGTTGGACACTACGCTTTCCTCTTTTGATTGCATCTGACGGACCAAGTGGGAGACTCTATGATGGATAGTTCGTAAAGCCCTTTGGGACTGAATTGTCTTAATGTTCGTCTTCTGCCTTGCTTCGTCGGCCCTTGTAGGTGATTTTCTGTTGCTCTGTCTTCCTTTAGGACATTGAGTACTTTTGTTATGGTCATTGGGTTTACTTTTATATGTTTCTACATGATCATTTTAGTGTTTTTACTTATTTAACCTTTTGTAACCATGACAACTGTTAGAATTTCACTTGGCGGGGATTCATTTTATTTACACTGTCTCGTTTATAGGAACATGGTGGGGCTAAGAGCGAGGTTTGGTGCACCATTAACCGGTTTAAACTCCCCAGCAGTCATTATTATGCTGCTGACCGTTCCAAGGCGGCGCCCCACTGTGTTCCTCAGATGTATGTCTATGTTGTTTCATACTGTTTTGGTGACACTTTTGCTTGTGTCCCTTGTTGTTTTCTCGTCTACGGTAAGTATCTTCCCCATTGCCTCTAGTTTTTATTTCTTTGATTAACCCCCCCCCCTTCCCCCGGTCTTCTGTCCCCTTCCCCTTTGTGGGCCTATTATTATTTTCTTTGAATTCCTAATCAGTTACAAATTATTTATCATTTAATGATTAACGTGTCGTTGCCCTGTCCTTTTTATGTTTGGGGTCCGCCTGGGCTCCTTGCCATTGGTTCTTGTTGCTGGGTCATATGGGGGTTGCGTTCATTGAACGCCGCCTTTCCTTGTTGATCTTGTTTTTCATATTTTAGCCGATGCTAGGGGACGTGGTAGGTAACTTGCACTTTCCATTACCGCCCGTAAACAGGCTCAATCAAATCGAGACTGCAACATTTACTATTTTGTCGTTGGGGATTGTTTATTTGTCTCTTTTTCATAATGGACATTCAAACAATGACATTGAATACATTGAATAAATTATTATATTTTGATATTTCCAGATATGGCATTTGCATTATCCGGCTAAAATGGGTGACACGCCATCAAGACCGTCGAGCGGGCCTGATTATATAAATACATCCCCTTATCCAAGACAGGGATCAAAGCAGGAACCGTTCATGTTCAAGATACACTATCCCCCGGAAATGAGAAGATCTGTTCATTCAATAAAACCTGTTTACGCAAAAATATCAGACGACCAGATAGAGACTGAAAAAGCCACCGTAGATAGAGTTCCTCCGAAATAGAATAATTTAGATTGTGACTTCGAATTTGATCCCAAAACTTAATTTTGACATTCCCGTATACTAAGTAAATATGCGACTGTGACATCGTGCACTGTACTTGTTTATATATTTCATTTTATGATTTTCTTATTCGTATCAGCGGGTGTTCCGATATTTCAAAAGATACCTTGCAAGTCAGATATGCTTTTTATGTTGTTGAGATCGTGTTGCTAAAACAAACTAAGCTAAACTATAGACATTTAATTGTTTATGGAAAGTTTTAACGATGTGCAATGTTTGCTTTACAAAATTGTTCTTTATATTGGATAATTCTAAGCAAGTGTAAATCACTTGATAAATACAGGTAGTAACTTGAGAGTGCAAAGAAAATGTACCAAAAGTCATCCTGTGCTTTGTGGATTTATGCAAATTAGCTGAGGGGTCGTCAACAGGGTGGCACTATGTTTATTCAGTATTGCACAGCTGTCAAATTAAACCAATCAAGGATGAAAGGTGGCACTGTTTTATGAATTTTATTATGATTTTCAGTGTTTTATATGTTTTAAAAGAACCATGATTTATTATTAATTGTTTTAGATTCATTTTGATTTCTTACACGATGTTATATACGCACTTCAGTTTTGGCTCTTGGCTAATCCAAAGTTTCTTGTCAGTTATTTGAATTTGGCAAATACAATAAAATTAACAGAATTTACATTCTTACATTATTTTATTAATTTTTGATATTATGAACTTTAATTAGATATAAAAGTTTTTACTTTAAAATCATCTGAAAAGTAGTTACGCTGATTTATATTAGTAAAATGATAATTTTATAGTTTTGTATCTCTGTAAATATTCATCACACTTTCATGTACAATACACCAATAGAAAGAAAAGTTAATTTCAAAAGTCATAAAATGTTCAAATCAAGATTCATTTATAGTGGTTTACGTATTTTCCCAAAATTATCTGTATATAGATAGTGCACAGTATTGATAAGAGTGTATTGGGTTATTAATATTGTTAATAAGTGTATGAAATAAAGGGTTCTGTATTGAGACAAATTGTAATTCTAATTCTATTGTTAGATGTCTGTATCATTCACACCAATAATTCACTCGTCATAACGTGACATATAAACATTCCCTAAACCTGTTGAATGTGTGTAATAGTTTCTCAGTGCTTTGAATTTTGATCAATTTATTCAAAGTTTAAGGGAATTAAATATAAAATAAACACAACACAATTTTAGTCTTGATAGACTATACTAATGTACAGGCGGGCCTGGCTATATACTTGTGGCAAAGCCTAAATCACTTTCCAACAGGACAATGGTTCAAATAATAAAGCTATAGTTCATCCAAATAGATTGAATATGTATAAAGTGACTACAATGCATTTATATCAGGTATATCAGTTTTAAATTAAGCACATTGATTTAAGCTTGATTGTAGCTGATTTGAACAACGCACGATTTCGCATCTTGAAACGAACACGTTTTTGCATTAGATGAGACAATAAGGTCATGAATCGAGTCGGGCTTGACTCAACAATCAATGAGAGGCAGACAGGTTTTCGTCTTTTATACTTCCTCCTTCTATAATTTACTTTCTGTTACATTCTATGTGACTTTGCAACTAGAATTGTGACCGAAGTTTTACATATTGAGTACATTTTGTTTTACAATGTATCAAACATATTCTATTTTAAAAGTATATTTTGTATGACATAAACAAATCTGATGCACTGATCAACTCCCCACATACAAGTGCAGAAGCAAAATGTTGAAGATTACCAGCTTCTTGTACGAGAGATCGCAAGTTCGATTCTATGTCTAGTAATGTAATATATCGTTATCCTCAGTGGAAAGGGGATACTTTTTCGAATAATCTTTCTAGTGTCAGAAAAATCAGAATAGTTTGGATAATTTGCAAATGTGTCTACGATGTTTTTCAGTATAATGTTAGTTACATATGTCAATATGTCTGTAGTGTATTTCATTAAATCATTGGGGTTATATGTCAGTGTATCTAGGTACATATAATTACAGCGTGTATCAACGGTGTATTTTAGTATAGCGTGATTTGTTGGGGGTTATATGTCAACGTGTTTACGGTGTATTTCAATATAGCGTGAAAAGTTGGTGTATATACGATGTATTTCAGTTTAACGTGAGTTGTTATATGTCAATGTGTATATGGTGTATTTCTGTAAAGCGTGAGCTGTTGGGGTTATATGTCTGTGTAGCGTGAGTGTCTTGATTATTTTCAATAAGTGTAGCGTGTATTTCAGTCTAGCGTGCGCCACGAGTGATTGGTGTTGTATGTCAATGGCTGAAGGGTGTATTTCAGTAAAGCTTGAGACATGAGTGGTTGGGGTTGTATGTCAATGTAGCTACATTATTTCATAATTATGTCAACAGATTCGATGGTGTGTCATTGTGTTTCTGATCGTAATATAAAGACACAAAAATCAGTTAATATTTAGATTTGAATGCACAAACAAAGACATTATTATAAAAAGCATTGCTTTATGAATCTCAGCTAACATAACTGACATCGTGTATTTTATATAATGAAGATATGCACTCAGTACATACTTTTCAAGAAAGCAAGCATTAATAGTGAAATGTAAAAAGACATTCAGTTTTAAATGTAAGAAGCAAGTACTTTGTTGTATTGATTAACAATGTCCAGTCCCCTGGATTGCGAACATCGCAACAGACTTTATTTCACTCTATACTATATAGACCAACATGTCCTAACAACTATAGCAATCCAAACAACAACATTTTTCCCTTTTTTAAACACATATTTATGCATTGTAATTTCAAGTAGATCTACACAATGAATAAAGAAATGCGTATTTTACTGAAGAACTTGTAAAGACAGAACGCTAAAAAAGATAATCAGCCACTTCCATTGATTGACACATAAATAAAGTCATAAATATTGTTATAAATATTGCTTATTTGTATATTAAAACTCCGTTTTTGGACGGGATGCTAAATATTCTTTGATTTTTGGTAGTTGTTCCACCTTCTGACGGTTTGCTGCTAGGACAGGGAACTTCTCTAACTTGTCACCGGCTCTACAGTTTTCTATGTAAGTGAACAAGGCAAGGTCCGCTAATGTCAGCTACAATAGATTAGTCATTATATTATACGTAATAACAGATTCATATATTTCACATAGTGTTAAATATTGCATATTAATGAAAATCTTATGAACATGATATTAACAAAATCATGATTTAATCATAAAATAATCATAATGCTAGTTCATATCTATCATAAACTATTATTAGAGATGCTATCATATACTTAAAGGCTCATTATGCTTCAGAAATCCGTATTTTATAATCTTTTAGAAATGTCATACATGTGTTTAATAATGTTTAAGCAATTGATAAAGAGCATGCTAGATATTTTAAACCTTAAAAAAGCACCATTGAACATGCAGTTATATATCGTATAGACAGCAACATGTGCACAAAGTAGTATCATGACTTCCATACAAAATACTTATTAATAGGATTATACCAGTTAACGCTGTAAAAGATTGTTCATGTATACAACAAATGCGTAGATTGATGGAAACTGTAACAAAATAACAAAACAGTTTTTTGAGAAATTAAAAATCATAGTATTTCGGAGTCATAATGGGTCTTTAAGACAGAGATATAAATGATGATATCGTGATTTACTCATAAGACGTTCTGATTACATATCCGTATTTTATTTTATCAAGTTTAGTATACTAACCGTTTGTCCAACAGCAAATCCCTTTCCATCTTTAGCAAGAGCTTCCAAAAAACCTAATTGCTTAGGTAAAGTTGTCTCATAGAATTCTTTCATTTTGATTTCCTGAATTTACAAAGAAACAGATAAATTTTATCAATAAACAGAATGACTGATAAAGTTGACGAGCAGCATGATGGGCGTACATCAACTTTGTTACTTGGGTCTTAAGATATTTTGCAAAGAGTTTTCCTGTTTGTCTCTGTTAATGTCACAATAAAACTATGCAGAAGTAGAAACTTTTATCACTCATAGATAAAGCAAGTTTTGTAATTACAAAAATGTATTTACTACTAAATAGAAAATGAGTTACCTTCTCTTTTTCATCTTTATTAAAAACTACTTTTATAAATGCCTCGAAAAGATCAATACTCGTATCTACAATCTGATCGACTACAAGCATGTCCTCGTTAGTCTTACCATACAAATCTGCAATAAAACACTTATTAAATATCACATCTTTAATAACATTCTTTCTTAAATGTTTATAAGCTAAGAGTACATTAATAATCGATCTTATATAACATGATACATGACATCAAATGCGCTTATAATACAATGTAATTAATAAATTAGATAAATCATAATTGGTGAATTGCTCTGGTAGCAATATTATCGACCTGTAAATTAGTAAGTGTACATATTTACATGAAATTCGTTAAGATATTTTGTTTACAATGATGTATGCTAATTCTGACTGCAAAGTGAATTCGGGGGGGGGGGGGGGGGGGGGGTATGATTGAATTTTGTAGCACAGGTGTTATTAGAAGATAATCATTTCTGATGTGCAAGAAATGTTTTTCGATCTATATAATGAGTTGTTAAAGACGAATGAACTTGAATGTTACACTTACTGAATTCTCGTGCCAAGTAACGTGCAATAGATAAACTCTGTGACGCCTTTTTGCCGTCTATTTCTAACACTGGCATTGTACCTTGGGGCATTTCTGTAAAAAACATTGGACATTGATATATAACTTAAATGTGATGAAATCAATTCGACCTCTGAATTATCACTACGTTATCGCGAAGAAGAATATGAAACTGTTCTCTAAGAAATTATATTTTACATTATTTACAATGTTACATCTTGGAAAATGTTTTTTTTTTCAATAAGTCTGCCATTGAATGTGAACAATAATCTATCCGGATGTCCGTGTGATTCCTTTAATAACAGTGTCAACATACTTGCTGAATAGCAAAACAGAACAGTGAAATCAATAGTACAGCATAGTCAATATAAACAAACAATGCAAACAGTGATATACTCATACAAACGTTATATAGAAATACATAGTTATATTTTATGAGTGTTATCTTTGAGTCATGACTAAGTAATTCTAGTATTTTTTTATTTGACTTTAGCAGAAATAACGCGATATCATGGATTAAACTTTTTTTCTGTGTTCATAACTAAAAAGTTCAAACACACTGGTCTCTGCCTGCAGTATTTAAGAATATACTGAGTGCATATATTATTGAAAATATTAAGCCGCAGTACATTCGACTGTTGGATTATCATAAAGTCTGTATAGTCAACATTGTGTTTCCTCCCTGATATTCCCGTGTCCTCTATAATCAATATCTAGACCTATACATTGTGACGATATCCTTACCTTTGATATCTATTTTTGAGATACATCATTTATGTAAGATGCTGAAACATTGTAATCCTATTTCAATTATTCCCTGCGGTCTGGAGACCGCAGGGTATTGGTACGCGTTTACCTTTGGAGGCATGGAGGAGCACGTGACCTGTTTTCGGTACATGGAGGAGCATGTGAACTGTAAACCGTACATGATTGGTAAATTGACCTTTTCGAAAACCTGGCTAAATACCGTTTGCCGGTACGTTACGGATAATCCTCTTGGGAATAAGTCAGAATTACACCTAATTAAGAACAAAAAACTATTACGTGATATCTCTAATTTTCTATAATTATAATACCGTTTAAGGCGGAAAAACTTGAATGATGTGTTTGAAAATTAACAATGTTTCTTTAATATGTATCTCAAAATGTTACAAACAATAAATTGTTTATACTGAAAATCTACAAAATTAAAATATTCGTAGTGGCATCTGCCATAATAAATAGAGATGTTTTCTGCGAAAACTTGTGTGCTTGCTTTTTTTTCTTTTTTTTTTTTTTTTTTTTTTGCTCGGAATTATTCATAAAATGGTAGGCCTATTTAATCATTTTCTTAAAAAGAAATAATTGTTTTATGTTCGACCTTCTCCGGTCATAAACGGTCACCAGTTTCCAAAGACCTTCTTCTATATTGATAGATTATTGTCAACTATATTCCAGATACAAACGTTTATTTATCCACCCACCCAAACAATGTTGAAGATAGTTAAACGAAAAATCTTTATATCATAAAAAAATTCCTCGCAGGAAACCATTTTACTTGTCTAAACCTTGTCAAACTTGCGATATGAGTCATGCGAATTCTGCATTTCGTAATACAATATAATTGATAATATGTTTAGTTTTAGTATATTCAAGAATACATCAGCATTTACCCTTTTTCAGTATTCTTTAAAACTGTGACTTGTATCGCTTGACTGCAGACAACCTCCAATTATAATGATATTACATAAATCGCATGTGGGTTTGTGGGTAACAGTAAAAATATCATCCCGAGGAAAATACTGTCTCCCGATTCATTCTATTACCCCGAATTAAAACTGTGATGATTTTAATGATGATTTTATTTTATAAGAAAATAGACCATTTGACCAGATTTTATATTATTACCCCTCACTTTTTTTGTAATGCTAATTTCCCAAAGGCCTCTGGGAGTTATTTTTACTGTTAATGCAAGTGTACCACGTGACCAAAAATTTTGTACTGTTACATAGGTAACAGTATTTTTTAAGCGGTCACGTGGTCTATTTCCTAAATAAAATGAAATAAAATGGCCGCCATTTTTTTCTCGATTCATTCTTATTTTCAACGTTAAACCCCGATAGGGACATCAATTTCTCCTTCTGGAGTCCAAAAATGACACTCGTAAAATTTAAGTTGTTTGTTACCCTGGTGTGCTTATTCGCGTACATAAATATCCTTTTATCTAAATTAGATCTTATGCTCAATAGTCAAAAAGTGAACATCCGTTTTCAACGGAAGTGATTGCAATGTAAATAATTATGTGTCAAACTGAAAAATGCAGAAGATTTTAAGCACTGCAACAAAGGATTATTTAACAAATTTAATCAGTGAAAACGTTACAGATATGGTGGACATAGATATCATCGTTATTTTGTCAAAAAACCATTCTAAGAAAAAGAATATTCTGGAAAACAGAAGGATCAGATTTCACAGAATCATAAAACCGTTGTAAATGGGTTAGTGTTTTGTTTCCTAAATAAAACTTAGCTTATTGTAGCGTTTATGATTTGTAGATATCATCACTTGCTTAAAGAATAAAAGAAAAAGAAAACTTCTCAAGTAGGCCTACAGTAAGTAGCACTTAAAACTTAAAAGGTAAGGACAGTTTGGTTATTGTTACTCTTGGTTTATTTTTGTTACAGTTAGATTTAGTTTACAATTTCGAGATCATCTCAGTATTTTTGTTCGGGGTAATAAAATAAATAACACATGGGTTTGTGAGTAACAGTAAAAATATCATCCCTCGTAAAAATACTGTTACCCTCGGCTACGCCTCGGGTAACAGTATTTTCCTCGGGATGATATTTTTACTGTTACCCACAAACCCATGTGTTATTTATATACTGTTAAAAATACTGTTACCCTGTAACAGTTCAAATTTCTTAGTCTCATGGTACACTTACATTAACAATATAAATAACTCCAAGTGGCTCTTCGGGAAATTAACATTTCACAAAAAGTGAGGGGTAATAGATATTAATCATACACAGCCTACATCTAAATATTTTTCAAAAAGAAACAAACCTTGTTTTACATTAGGCCAGTCAGAGAACTCGATTCTTTTATCTTCAAATTTCTTCCCTGCTGCGGCAAAAATCAGTCTTGAGAGCTCGCCCTCCCCCTTTTTCCCTTTTAAAAATTTTAAATTTTTATTCCGGATTTTTTTCCCCTTTTAAAACGATGTCAAATATATTTTAATCTTTAAAAAAAAAAGAACCAAACCTTTGCCATGAACCGGTTTGAATGTTCTAATTTTAAAAACTATAGTTTTTTTTTTTGTAAAGACTAGTCGAACAAATTTACATTTTTCATTAAGTGTTTTTATTAGGAAACTCACTTTTTTTTGCCCAATTTTTAAAGTCCACTAGGTAGTACCCCTTGAACCTGACCTTTTTAAATATTTTTGATAAAAAGTCCCTAGAGCGCAACGCTAAATTACAAAACAAAAGGAAAAAACTTTGAAATTTCAGTCAAAAATATTTAGTAAGGTAATAATAACGAACTTTAGGGGTTTTTTTACTTTTCTAAAAAGGGGCTTAAACAAACTCATGTTGTAAAAAAAATTGCCAATGCTAATAATAAAAAATTGCTATACTAACGGGCGGGACCACCAACGGGCACTTTTTGATAATTTTCCCTACTGATTTTTTTGATTTTAAAGCTGGAATCTGAAAAATTTTTTAATAAGCTGGTTCTTTTCTGAAATAAAAGACTATTTTTTTTTTTCTGATTATGCTGACTTTTAAACTGAAGCTGTGAAGGGGGTATCAAATTCCCAATATTGTCCACACATACCATGACCAACAATATTCCATGATGCTATTTAAATTCCATAAACTTTTTTTTTTTTTTAAAAAAAATTTTTTTAAATAATATAAAAATTTCAAGAGCAAATTAAATGCAAGTTCTAAAAAAAAGGACTTTTGAAATTTACGAAAATTAAATAAATTCAATTACTTAATTATAAAACAAACATGCAGTTATTGTTGATATAAAAGCAAATGATAGATCAACAACCAATGAATAAATAAAAAAGGCATTTTTGGGGCCGTCCGGGTTTGGTGGTTGTCCGATTTTGGTGGTCTCCAACCAGTGCGACCCGAACAAATTATACAAAATGAAGAAAAACATGTCTTTTTAATATTAGATAAAAAAAAATTTCCGCGTCCGCGGAATATCATTAAATGCAGGCTTTAATTAAAGCAAAATCATAAAAAGACATGCGAAATCTAGATATTCTAAGCAAAGAAACAACTTCAACGAAATGTCTTGACTACATTATTACTGATTAAAGGTGTCTATTTGGGACTGAGCGTCTATTTTGAACTTAGAGTGATTTAATCCGGTTTCAACAACATTAAAACAACCATTGGTACCGTTCGACATATAACGGTAGAGACATTGGTATCGCTCGCCATATAACGATAATGACTTTCTTACTTTTTCAAAGAATACTAGGGGCGTCCGTGGCCGAGTGGTTAAGGTCGTTGACTTCAAATGACTTGCCCCTCACCACTGTGGGTTCGAATCCCGACAGGGAATTTGGATTCTTTCATGTGAGGAAGCTATCCAGCTAGCTTACGGAACGTCAGTGGTCCTACTCAGGTGCCCGTTCGTGCCTGAAATGATGCACGGAAGGGCACCTGAGGTCTTCCTCCATCAGTAAAGGTGGAGCGTCGCGATATTACATATACTGTGTCGATGTGACGTAAAACCCAAAACAAACAAACAAACAAACAAACAAAAAAGAACACTATGCATTAAGATCGAATTAGTCGCCACCAATTACAGTTATGTGACTAAAAATTCACTGATTAACATCATACTGTATGTAAATTGCATACAATGAAATATTTGCGGCATAATTTTGTCATGTTTTATTAAATCTATGACTCAGCAATAGTAGCCCGAATCTCTTATCAGCTCTTTTTGTCACAATATGATTGTTAAAGAAATTTGTAATTTAATGCGAGTGTCCAAACAAAATATTTCTGTTTCATGAATGGTCAAGTTTACACTATTTCGTAACGCTCCAGTCGTCAGTTGTAACGGTCAACATGTGTTCCGATATTTTAACCCTGGATATAATTGATATAATTTCGTAAATGTAATACGTTACAAAATTATTGATATTGTTAAATAAATACAAACGATCGAGACAAAATTAAATGATGTAAAAGTGTCCCTGGTGGGTGTTCACGTGTACATTTCTAAAAAAAAAGCAAATACGTTATATTTGAAAATTTACAATTAATAACACATACAATGTCATGCTGTTTCGTTATATTTAATGTTGAATGGATACTGGTAGATTTATTATAAAAGTGTTGTACACACAAGCGTTGGAAGTACTAAAGAAAAATAAATGAAATTGGCAAATAACATTATTTAAATGACTTTTTTCCCTTTGTTCACTAATGTTAACATGGGGCTGTCCGTATTTTTCGGACCCTGTTAGTACGAACCCAGACCCTAGTCATAACCTAAATGGAAATTTTGGCACTTTAAGTCTTAAGAATATTACTTTAACAATGTCCACATCTTATAAAATGTAACTTATCAACTCTCGGCGTGTCATGGTAAAATATAAATCATATTTAGGACCAGAAAAAACAAACTCTAAATCACATTGTACATTAACAAATGTTTTGATGTACATTGATCCCCTAAATCGGAAGTTGGAATTAAATGTTTTAAGTGTCGATCGGCCAACCATATCTGTCGAATGTAATGTCGGTAATATATTCAGTTTTATTTATAGTATGATTCAAACTATCAGCTCATTCTCAACATGCAATGAAATTTTACAGGTTACGATATATAATAAAAAAAACTTTTAAAACACACAAAGCATCAACTTACAAGTTTTGGTTTTGGGGGTGGTATAAAACAATTGAATATTTTCTTTAAGATAATGTAAGAACGAATTTGACTTTAACATTATTGATTGCGTGAATAATTTCCCTTTCATGTCCATACAAATATTAAATCATACCACCAATAATACTCTGGTTGTTCAGCATAAATTAATACGTCCAGGTAGTCTGGATTACCTGCCCTGTTACTACGTTATATAATAATCGCATAATACAAATGTAATAGGCGGGGAACTAGACTAGGTTTGCACTTATATTTTAAATTCAGCAGTGAATATATTTACGTTCTTGGGATCCAGTGTTTAAAAGGCACTTTGTAGATGTTAACACTTTAACAAACCTATATTTATACATACCTAAAAAAGAAACGTTCACAAAGTATGTGCCAGTTGTTCAAGGGTATCACTTATATACATGAAGTAGCTTGTAAAACTCGTTTTGTTTGCAAAATCGGTCAGCTAATCCCTGTATAAAAGCCCGATATGGTAATTCAACGTAAAATCGAGTTTCAAAAGGATTGAAAAACTGTACCAACATATCTACATTCAATTTTGAAGAAAACCTGTTTGTTTTATGTGTCGTTTGTTAAACAAAAAAGGGTAATTGTTTGAATAGCAATATCTGTATATAAGCGGGACTGGACACGGCGTGCTATTGCAATATCGTGTATTTGTTAGATTTAAAATCTTCGAATATAACACATCTGAAGACGAAATATTTCTATTCTATTTCAATATTATTTTCACATAAAAACAATAATAAATAAATTGCTTAAATCAGTAAAGTTATTGGGTAAAGAGATCAATATGTTATCTTTCTATTTGAATGGCAGTATTAGTCACTTTTTATACTCTTGGCTGATTTAAAAAAAATAATAAAGAACAATATTGATGATGAATGTTTCTTTAAAACATGACATATAAAACAAAAATAACAAAGTGAAGTCGTAAAATAAAATATTCAGATCATTACTTATTTCATATGATGTTTTAAAATGATGTTTCAGGGCGAGATTTTAAATATTCTTTCATTCTAGGTAGCTCCCCCACCTTCTTACGATTTGCTGCCAGGAGAGGATATTTGTCTAGCATGTTGCCCACTGTGTAATTTTCAATGGCATTGTACAAAATTAGGTCACCCAATGTCAACTGGAAAAAAAAGAATATAAAAGGATAAATAAATTTTATTTGTATATGTACATAATGATTTTCTATATACTAAACTGTTTGTTTATAATAACATATGTGCTAGTTTAACAGATCATACATTTCTCAGTCACACACTTGTAGCAGGTACCTAACCAATTACCTGTTGTACTACTTGCTCAGCAAACCTGGCCGGCTCTTAAATAAAACAGCGATATTGTTGAAACTTCCACTTTTTGCGATCAGTGATATTTCATGTATATATTTCGCAAATTTATCAGACGCTCCTTTCAGTTATTTTGACTTATTTTATTTGAATTGTATATCAATATTAAAATTACTACTGCTATACATGCATATTAATGTATCGAATAAATAAAAATTGCATGACTTTTGGGAATGTTATTTTAATATTCATTTTGCAATTAAAAATATATGTGAAATTATCATTACATTAATTATCAAAATGATACAATAGTCAATGTTTCAAACGGTACAGCGTTACAAAACCTCCGAGAAACTTACCGATTGCCCAACTGCGAAACCATTCTGTCCTGTCTCTTTTACCAGGTTTTCCAGCATTTCTAAATGTTTTGGTAAAGTTGTTTTGTCAAATTCTTCTTTTTGTTTAGCCTTAGATATAGAAACGAAAAAATCATTTTAAAACAACGTCATATCGTTATACAAATCGCTTCAGAGTAAGTGAGATTATCACCCGATTTTGACAATTATTTTACGTCATTTTTAACATTTTGTAACATGAGAATGTCAAGGTCAATGGCTATCCAGAAACAAAACATTTAAAGAAATTTCCATTCCTATTTCAAATATCATTGTTGACTGTCAAACTAGGTAGAACATGTACATGAAGAGGATGGGAGCATCATAAGGAGTATATAATATGAAGAAAATGTAGTTCCAGATTAATTAAGATTATTTGAAACCCATCTTATACAGAATGTCTTATCAATTTACTACCAGAGTAAGGAAGTTTCCTGGACTTTAATCCATCAGTGCAAACCAATAACTAAAATAATGTATTCAGAAAATGTTTTGTTACCTTCTTTGTACGATGTTAGTAAAATATGCAATCACATACCGATTCTTCTTTATCTGGGTTGAATTTGATCTTTATAAGTGCTGGTAACACGTCGGCACAAGTGTCTATGATTTGGTCCACCATCACCATCTCGCTATTGTCTTTACCATACATATCTGAAAATATCATTAAGTAACTTATAAACACATTGATCAAATGAGCCGCGTCACGACAAAACCAACATACATGTAGTGCGTTTGCGACCAGCATGGATCCAGACCAGCCTGCGCATCCGCGCAGTCTGATCAGGGTCCATGCTATTCGCTATCAGGTTCTTTTTGTAAGCGAACAACATGGATCCTGATCAGACTGCGCGGTAAGCGCAGGCTGGTTTGGATCCATGCTGGTCACAAACGCACCATGTTGGTTTTGTCGTGACGCGGCTCAAATGTGTTCGTATACAGTTTAACCAAAACGCTAGTGCTATGATGTAAATCATAAAATCAGTGTTTAAATAAACATACATATAGATATATGAGGTAAATAATTATTTCCAGATGTCAATAAAACTAGATATAGAAAAATATGAATAAGTAAATCTATGTTGAAATAGCACATACAACTTAGTCTCTCTTAAAATGAGTAACGCATATCTAACTGTGTGCATGTATGTTTTTTGTGGCAAGTAAATTACTGAAACATGGGAAAATATGTTATATTATGCACCAGCTGAGACATATATCGATTCAAACTGAATATACTCGTATTGTATGATTTAACTCACTAAATTCTCTCGCCAAGTAACGTGCAATTGCCAAACTCTGTGAGATCTTCTTTTTGCCGTCTATTTCTAACACAGGAACAGTCCCCTGAGGCATTTCTGTAAGTATAAACATACTAAAGTGTTGTAAAAATAGAAATTATAAAATATATAAAAGTGATTTACACAAAGGTAAAACAGATTAAAGTGCTGCAATTAAAAAGATTAAAAGTTCTCTACGCGAAAAAGATTAACTGACGCGTTAGTTTGCCGATACCTGTGACAATTCTGACAGGCTAGTTGTTATTTTCGAGGTAATACAGGATGCTGCAGTTGCCCCTTCCTAGAGATGTTCTGGAGTAGCAACAATTCACGGGACCGTTGTTTTTAAGTTAACATCTGAAAGATCATTAGAATGGCTTATAGAGGAGCAAGAAAACAAGCACACAAGACCTGGTCCCGTGACAGGAAATCTATATGGAATTGGTGTTCCGAATGAAAATATGAGTTGCTAAAAATCAAACATCTTCATACATAATGTCATGTAACAATCTGTATCACCTTAACAGCATATTCTAGAAATGTCGTTTAAAACAATCTTATAAAATATCTATTGAAACCCACGTTTTATTAAGTTGGTAAAACTTTGTATACGTATATTCATTATCAGTACTCAGTTTATTTGTTCCTCTAATTATCGTTCACTCTTTTACTTTTATGGTTTCGCAAATACTCTAATGCCATCGTCAATCTCATAATATGTAGATAATAACATGTATTTTATGTCATATTAACATTAAACTAAAAACAATTACCTTGTTTAAGAGTTTGCCAATCAGCTGATGTTATTCTCTTATCTTCGTATGACTTGCCTGCAGCAGCAAACACCAGCCTTGATATTTCAGCTCTCCCCTTTCCGTTGAAATACGTCAGTTTGTATGTCGCCATCTTTCCGTTTCTTTAATACCGATTATTGTAATGAAAAAACTAGAAAGAAAACGAATTCAATAATCCTATTCCTATTTTAGATAAACTGAGATTGAATGTTCTAGTTTATCACATCAAGGGATTGATTTAAGTACATAACCGCCGAGAGAGTGTGTTATGTATTAACATAAGAAAATTGTGTATTCATAATTCTTAACCTGTCAATTTGATTAAGTATACAACGTCCACATATTTTGAACACTTTATATTAAAGTAGGTTTATAACAAGTGTATATTGATCTGGGACCTCTGTGTTTGTCTTACGATAAAACGGTTTTAGACTACATGTATTTGATCAATTAGTGCAAACTGCAAGTCACAGCTAAAGATTATCCACTTACCACAATTATACCCGCCGCCACACCCTGCTCTTCATATAAATTTACATGTAAAAAACTGTCATACCGAATGCAGGGCAAACTCGTGTATTTTAAAGATGTTCGTTTCTGTCAGTACGAATTTGTGCATGCAACATAAATACACGATGCAGTCGAATAAGTACAGGTATGTTATAAATGTGCTGATTAATGCACTTACTGTCACACTGTTGTCACACTAGTTTTCAAAGTTTACATTGTTCAAAGACGACTTGAATATACCCTTCGCGTGAAAGAAAATGTACTTATATTCGTTCAAAGAAAATCAGCTTTGATGCGATGTATATTCTTTTAAATTCATAAACCGTAAAACGTGTAATGGTATAGTATGGAATGCAAAGGCTTGAACACGACACTCTTATCAGCTGATCAGTCTCAAATTGAATGACGAACTCGGAGTCAAAGTAACCATATACAAAATGCATTTACTTAACATCTGTATAACATGTAATTATCAATTGCATACGAATTTAAACACACAAATTATTATTTTTATCTTTGCTGTAGTTAACATCTTGCTTTTTTTTGAATTATGTTTTATTTGTTGAAAAATCGGTTATATTATAACACAGGTACATGTATGTCTTTTGTGTCGTTGCAATACGTTTCAAGTGCATTGAATATAAGTCAGTTTTAAATTACAAATTTTTCACGTTCGTTTGTTTTTATTTTGTGATCACGATTCTTTTGTGAAGTAATTTCGTAACCGTAAAGAGCTGTTACAATATTTTTACCTTTTGCTTTATCAGCTAATCGATTGTGTTTTAGGAAGTTAACTTAAAGAGCAGATAACCGGAGAGCGAATATCGTTACCTCTAACAATTTTTCTACACTTAATTAAACTGTTTCTTTAATCATATTATGACAATGCCGAGTTCAAATTCATTAATCACTTTTCATGCTGTCTCTTTATACACTGATATACATGTATGTCGATTTGTAACTATACCCCAACTTCCGTATGAACTTGAAATACGTATTTTGGAAAGAAAATATAAATCAAACACTGTTCGATATGTTTGTGCGTATCATATTTTTGTTAAATAGTGTTAAAAGTGTAACAGCAGTCTGAAGACAAATACTATAACTTGATTTCGTTGGTGATAATGTTAATGAAAATCATTTTACAAGAACGGTCCACCGTGCAACAGTTGACGCTTTTTAATTAAGACGTTAACTCGTATTGAGGCAACTTGTTCGGTGACTTGCGCGGGCTGTTAAAAAGTAATGCAACTAGGTGTCTTGCATGTTCATTTTCCATTTGATATATTGTTATACTGTTTTATTCCATTTCAGCATAAATTTATTGAATTCTTGTACTTAACGCATGTTCCCTGTGAAACTGAATAACCATGGTAACATCAAGGTGCAGCACTTCAAAAAGTTATTGAAGCTAAGTTGAACTTCTAATTTGTCCATAATTTATTTCCTATTTTTTCAGATATATTTCAAAAACACGCTCATTATATTTATGTGACATTATGTCTAAATGTGACGTCATTCAGATATGTAATTGCTAAATTATCAAAATTTTAACAGCAGTGGTCATAACGTTGGATATAAAAATATGACGTTCGTTGAAAAACTGAAAATTGTGTGACCGAAAGATTGGCAATATTCCTTTTGATACACACGCCATGATTGAATTAACATATCAGGTTACTTGTTTTCAGCTTGCGAAAGCAACACAAAGACGGCAAATATGAGATCACACAAAGAAAAAGGCGAGCATGATAGCGGGAAATTGACGTGACGGTAGTGACGTCATTTGCAAAAGTGCTACTAAAGGATCGACGGTAAACAGTTAGCAAACTGTCCGGCATGTTTGATGTCTGGATTGGTTATACTGATTCAGTTGTTATTAAAGGATTTAATATGAGACATTTGTTTCAAACACTATTTATTTTATTTAACTAGATATAAGTGTGATCAATAAATCAATATAATAATGATTTACGGTAATTATTAGTCTCATTTTCTTTAAATAAATGATAGCTTGTTCTTGGTAAAAAAGGATACTTTTCATTTGATAAACACTTTTATTTTACTATCATTTTGTGAACGTACGATGACACGCGCAAATTAATACTACATGTATAAATCTTTTTCATTATTATTATTGGTGCGAGTGGAACGAGAATCTAATCGCTTTCTTACTAACTTCATCTGCACTATAAGGCCTAAAACTAACAGCTTTAAAAGACCATGCTTGTTTTTCAAAAATCGAAGAATGCCATGCCACGTAGAATGTTTTTCTCATCATTTTACTTCAAATACCTCAAAATAACGTTGCTAGAACTTTTACCAAATATCAAGTGTCGGTATTGTGGAATATTGGTGATTGTTATTCATAGACAAAATTGCATGAGGTGACAAAGACTTACTTTCGTGAAATGTTAGGTGCACGAAATAGATTTCACATAAATAATGCAACACTATTTACAAGTTACTGACAACGCAATGAACATTGAATCAAAGAATGATTCTTAGACGCACAACATAGGCAAAATCCAATAAATGAATGCGCATCCAATGACCATTTTCCAAACAGCAAACCAAATAATTTATAACAAAGACACTTGTTTTGCAAATTAAACATTCTACACATAGGAAAACATTAAAAAGAACTTGAATGTTGGATAAAAAAAGGTATTGTATATTTTTACACATTACAGCGGATGTTTTTACACATTACAGCGGCTAATTTGATAAAGTAGAACCTATCTCAATTAATGTGGAGATTCTCGTTTCGTCTATCCATGAATATATATCGGAATACTTCAACAATATTGACACTTATTTAATGGTTGTGCTGGTTCTGTCACATTTGCGTGGGTCATTTCATGGCGATGGCACCAGTACCGTGTCGATGGCCCGATCACATTTTATCACATGTTAACTAAGTTCTCATTAATAGTTCGTGCACAATAAAGAGGACAAACATTTTTTACGAAAAAGAAATGTTGTGTCTCAGCGTAATAGAAAACATAAAAGTTAATATTTGGGTATTTTGTATCGGAATTGCATCCAAAATGATAAGAAAAATGTTTTACGTTGAAAAAAGCATGAAACATGGATATGTTTTAGAAACTTTACTTTTTTCAGTTTTGTTTTGGTTGACTGCTCTACCACGGAAGTGTCGATAACTATCATTAAAACAGATGACTAAAATGTAAAAGAGCCACCGTTAGTAGGTGTGCAATTGGAGACTTCAAGCCACCCCACCATAAAAGGCTGCTTTATATGTGTATTTTTCTGTACCAAAATCGCTCTGTGTTGCACATCATTTATACGTTAGAAGGATTAGCATCACAAACATCAGACAAACAATGTTTCACAGGACAGACAATAAAGTTATACAGTTTAGTGCAACGCCAGTTTTATAATGACAATGCACAATGCTCGATTTGCTATATCGGCTAACACAACTTCAGTAACATAAAGTTAAGCTCGATCTTCAAGGACCAAAAATATGACATCACTGATTAAATGTATGGGGAACTTTTTACAACTGCCACACGGCACAAGTAACACTGATTTGACAATAAAATAGAGAAAAGCAGAATCGCTAAAGAAAGCCAAACACGCCGAAATTGAAAATATTGCAGGCTCGGTTAATGGATAAAACTGGAAAGTGCAAGTAACCGTCCACGTCAACTTAGGTTTAAGCAGAATCAACATTTTAACACGAAAATGGTAAATGTTGAATTAAGAAACATCTGCAGATGCGTTTATGCGTCGGTTATCGTGGAACCTTTAATGTGACACAGTAGTGCCATTTCATGAAAAGTGGCGTATGGTCCCCAACCACACTAAGTAAAGCTTGTTATCTTCTGTTGCTTCAGCTGCATTAACTAACATCATCAGTGTTTATTAAAATGTACCCTTTTAGTTTACCGTTTGTATTCTTACATACAAACTTTTTATATTTACAGTCGACTTTTGTTATCTCGAAGTCATCGGGATCATCGAAAACAAATCGAGATAACGAAAAATTTTATTCTGGAATAAGATTTATTGATAGTGTTTATGACAGGGCTTCCCCACATTGATAATGTTTATGCTCGAGTTTCCCCACATAGATAGTGTTTATGCCCGAGTTTCCCCACATTGATTGTGTTTATGACCGAGTTTCCCCACATAGATAATGTTTATGCCCGAGTATCCCCATATTCAATAAGTTTAATGCCAGTCACTCAAAATAGATTCATGACACAGTTACCCCCAAAAAGATAGGGTTTATGAATAAGTTTTCCCACAAAGATAGGGTTAATGAGGAGATTGCATTCATTGAACGCCACTGTCCTTGTGGATCTTGTTTATTTATCATACTTAGTGGCATAGTAACCCTAAAGTGATAGGGTTTTAAATGACACTATCATTGAGCGCCACCCTTACCTGATGATCTTATTTTTCATACATTATCACAGAATTTCCCCACATCGATAGTGTTTATGTCCGAGTTTCCCCACATTGATAGACAGTAACTCTACTAAGATAGAATTAATGACACAGTTTCCCCACTAAAAATAGGGTTTATGACAAAGTTACTCTAAAGAGATAGGGTTTATGAATCAGTTACTCCAAAAGATACACCTTCCTGACACAGATAGAGTTTATGACACAGGTTACCCACATAGGTAATATAATACTCGTATCAAAGCATAAAGCAAACAAACAAAAGTTATTTCGCGAAACTCCGTATTTGGATTAAAAGTAATCGGTAAGGAATTCCAAATGTATTGGAACCATAATGAGACAGGATAAAGATCAGGTAAACTGATTACCCATACATTTTGCTGTTCTTCCGGCTATAGTTTTCAAAACCACCACTTTGAAGATACTCCTGTGCTCGCTTTGCAAGCTTCCTATTATAAATCTACTTGAAGGAAAAGATATAAAAATCTAAATAACTTGTCCCCATTTTTAATAAAAAAGTTTATAAAGATTGAAATATAAAGACACGCCAATTAAGTAAACATAATACATTTATTAAACGAAAGTAAAGGTTTATATCACAACAAAAATTAACGTAATGCTAAAGCTAGTGTAACACACCTGACATCTTCGGTGACAATTGATTTTTATTTTTATAGATTTTCTAACAAACAGATGCACATCAATATGTACTATCTCTGCCATGATAGCATTGGTGGTGGTAGTTGTTTCGCAACAGAAATAATTTATGCCAAAGTAAAATTTTATAGTTGTAGGAACAAGACTCCAAGTTATTTAAAGGTCGGTTTTAAGCCACAGTTACTGAAAACAGGGGTTTTGCACGTGTCGTCAGATTACCAGTAGGTTGTGCAGTGTCTGCAGATGTGTTGCTGCCTATTATCTACGGTCAAATAATGAAATATCTTCTAGAAGGGGGTTTGTTGACGTGCCTTCAAGTGTGCTGCTACCTTTGGTTGTTTAGCAGTTGACTCAAGATTAGCAGCCAGGCATGGATATTTATCTTTAGGTACTTTTGTGAGTGCATTGCAGTTTTCAATGTAAACATACAATGCTAGATCGGCAATCGTCAGCTAGAAAGAAAAAAAGGTAGAATTATCATAATAGTCGAGATGAAGCATACTAGCTTTTTTAAAAAATAAAGTAACATAGCATAATTATCACAAATTAGCTTTATTCGAAATGAAAAGTTTTATTTGATATAATTTTACTCCAATACATTTCCTCATTCAATTATTTTAACAGCACATATAATAGAAAACACTTCTTCACTTCCCTTTGTAAATATGACGAATAATTAGACGTTTTCCATTAGAATAGTCGATATTTTATCATTTTATAAATCCTGATTAAATAACATTACAATTTGAACATAAACAGTTTAATAGTAGCTTTCTATTTGAACGCTATGGGTACTCATTATCTGCAAATAACTTAAGAAACAAAATTTCAATTTCAAAGAAAATTTCAAACTTGATAAAATTTCAAAAATTCTTTTCACTTTCCTTTCTTTTAATGAGTTTATCTTTATTCCTGATACAATGAAGCCTTATCTCATTTTGTATTTGGTAAGTAATTTTTGCATAAATCTTTTTTATACCTCGTCGCCTTAATTCTATAATGCTGTAAGTCGTATTTTGACATTTTTTTCAAATTTTGAAAGACTACATACAGCATTCTTATCCGTTTAGTATATCGCTTCAGTTAAGAGTGATGTTGTTCTTACCTATAGATCAAAATATAGAACAAAATTTACGAACAATTTGTTACCAAACACTCATTCATTTGTTTCCAAAATTTGAGTTACGACACTCAGAAACTAGAGCGACATAAACACTTAACAACGATCCATATAATACATACCGAGTCTCCTACAGCAAAACCTTTCTTTCCAGTTTCTGCAACAAGCTTTTCTATATTGCCTAATACCGTAGGTAACGTCTTTGTTTCAAACTCTTCAAACTTCTTTTTCTGTTTGAATGAATTAGTGAAATATATATTAAAATAAATCATACATCTTTAAATATTACTTTTTATCAACATGAGGCTGATTTTTTATTAGCAAGTTTTAAAGAAAAAAACATAAACTGTTAATAAGTTTAGAGCTATATTAACATATTCTCAATATTATTAAAATCATTTTGTTAATCCTTAACTTGCTATATTAGTTGCCACGGTTTCGGCAGATTATGGGGTTAAAACTAGTGACGTTGCAGGATTGACAATAATTTGTATGTTAAATGTAATACTGAAACATTCATTATCTTCTAAATCCCATGAAATCATTGCTATTTTGATAAAGTAAGAAAAGTGTAAATTCAAAATAAAAATGTTTAAACCTTTTGTTTAAAATAACAACTCCTGTCAAATGCTATATTTTCCCCACCTGGTGTTGTTTTAATGAAAAAGACACATTTAAGTTTACCTTTTCATCCTCGCTGTCCTTACCAAATGCTATGCTTGCATATGGGGTAAAAATGTCTAATATAGTGTCCAGTATCTGATCTACCATGACCTTCTCTAAGTTTCCTTTCCCGTATAAATCTACATTAAAATAAAAAAAAGTTGTTATATGAAATTCTTCGAACGTGTCATTCATTCAGTTTATCAACATAGAACTTTTTACTTATCATTTCCAAAAATGCTACGGATCATCTTATGCTTTCAGCAGGGTATTTGATTTTTATGTGTCGTGAAACAGACTCCATATTGAACAAAAAGCAATCTGCATATTATTTTCATTGCATGAGCCTACACACTGGTTCTGAGCTTCGTACATGACGAAAGTATTTAAGTTCTATATGAAGGTAACCGATATAAAACAAAGTGGATGGCGTTCCCGGTTGATGCCTTTTTTTTTAGAGATTTTTTTTCGGCATTTTGTTAAAGTCTCCTTTTTGATTGTGAACGGGCATATGGTGTAGGGGTAGAAATGTTGGTCAAAACTTGTCAATTATATATATCGACATCAGAAAAGTGCACTAAAGTGACGCGCATGTTAATCAATAATCACCACTAAATACAGTCCCTAGCATTCTGATATATTTGTCATATGCTGCGGTTCGGATCGGATTATCCTTCCCGATGGAAATCCTCGTTGTGCGGGTCAAGGGCACGAATATTCTGATCTGAATCCCAAACACATGTCAGATATTTTTCTTGCATGTTCTATCATATTTTAAATGGTTAACCTTAATAAAATCTTTTTAATGGAAATTAATGCCATGTCATTAGTAACTGTTTTCTTACAGTAACGTGTACGATTAGAACTTCATTCATGATGGCGGAATAATGTAGTACTTGGACTAAACATTCTAAAATGTGCCGAAATGACGTCATGTTAACGCAGTTCATTAATAAACTATGTCAATTTAAAGCAATCGACTTATCTGGCACTCCCATTACAGACGAAATTTCAGGCATGTGTAAAAACAGACACGCCAGTCTGATATGCAAGAATAATGTGGTGACACATCATAAATCCTAACACAAAGACGATTGCTTTTGAATGGACTCGTTACCATTATGTAAGAATAAACAACACGCATAGAACTACCACCAAGTTTGAAGGACACATAAGGTAGGAAATAAATTAAACATATTTCCATGAAATAAACATATTCAATTTGAAGAAAATTAAAAAAAAATATCAATAAAGTTATTAAAACATACTAAATTCATTTCCTAAGAAGCGTGCAATTGCAAAACTTTGACATATCTTTTTCTTCCCATCGATTTCCAGCACCGGTAATGAACCTTGTGGCGTCCCTGTAAAAATAGACAAAATGTAAATAGCTGATTTCTTGTTATACGTTATTATCAATGTTAACTTACAATAAATAATGACCAATGAAAACTTTTAGACAAATTATATTAAATGATATTTTCGAAAAGACGAAGAAAGTGTAAATCAAAACCTCTTATATCATATATACACCGACTTGTCGATAAGTTGCAACAGACTGTGAAACGGTTTGTATCTGATTTATGTCTACATATAACCATTAATAATGTGACGTGTTTACCTTCTTTTCTTAACTATATTGCTTACAGGAGAGAAATCCGCCTGCTTAGCTCATAAGGAAAGCATTGGATTTGTATTCCTGAGGTTACTGGTTCAATCTTCGGATGAAATGTCTCCATGTTAATTAATCTCGGACATTTGGTCTAATGGTCATTTGTCTCTCACTGCTGAGTCAAATCTCATGTGGGATAAGGAGTCGGTCAGTTGAGGAAAAATCGGTAATCACTGGTAAGGTAATCAGATAGTCCGACAAATAATATGTTAAGAAGGACAAGAAATGTTAAAGTAAAAAACCACCAACCTTGTTTACGTCCAGGCCAGTCAGCAAACTCGATTCTTTCATCTTCGAATTTAATCCCTGCAACATTGAATATCATCCTAGATAACTCAGCTCTACCACGTCCATTAAAATACGTTAACTTGTATTTAGTAGGCATTTTGTAAATATTTCTAATTTATAATACAAAAATATTATTTAGATATTAAAAAACCAACGTTGAATTATCGAACAAGGTAGACGGACTAAATTTTGCAAGATTTGACGCAGACTTATATAGCGATCCATTTACAAAAAGGTTTTTTGTTGCGCTGTCATGCATATATGAACACATCAAGTCATTTTAATAACATATACTCAACCACTTTTAAAACTTTACTGCATTATCGAGAAATTAAATTATTGCAGTTGCGTTCCATAATTAGGGACACTATTTCATCATTCTGAAATTCATCTATTGATTACGGAACATAGTACGCACTTGAGAGAGTTTTATATACATACATGTATTATTTAATACTTCTTTAAGTTTTTAGCGAGTCACGTGTAACGTTTTTTTCTAACCTAGTATACATAACATTTACGTAACGGTTGACAAGATGTTACGATATTTTGACTGACTCGCTAATTACCATGATATCGGGCAATCAGTGTGCACTGAAGTACTAGTTTAACGTTTTTTTCCATTTGCAAAAAATGTCGGCTGTTTAAAATGTCGTCTGCTAGATTCGTTTTAAACTTTTTTATCTTGTTTTGACAATATTTAAGGTATCTACTGTTGACACATAGACTATTATCGCTAAGGGTAAACAATATTTTGGGTATGAAGTTACAAAAAAAGCCCATATAATATTTTTCAATTTAATGCGTTTGAAATAAGTCTTAAAAATACAAAGTTCCACAAGATGCGTGCCAAGTGTACACAAACTAACCGGACGACCCGAAAATTTCTCACGAAAAAAAAAATGTCCCTTGTGTACGGAAGTCGTGATTTTCCAAAATACATACGTCAATTTATTGTTTAACTTCATATCCTATATCTCAGAATATGTTGATGACGATTTTGTGACTGACTTTGCCAAATGCGAGGAGTCGCTAAAGTCCTGTACTAAAAAAACAACAAAAACAAACAAACAACAACAACAACAACAAAAAACCAACCAAAAACAAATAGTGTGTTACATTTCATTATTTAATTGCAGAAATGGAGTAAAAACTTTTTAGATTGATTATTGTATTACGACCTGTATTGAATTACAACTATATCTGTTGTTTTGAAAGTTCGTTCATTGATTCGGCAGATATCAATGTAATAATACTTATTTTCTCCCTCTGTACAGTCTTAAAAAAGGACAACAAGATGTTTGACATTTACAGAATGCGGTGCATTACTGATCCTTTTACATAGGTATATATTAACCGCTTTCAGCATGTGATCCGACAATGTAAGCATATAATTACATATCTATGTTAAAATAACAAGATTTTAGTTATGTTAACACTGAATGCATTGTTATATGTACATGAATTTTCACCACTTAACGCTGATGTTAAAGTACCATTGAAATATGTCATAGAGCACCAAAGCCGAACAGGAAACACGATTATTTTTAAAATGGATAAAACAACATGTACCTGCGGCAAGTGCTAAGATGAATGCCGGTATATTCTCATCCGTGCTACACTAACACGGAAAAAATAATATTTATTCGTTGACAATACGGGCTCATTTTATATGTAATTTTTAAATGTTCGTATGAAAAGAAGTGTGCACGTATAAAATTAATCAAGTGTCGTTTAATCTTCCCTTTAATGACAGTTCAATGTAGCATTATGGTTTTTATCCCTCCCTGGCTATCTTGGTTAATTTGTTATGTATCTTATTGTAGAATAAACAAAGTAATCATCCAATTGTGAAGATGTAAAAGATGCAATAAGGCACTAGGCATACTAGCAGTTGGCAAATGTCAATTCAAAATTGTATGTCAAAACAAGGATGCTATGTTTAAGTAGTCGTTTTTTTATCGTAATTTGAGTAAGATTATATGTATTGAGGTCTAACAAAAGTTGTTTTTCTTTTTAGCTTACCTTAGCACAAAATGCTAAGATGTGAGCTTTTTTGATTTTACGATGTCCGTGTTGCGTCTTCCGTCATCTGCCATTTGATATTATCCAGAAGTTCCTTTTCTTAACAACAAGGTAAATTTTTACCAAACCCTTTAAGTTATTAATGGCTCCAGTCTGAAGCTTTAGTAGGTAACAAAGCTTTGTAACACCGCACTTTGGGGTCAAACGCACTTTGGGGTCCGACCCCAAAGTGCGTTAAACTTTGCACCGCACTTTGGGGTCAAACGCAATTTGGGGTCAAAATCGAAAAATTGACCCCAAAGTGCGTTAATATGCTACATATCAACGCACTTTGGGTTCCAGAGGTCTAAAGGTGTAATCTATGGTGGCTGATTTGTGCCATTCGTGTTTTCGCCCCGCGACCCCGCCAAGCGAAAAGTCGAAAATTAACAAGTTAAAATGGCGGGGGCGCACAGCGAAAACACGCTAATTAGCGAGGGTGCGGGGCGAAGTTTAATAAATAAAACTTCGCCGCGCGGGGGCGCGGGGCGAGATTTAAGAAATAAAACGGCGGGGGCGCGGAGCGAAAACACGCTAATTAGCGCCCCCCGCTAATAAGCGTGTTTTCGCTCCGCGCCCCCGCCATTTTAACTTGTTAATTATCGACTTTTCGCTTGGCGGGGTCGCGGGACGAAAACACGCTAATTAGCGAGGGCGCGCGGCGAAGTTTTATTTATTTAACTTCGCCCCGCGCCCCCGCTAATTATCGTGTTTTCGTCCCGCGACCCCGCCGTTTTATTTCTTAAATCTCGCTCCGCGCTCCCGCGGGGCGAAGTTTTATTTATTAAACTTCGCCCCGCGCCCTCGCTAATTAGCGTGTTTTCGCTGCGCGCCCCCGCCATTTAACATGTTAATTATCGACTTTTCGCTTGGCGGGGTCGCGGGACGAAAACACGCTAATTAGCGGGGGCGCGCGGCGAAGTTTTATTTATTAAACTTCGCCCCGCGACCCCGCTAATTAGCGTGTTTTCGTCCCGCGACCCCGCCGTTTTATTTCTTAAATCTCGCTCCGCGGCCCTCGCTAATTAGCGTGTTTTCCTTGCGCGCACCCGCGATTTTAACTTGTTAATTTTCGACTTTTCGCTTGGCGGGGTCGCGGGGCGAAAACACGAATGGCACAAATCAGCCACCAAAGTAATCTGAGTTCTGCTTAAATACTGAATACTGACTTATTTTCGATGTGTGACATTGAAATATTTGAGGTGGAGTTCAAGATGGCGGTCAATACTTTGATGATGCTTAAGTGATAAAAGTTTCATTAATTTTACCACTTGAAATATCCAAAAATTGTGTTCATATAACAAAATAACGGTGGCATAAAAGTGACATTTGCATTTTTTTATTTAAGTTTTTGCATACATATTTTTATTCAAGTTTTGCATATATATATATTTTTTGAGTTTTGCATTCATATTTTATTGTAGTTTTTCGTACATATTTTATTTTTGTTTTTCGTACATATTTTAGCCAATCAAAACAGCCTTCAAATCTCATAACAGCCCATAGTTGACTATAAAACTAGCACAGTGGTTTGGTCACATTTCTGCCCATTTTTGGAATCGGCCCAGTCGTTTTTGGCCGCGCAAGTCTGGTTTCGGCCGACCTTTTTCGGCCCATTTTTTAAATCATATAAATAAGTAGTAGTCCGTACAGGCAGTACTCAAAATATCAACTTTTTAAGTAGTTGCACATTAAGAGCGGAGCTTCAGAATAATGTAAAATTCTCACTGGTGGTATAGAGGGCAGTGTGGGGTATCGATCCCCCCGAAGGGTTAAAAATAACATTTTTAAGGCCCATTATGCTTTTATTTATTTTTCTTAAAAGCTTTTTTATTTTGATGTTCTTTTATATTATCAAAACAATACACATTGGCCAATTACCTGAACCATCTTTTTCAGCTGTTGCTTTTTGACAATGATGAGTACAGTTATAGTGAATAAGTATTTTATATGGCAGTCAAATACTACATTGTTTTGACAACTTTTATTACAAATAATTTCACATTTATCGCTACTTTATTCGGGTAACAAACATTTTACATTTCTCTGATACCATTATTTTAACATTATTAAATTCATGTTTGCTCTTTCTAAAGATTTCCCATTAAAAAAGCCTCTGGCGAACGGTTGTTACGGAGCTTACAAAAACGCTTAAGTTTGTTGATAAGCTTAATAATATATTTGTAAAAATCACTATTTATAGTCTGATCTAAAAACTTGATGTTTCACCAGAACCTTGCAATAGAGTATATTTATAGTTCTATGGAAAAAAAAAATTAACTGCATTTTATTTCATTCCCAACATATTTTAAGTGGGGCTCAACATGGCACCAAAAGTTATCAAGTAAATGACTGACAGAACGGGATATTTTTCGCAGCATCTTTTAACTTTAGGAATACACAATTTCTGTACTAGAGTTTTTTGAACGGTGGCATAAAAGTGACATTTGCAACTTTTTTTTGTTTTTGATTTTCAAACACTTCGCCATCGGTAAAGTACAGTACCCCATTTGCAAACGCCATTTGCAAATACCAACATTTTCATTTTTGGAGGTATCAAAATGATAACAACACTTTTTAGTATATAATATACATGTACATTTATATACATGTATATATATATTTCTAAATCAGTGGAATGTAAGGACCTATTTAGATGTTTTATTGTGCATTATTGTAATACACCAGTCATTTGTAACCACCTACCTTGCCCCCGGGGGAGTGCGGGTTAAAATAGAATCGTGTTTTGATGTCTGCACTGTTCCGGGGCATAAGGCAGGAATGATATTATCTGAATATCCCCCGTAGAGCAAAGATTTTACCAGTGGTCGGCTTTGTTTAAAGTCAATGCCCCCCCCCCCCTCCGCTATTCTCAGGGGGTTGGGTTGAGTGGTGCATATTCATGGAATAATAACTGATCACCAATCAACAGCCCTTTCCAAATAGACACTTATATGATAATATGTAATAATAAAAAAAACAATAATTATATAAAATACATATTAAAGCCGCATCTACACCTTGTCAAGTTTCTTATGTGTCACATTTAGCTAAATAAATGGGTATTTTAACATATTATCAGGCACATTTTTTACTGAAATGTCTTACTAAGATTACCCAGAATTTATACCTTTGTCTATGCTAAGACTATCATATTTCTGTAAAATGTGTAAATAACAAACGGGAAAATGATGCATTTAGCTAAAAACAATGGAGTTAATGAAGGGTGTACATTCTTTTAAAATAAATGGAAAAGATGAGAAAAACATATTTTAAGCTTAATAATTGATACAAATTCTTTATTTGGTGATTTATTTAGTGAAAGTTCTTAACTTACTAATCAAGACCATTTAAATCCATATTGATTCAGAGCACATGTTTTGTGTCTATTTTATAACTTGATTTTTGTTTACCATTGTTTACCATATTTTAAACATAATGAACAAATTTTCTCTGACCCCAAAGTGCGGTCGTTTGCCTGATGTAAAAAAAATGCATATGTACCTGTTTTACGCACTTTGGGGTCGAAATTGAACACCAAAGTGCGTAACGCACTCTGGGGTCGGACCCCAAAGTACGTAACGCACTTTGGGGTCCAACCCCAAAGTGCGTTTGACCCCAAAGTGCGGTGTTACAAAGCTTAAACAAAATTTATAAACTTCAATGCCCAGATCTTAGATGTTTGACAATAAGTGATGCTTTTTAACTTGCTATTCAGGCTGATAATATTCAGGATTCAATAATTCAGGCTAATATTTCATATTAAGTGTTTATATCGCACAATTGTGACAGTGTGATGTTGAAATATCAAATCTAATTTATACGTTTATTTCACATTCAATGAACCTCCAGCGTTTAAATGATGTTCCTATAGAAATCATTATTGGATTTTGCATCGCTTCTCTTTAGAGAGTCCAAAAATCCATATCAAATATCCATATCATACCAAATGTAGTCTCGTTTACATTTCCAGAGTCCAAACCTTTATATCAAATCCTTATTAAAGCTCTGTCAAAATGTTACAAGGATGGTGGTGTGATCATTATACATAGTTGAAAATAATACTGATTTCATTGGACGGGTACACAGCTGCAAAAGCAATATCAGTCTCGGCGTGCCCCTTGTCCAATAAAGGTTTGTCAGCTGTGTACCCGTCAAAAAGAATTCAGTATTGTACTCAATAGTGTATAATAACCTCATAACACAAAGCCGCACATGCTGTAATATATCGTTACTACATTGCCCTTGCATTCATCCAAATTGAATTGTCATCTAGACTAGGCAGCATGAAAATTGCAACTACATGTATCAGATACCCCATCCCCAAATACCCATATATAGCTTACATCAGATGTTGTTGTCTATAATAATAATAAAAATAAATTTCTCGATCTAATAACACGACAGGCAACAAAATAGAGAAAAAACAGAATCTCTAAAGAAATTCCAACACGACAAAATTGAAAATGTTGAAAACTCGGTTTGATTGAGCCTGTTCATGGACGGTAATGAAAAATGCAAGTTACCGTCCACGCCCCCTAGCACCGGCTTAAGCAGAATTCAATATGTAACATGGAAATGGTGAAATTCTTTTAATTTAGAAACATCCGCAGATATTTTCACACGGTGGTTATCATGGAACCTTCAATGTGACACAGGAGTGTCATTCCATGAAAAGCGGCGTATGGTCCCCAAGTAAAAGTGTGCCCTAAATGAGAAAACAATGGGCTGAACTGAATAAAATGAAATTTTGAAAGGGGATCTGAGGTTATGAATCTGCATATCACATATAAGACGTCAAAAGACAAATTTAAAAAGCAGGAAACATATAATAATACTGGAACCACCCACGTTGAAAATGCCCAAAAGGAAGAAATTCAAAATGCATGTACCACATAACATGTTTACAGAACAATAATTGTCGTGCTGAACGATCTTCAAGGATCGAAAAAATAACATCATTCATTAAATGTACAGGGTGACTTTTACAGTGGCCACACGGCAAGTCTCGCCATATAACAATTCATGAAATGGATATAAATCTTGACTAACAAGTTCCGTTTTTAAAATGGTTTTTATTCGAAAATTTAATTATGAATTTAATTCATTATCACAATATAAAGTCACAATAGATATAAAATGGTTAATTCATTCGTTATCTGATCTGTTACATAATATATAAACTCAAAATAAAACAGATCCATCATTCAGTCTTACTTAATATCAAAACATGTTATACAAATGACATCCGTCTGTCCGTTGTTATGTTTCCGGCAACTGGGCATGTATTACAAAACAATTGATATTTATTGTTTTATAAAAGACAACATTTTTACCTAAGTGTAGGAAAACACTTTAAGAGGTAGAGTATAAAAAGTAGTATTAAATATTTGGTTTATGTAATGAAACATCTCCTAGAAGGGGGTTTGTTGACGTGTCTTCAAGTACGCTGCTACCTTTGGTTGTTTTGCAGTTGTTTCAAGACTAGACGCAATACCTGGATATTTATCTTTGGGTACTTTTGTGAGTGCATTGCAGTTTTCAAGGTAAACATACAATGCTAGATCGGCTACTGTCAGCTAGGAAATGAAATCAAAATGAAATAAAAAAGAAATATTATAATTTGAATATACTCACTACGTAAATAATAAATTGAAATCACATCTTCAGTACAAACAATTGAACATGGACTTTCAACTTATATAAATGTATTCAATGGCATTTATTTACACCTACTTTATCAATCAAAACTTAAGATTTTTAATATAATTTCTTCAACATTTATTTATCTTTTTTTTTAATTTAAACGATCGTCCTTAAATGTATTTTAATTGATATTAATTTCTACATAATGTAGCATGTATCTAATATCTTGCCTGTCATATATTTGATTAATTTTACCACTTTTTCATTTTTTTTATTTAAGAACTCCACATACCGAGTCTCCAACAGCAAAACCTTTCTTTCCAGTTTCTGCAACAAGCTTTTCTATATTGCCTAATACCGTAGGTAACGTGTTGGTATCAAACTCTTCAAACTTCTTTTTCTGTTGAACATAAAAGTATTTTGATAAAATACTGTGGACTTTTCTTTTAGAACATGCAGTTTGTTATATAAAAAGTACTAGGATGAAATGTACCTGATGAAATAAAGCCATAATAAAAAAGAGAATTGAATGATTATTTACAAATTATCACTTTGAAATTTATTTATTCAGTTTCAGTTTTTTGATTTTAACTTTTAAAAACGCCGTGCCGTAAAACTCCAGCCTTCGGGTATTGTGCCTGTTCTTAAACTTATGTTTTATAACGTCTGACACCCTTTCAGAATTTCATTTTATTAAGTTCCTTATTCCATTGTTTTCTTGTTCAGTGCGCAAGCATTATTAAACTTGGGGACCATATGTCGCTTTTCATGGAGTGCGACGAACGTGTCGCATGCTAACCGCCTTATGAGCACCATTGAAGATGTTTCTTAATACCAAATTTTACAATTGTCATGTATAAATTTTGCCGTTTTTTGGCGATCTATAAGGTTTTTTTCTCATGAAACCCGTACCATTATGATACACATGTAGGGACCATATACTGCGAAAGTAATAACAGGTTTTAAATGGCTTTTATTTTATGAAAATTCATCACACCTAATAGACCGGAGTGTCATTCTTTATACATGTAGATGAAAAAAAACTTTCCTTTAAGCATGATTGCATTTTTACCTTTTCTTCCTCGCTGTCCTTGCCAAAAGCTATTGTTACATATGGGGTAAACATGTCTAAAAGTGTGTCCAGTATCTGATCTACCATTACCATCTCTGAGTTCCCTTTCCCGTATAATTCTAAAATTCATGATACAAGAGATACTTTATTAAATATGTACAATATTTTTTTAAAGTAAAAAGCACAGTAACGTTACATGCTTAATACATTTTAATGCAATACATATATTCAATGTTTTGGTTGAAAGCTTAAGTTGAGCGCATGCAAAACACCAATATTTTTCCACGCAATAAAGTTAAAACGAGAAGGATAACATGAAGCTAATTTACTGTTCATCCCAGATGATTTCTTTTATATAACAGAGGAATAAATCCTGACAAATAAAAATTAATTATGATTTTACATACTGAATTCCCTTCCTAGATAACGTGCAACTGCAAAACTTTGACATATCCTTTTCTTTCCATCAATTTCAAGCACCGGTAGTGAGCCTTGTGGTGTTCCTGACAAATTAACAAACGCTGGTAGTGATGATGTATTATGCTTGTTAACTAAGTTATAACAGTGCTTATAATTAGAAAAATAACAATTATGTTTAAAGAAAATTAAAACGTTTACGTATACACCTTCATGGACACATGTGACCAGTTTAAAACAAAGAATAATCCCAATATAACCTGCTGAAAGTTTTGAGCCCTTTGCTTCCAGTGCAGAAAGATGTCAGTCTTCATCTTCATAAAATCTGATCATGCTTTATAATTTATTATATTTTGATATTGAAATCCCTTAAACATTGAACGGACTGTTCCCAATCAAAAGCTGGACAAGAGGAGTCCAATATCAGGGTTCTGTTTCCAATATGTTTAACGTCATCTGTATATCTTAGCTTTTATTTATACTGTTCTGGTTATCACTATCGCTTAATTCTGTAAATAAATATAAATATATATTAAATAGGTTATTCGTTGTCATACACAACTTACCTGCTTTAAGCTGTGGCCATTGTGAAAATTCAACCCGATCGTCCTCGAATTTCACGCCTGCAGCATTGAAGATCATTCTAGACAACTCGGCCCTTCCTCGTCCATTAAAATATGTTAACTTATATTTAGTAGGCATGATGTTAATATTTCCAAAGTATCTAAGTAAGAATAATATTTATATATATTTATATATTTTATATAATTTACACTTTTCAAATCTTAATCAAAGTTCAACTGTCTAACAAAAATTATATACTGTGCTTTGCGAAGTTTGAAAGCGCCCTTATATAGTGGTAATGGTTTGTTTACACATTTATGTTTGCACATTGAAAAAACTGTCACTCGTACATTGCATACACACACCAGGTCAGTTTTCGTGACATATACTAAATTACTTGAAAAACGTTACATCTCCTGTAAAGAAAATACAATTGCTGTTGATTATCTTTTCTGGTGTGTTTCATTAAACTTCATATTCTCATAAAAAGATTGTACAAACACGAAAATAATGCGTGTGAAAAGCACCAATCGTGCATTAGAAATAAGCAGACCATGTCGATGGCAGCCGTTATTAATTCAGCTCAGTATAGAAATTAAGCCCATTTGACCAGGAGGCATTAACGACAGTGGTGTTCTGATATTTTAACCCGTTTCGTCATCTTTGTATGATCGATGGAAATGGGGGGATAATAGAACACTTGACTTTTTCTAGTACATGTGTATTGTATTGAAAATAAAAAGGTCGGAACAAATGGCGGCCGTCACATTTTTTAGCTCATCTGAGCGAAAAGTCATCTGAGATGAGATTTTGTGAAGTTTTCTAATTCCGTCGTTGATACTTATATTTATACTCATTGTCTTTATACAGCTTCTCCTTCTTAATCACAGCGATGTTGGGATTTTACCAAACTTCAAAGAAATGATGATGAGCCTCTACAAAACTTATATTATTATAGATTATTCCAGTCTAAAGTGTAATAAGGTCACAAAAGCTAAAATATACCTTAAAAATGAAATATTCAAAGCCTTCTTTGTAGAAACTACAATGACTAGAATTAAGATATTTGGCATGTAGCATCATCTTGTGTTCCTTTACAAAAGTAATACAAATAATGTCACGGGAATTTTTCATTTATATAGACTTGTATATTAATAAAACACAATTATTTAAAGCTCTAAATGCGTGAAACTAAGATGCCAAGAGTCTATTTTGCATGCGTCACCTCCCTCTACAAAAGTGATGTCAACAATGAATCAAGGGTGTTCAATCAGTACATGTTCTAGAGTTAAGTTATTTTGCATGTTGCTTTACCACTCGACAGAAGTTATATTTATCATACTCCTGTGTTAAATATAGCCCCGCGCCTTGGGTCGCTTTTGTTACACTGATTTTATAAGAATCACGATTTACAGATATTTTTCTTAAAATCTGCAATTCATCTAACATGTAATATCACTTTGTGATCCTCTTTGAAATTTGCCCAAAGAGTCAAAATCCACAGACGCTTGTGGCCCAAATGTATGACGCCCATGTAAACACTCTATCAAAACTATTTTCATATTTAAACACGGATGGGACATCTGTTACAACGATAAAATTGTTTTACAAAAATTTTTAACATATATGAAAAAAACCGTATACTTTCAAGTTTTAGTAAAGTATATAAAAGTATATAAAAATCTCAATCTTTTTGTGTGAACTACATGGCCTTAACAAGAGATATATTGTATGCTATTTGTCCTGGTATATTTTTACGAATGTTATATGAATTATAGGCTTTCATAGTCCTGTGGAAAAAAAAAAAAAAAAAAAAAAAACACACAAAAAAAAAAACAATCATCATGACCCTTTAATTCAGCATATTTCTTTCTCTTGATCTGGGGAACAAAAGAGAATTTTAAGACGTATATTTTGATACTAATCCCGAACATGTAACTGAAAATGACCTTAGACATGTATTGTCGGGTCAAGATTAAATAATATTATATCAAACTAAATAAAGACTATAGCAATCCATAAATAAAGAGTTCACCATTGAGAAACCAACTTATTATTTGTGAACGTAAACAATAAAGAGCGGGCCTGGATCCAATACGTCATCCCGCCTTCAAAGTAGATGGTTGATGAAATTTATATTAAAGGCCCATTATGCCACATAAATGTTTTATTTTTTTCCTCAAAAGCTTTTTTAGTTTTGGTGTACTTTTAGCATGTATGTTTACAAAATTAGAATTGGTGATTAAGTGCACATTATTTGATCTGTGTAGTGTAGAACATTCGTAGTGTGATTATTCAGGCCGGTCATTGCCACCTGGTAAAATGTGACATCTTCAATAAAAAAAGACGCAGTACAATACGCATCTCACCGTTAGAAAAAATAACAAAATGACGATAAAGGGTAGTGCATGTGTATTTTACATAAGGAATAACAAAGTTACAAAAATTCAAACACACTTCCACGGCATTCCTCGTTGACGATAGAGCTGGCTCCTTTTATATACATGTCGTTCTTGATAACATGTGACTTGTCCTTCGACAGCAATGCTCTCTGCAAGTATAGATGTGCAAAACATAGTGTACTTTTTATAATTTTAATGTCGAAGACTCTATCAAAGAAAAATACTCTACTGTGCCGAAGCAATAATGCATCCTGTCTTCGAAAGGCATAATGCCTTAACTCTACCATTTCGTAGTCATAACACCTTCGCTGTACCAACCGAATACAAAAACAGATGGTATTTCTGAATGATATTAAACATGTAAAACTGAAATGCTTTCTAGCAAAATTTGAATTGTCTCAAGATAAGAATAACTTTAAACATTTTTCGGTTTGATATTGTTTTTGCTATGCACGTTACTAAAACAGTCAGGGGTAGACAAAATATAACATAAATGCTATACCATATTATAGATACTTCTATAGTATTCTAATTTAGGACACGATGTTTAAACATGACGCTTGAAAATAGAGTATTTGCCTTTCAACGCCTGGTCAAATTATAGAACATTTAGTTAAATCTATAGATCGAAGCCGAGGTGAATATATAGTGGTAAGGACATTTTGGCTTAAATTACTTTAAGTATTTAATCTGGGACATTTAACAGAGCGCACCAAAAAGTGTTCTAATTTCTACTTATTTTACCCTGTTAGAAAATAGTAACTCCCTTTCATGAATTTAATCGGTGCAAAAGGCATGTAACGCATGAATACCCCATGTAAAAAGCTTAAATTATTTTCGATCTAATAATAACATATGTCAAATGATAGCAACATATCGTCGGTTTATATCCAAAAAGTAGAACATGGAGTTTTCATATGTATTTTAGCGAAGTTGCCCGGATATTAGAGCTTGCATTTTACGATAAACCTTTATAGGGTATGAGAGTTTCCTCCCTTATTATAAATTAAAGTTGGCCACGGATGTCTTATCAGTCAATCAACTCTAAGATGGTTTGATGAGTTTGTTTAATATGCAACTTTTAAATGAATTTTTGATTGAGTAGTCCAATCTAAAAGCTCATTGTTTTAAAATCATGGTATTTCAGCAAGATATATAGAATGTAAGTTAAATCGTCTATGAAAATGTTATAAAACTTGCTTAATCTAATTCTCTTGGACGATCTATATCATACGACAGCGACTGTGAGATTCTTATTAGATTATTTTTATTGCGTAAATGAAATAGTTTAAATTAATGAAAATATACGTGTTTTGACGTTTTACGCGTGCTTTTATTCGCAGTGTTATATCAAACATGTGTAATAATAATGATGATAATTATATAACGTTTAAAATGTCCTATAAAAACGGTAAAATTTGCAGACTTGTGTAAAAAACTAGAAGAATATTAATAGGTAATTGTTAAAAGATGAGTTTTAAAGCTTTTTAAAAGACGAGATAATTTTACAGTCACGTAGTTCTGAAGGTAATGTGTTCCAAAGTTTTGGTGCTGCAAATGAAAAACATTTCATCACCGTATGTTATAGTTTTGGAACGTGGAACATTCAGTAAAGCCGGTTCATGCAGAGACCTTAATTGTCTTTAAAGTATATAAAATGTTAACAAGTTTCTGATGTATTGCTGGGCTTCTCCAATGACGTGAGTTAGGATTTTATAATCTATACCTCGATGTATTGGGAGCCAATGAAGTTCTTTGAGCGTGATGCTGACATACCTAGAAGTTTTGGTTATAAGTTTGTTAAGAACTGTCTTTGCAAAGCCATTTAGAAGGGCATTACAATAGTCCAGTCTCGTTATAATTGAATGATTCACCAATGATTTTGCAGCATCGCCAGTAAGATGTTGTCTTATATATTGCCTAATAATATTCATTAAGTTACTATACATTGCTGAGTACAAAACTAAATTCCATCGGACGAGTACACAACTGTAAAAAGTATAAAGGCGCTAGCCGAGTCCAATAGAAGTATTACAGCTGTGTACGAGTCAATATTATACTCAACTATGTAAAATGACCTTTTCATTTCACATCAAAAATGCATAATATGCATTTGATATTAAATTTTGTGAACTCGGGAAATTGGAACGAGGCTACATGGAGTCCAATATGCAATTTGGTGTGAACTTTCGGAACATGGAGAATTTTGTTGTTCGTTTTGTTTATATTCGGACACCGGCATTAACCATAATATCGAAACCTGCTGCGTCCTTGCCGGTACGCTGATTGCATCAACATCATGGACGTCTTTTTCATGCCGCTTAACCTAAGTCCTATTTTCGTTGGTGGCAATGTTGCTCGACAATACTTTAAAGACATCTTTGTTTCAAAACAACGACCCTTTGCAGGACAATATCTTCCCTGAGTTAGTCCCGACAGGTCAGCAAATCATCCCTGAAACTTATATTCGTACGATGATAATTAAGTCTACACGGTGCTTGGGAAAGTTCAATAAAAGGGTAAGTCTGCATATTATCCGAGGAAATATAATTATGTAGTTTTATTCTAAGAAGAATGTGTACCAACGTAATGACCCAGGTGGTAATCAATGTCATTGTAACTTTTTATGATTTGAACTCATATGTTCGAACCCTACCCTACGATGATTATCTTAATAAGACGGTAAAAATATAATATATCCTCAATTGCATTCCTGATATAAGACAGTAAAAATGTAATATAACCTCAAAAGCGTTCCTGATGTAAGATTCCATATTGACCAGCTGTATATCTGTATCAGTGAGGTGGTAGACATAACAAACATCATGGTCTACTATAACTGCGCTCATACTTCCCTACAAAATAACAAACACTGGTAATACAAGTACAAATGTTGCTGCAAGGCAGCAATTGAGAAGCTCCGCGCAAAAAATGCGCTCATTACAGATACCTTACCAAATTATTCCTACGCACAGGTCATGTAATATTCAGATTGTTTACTATTGTAGATTTTTTCCGAATGTTTTGTAAACCATTTTTTGCCTAAAATTTTATACTTATCTTATGCACTGTCCATAATTGAAAAGAGGGGAAAGATATTTAATATAAAAATGCTTTCACTGACTCCTACCTGGTAAGGGAAGTAATTCCATTGAATACAAACAAGACTTACAAGACTTGTAAATGTTATGTAACATGACTGTACTGTGTTCTGTTTGTGTCACTACTGTAGTCAGTAACATAAGATGATAACAATATCAAAGTCTGTTTTTTATTATTATAATTGTAACTAATATACAGATAGTAATAAAAGGACTTATATAATAATATAGTAATATTACATGAATATTTTCCATGTCAAATTAAAAAAATGGATTCTTTCAATACTGAAAGTAGAACACACACTGGAATGAAAAAATGGGATAAATTTTAAAAAGACCAAATTCAGGATTTTTTTGTTTGTACATAGTGATACAATATTCATCAATATAATAAAAGACTGTTACCTGAATTTTAGGCAGGTATGAGGAAATTCACTAATATCATGTTCGTGCGAGTCAAAGATATAAAAGCTATTTGACATTGGTGATATATATAAAAAAACTATTGTTAATTGATTTATTGGGAGATCAATATACTTTTTTGTTGAATTGCTTTAAAACCATTCATAAAAAACATTACCCCCCCCCCCCCCACATTTTGTGGTTGGGGTATAATTATCAAAAGCAAAATTATTAAAGTCTTATTCCTATAATCTTCATTATATTGACAAAATCAATCATTTATAGAATACTTGATATGCTGTGTGTAAATGTAATTCAAAATGAAACAAATTATAATTTCATGTACTACTAAAAAAGGGAAATAACAAATTGTTGCGAGTCAAAGATATAAAAGCTATTTGACATTGGTGATATATATAAAAAAACTATTGTTAATTGATTTATTGGGAGATCAATATACTTTTTTGTTGAATTGCTTTAAAACCATTCATAAAAAACATTACCCCCCCCCCACATTTTGTGGTTGGGGTATAATTATCAAAAGCAAAATTATTAAAGTCTTATTCCTATAATCTTCATTATATTGACAAATTCAATCATTTATAGAATACTTGATATGCTGTGTGTAAATGTAATTCAAAATGAAACAAATTATAATTTCATGTACTACTAAAAAAGGGAAATAACAAATTTATAACCTAAGTGTCAAACAGAACATTTATAGCCTTCGAATTTATGTACAGATGAACTGCTTTCCGGTTCTCATTGATTAATATGACATGCTGCGAATCACTGAAGGGGAAACCAATATAAAAATAGAAAGGAGTTCTTGAATGCGAATTAGTTTTTAGCTGTAAATCGAAGGGTTTAATTGATCAAATCCGGGCCCATGGACAAAAAAAGTAAACACAAAAAGCTCGCCTGTGGGCGCGGATCAATAATACCTATCACGGGCTCGTACAAAGTCGGCACGATTCGGCAGTTTCCGTGTGTTTTAACAATATAAGGTTGAACTTTGTCAATTCGTTGCTTTTAAAGTAAGACTTTCATTTTACAATCGTTATTTGTATATTTTTGCAATAAAATGTACACGGTGGTGGCAATCTTTTGACTTATTTTTAATTTCATCACGAAAAATAATTATGCAAGAATATAAGTTATTGATCAAGATTTTTGATAGGTTAAATGACCATCCATAAAGACCTTGTATTCTATAACCATCGCCTAGCGGCTTCGGTTACATTAGCTTTCGACTGTTTTTACTGGACTATATAGCCTATCAAACTTTTATAATTTATTAGTATATTCTGAAAATGACCGTATGAGGCAGAATTCAAACGAGCTTCTTTCTAATTAAGAATAGTACTTCAAGTATGAATAAAAGTCAACAAAAGTCAATTCTACTTGAGACAATGTAACAGGCATTGGTACTATAATCTTTTTCTGAATAAACGTTTGTCAAAATACGTGCGATAACGTGAGCTAAAGGGGAAAATGTGTTGCAATATTTCTAAAACAATATTACGGCACCAGGTTTTAATCAATAGCCGATACAATTCTGCAGCAAAGTCTGATTTTCTTATTTCCAAAGGTTCTTTACCCGCTAAATTTAAGGCACATTTGAACAACCTATTATGACGATGACAATCATCATGAATTATTTACCAAAACTATATATAAATAATAACGTTGTTGCAAATTTGATAATTGATATTCAATGTCATAATAAGATGATATTGTTCAACAGGTGTTATTGATTAAATCAGTATACAAACGTCCCACAAAGTTTAAAGAAAATGTAATATTTGACCTTAACAGTAAATGTCATGATCAGATCTGAAATATTAAACATGTCTGTGTTGTTTTGTCCAAATATCAATCAAATTGTTTACTCAGCAATCCTAAGTAAGATATCCTCATATGCTATCTATATTCTAAGTTTAATATTAACAATATCTCATTTCTAACCTAGTTTAAGAATCAGTGGCTCTTCACATAAGCATGGTTTATAACAACTGTAATTTCAATATTCCACACCTAAATCCAGCTATGAACCGAACACCTATGTTCTTTATAGTGACCTTCATTTAGCCCCTCCCCTCCCCCCTCCGACAGCAATACCGAACGAGGTCACCGTATGAAAATGCTATACCAAGTTTTGTTAAAATCCCCTTTCTTTACTAGAATCTATATTGACAGGAAACCATTTTTTTATTTTTAGTTACAGCGACCTTGATCTCCTACAGAGCCTTAAAGTAATTCTAAATGGGATATTCACATACTCTTGCTATTGTGATGACTATATATCACTCTAGCTATCGACCTGAAACAATTTTTATATTTCAAGTTTGTTTCTTTGTTTCATTTTACGCCTTTTTCCAACAGTATTCCAGTCATATAGGCGGGTAGTTTCCTAACCATCGTTCCTGGAGAGTTACACCAGTACTAAACAACCTTCCTCCGCGCTAAACTACCAAAGCATCTCCCGGGGATCGAACCCACGCCAGAGAAGTAACTGGAGTAGAAGTCATCGACTCTAACCCCTCAACCACGGAGGCGGTTTATATTTCAAGTCATATCGATCTTGGTCATAGAGGACTTAAAAGTGATCTCAAACAAGATATCTGCATAAGCTCACAAAATATTAAGCCTGCTCAAAATATCTCATTCCTACCTGAAGTTATCGGCCAGAAATCATTTTTTTCTATTTAGAGTAACAGTGACCATGATCTTCATTATATGTATCCAAAAGAAAGACAAAGCGAGGTCTAGTCAGAAGACCAAGGTGTCCCAAAATAATACCAATCAAAGAATATCTCTACATTCCAAGTCTGGTTATAATATGTCATTCCTAAATATCGTTATCGACCGAAATCCTACTGTTTATCGTCCTTCCGCTTGAACGCGCGCGGTCGTCCACGCAACATGAATTGCAAAGAAAGATCATACACACAAGTTTGCCAGACTTTCCGTTCACACGTTTTCTCCCTTGATCAAAACACAAAGAAAGATAATAAACCGGTCTTTCCGTCCACAAGTTTCCTCCCTTGACCATAATTTTAATCTGTGCCTGATATTCCCTTCATTCTGATAGGAATGTCACCCATGCCAGCTTTCACAGAAGTAGTATTATATATGACTAGCTTCACGTACGCATAATAATAGGGATCACTAAGCATATAATAAATCTCACTTGATGCAAAGATACTGATGGATAAGGTGAACAAAACATTACAAAAGTAAAACTTACATTTGATGATTTATCATAAATGACAGTTGGTCCATATGTTGAGGGCGTTGTTGCGCGTCTAGCATGCTGACTTGTTGCCGAGGCTGGAGCTTCCGCAGTTGTTGTTACTTTAACCCGTGTTGGTGATGACGTCATTTGGTTTAATAACGTCGTACTTTGTGTTTCTTTATTCTCTGTTGTATGGTAAGCATTTGACGTGGATACTTTATCTGACGGTGCTGTAGTTCTAGCGCTATTTAATTCTGGAAACTACAAATAAATGTATTACATAAATAAAGAAAATACAAATTGTTTAAAGTCGACCATCGGTAGACCTACACATAATCATATAGAAAAGAAAGACACGTGACGTGATGTTTGACGTTATTAAATTGAAATTGGGGGGAAATAGTAATTGTAAGTTGTCGGTCAAAAATAGATGAATTCGCTTTATTTTTATAGAATATGTTACGGTCTAACAGTGTTATGTTTATGAGATCAAGATTATTTAAAATTTTGAATAGAACATAGCGCTACTACAGTTATTAATACTGATGTGAAAAGAAAGGCTAAATTAGTTAGCTTGATATACCTTATTTGAAGCAGTTGTTAATTGTTGGTGCAGGGTCGTCGATTCGTTGTTTTTCCTTAGAAGCAGAATTAATTCCTTGCTGTTACACCAGTGTAGAATTTGCCGGGACGCTATCGGGTCAGATCTCAATACTCTCACTTCCGGTAGAAATCCGATCCATTCTTTCATCATTTTAAGCTATTGTATAGAATATAAACAAAAAGATGCATTGTTTCATAAAATAATCTAAATACAATAATTATATCTGAAATAGGAGGCAAACAGAGAAGAAAATGATTACTTGAAATAAAGAGGAAATACATGAATCTGATGACGATCGAGTATTTTATACCCTGTAATTTTTGATAGATGATTATAATATTATATTTTTTGCTATTGTGATTACATTATCGAGTTACGTAAACAAAAACGTGATCAGTAACCGAGTGCATTAGTACCATCTGTTATGTTAATTATCTCTATTACATTAATATCAATTAATTCAATCTCGGGATAATTATTTCGTTAACGGAAAGAACAAGCCAGTAAAAAGCAACACAAAGCTGTTTCATATGGTGGCTGATATGTGCCATGTCGATCTTTTGCTTCGCGGAGCGCCATACAAAGACATAAAAATACAACAAACGACTACCTTGTCGCATTTTCGTGTTTCACCTCGCGCCCCGCAGAGTGGCCTTATTGTCGTTATTTTTCGTGATTTGTCTGGCACCCCTGCGGAGCGAAAGAACGACAAAGTAGTATCCTCGTCATAATTTCGTCAGGCGCATTGCGGATCGAAAAATGAAAGATCAGAATAATTACAAAGCGATCACTTTGTAGTATTTTCGTGTTTTCGTTTAGCGCCCCGCGGAGGGAAGGTACGACAAAATGATGAGCTTGTTGTATTTTCGTGTTTTTTTCTAGCGCACTGCGCAATGTTAATACGACATAGCACAACCTGAACTTATACGTGTGTCTGAAAACCGGAGTACAAGGAAGGAATGGTATCAAAGCCTTTACCTCGATATCGGCAATCCCATTGGTTGTGTGAACCTCGTCCATTTCGTGTTTGTTAAGCGGGACTAGAATACAGGTTAGTCTGTTACTACCGACGAATATACCCTAGTGTTAGAATAGAAGATCATGGTCACTACTTCTAAATCACAAACTAGAGATGATATTTTCACTAAACATGATTCATGATTGTATTTGGCACTCTTTAAAAGAGTTATGTAAACAGACTGATTTTAGCGCGACTATTCATAATTGTACTCAGTCCGGCCTTGATCACTCATTCTCGTGTGTTATTTTACAAGACCATTTACGAGGCTTTTAAAATGTGCGTTCATTAATATCAATGTATTGTACTTAATATATATAGAGTGGATATTTGTCTTGCTTATATGCTGTATTAATTTAAACCATTCATCAATTTCTCATAAAATTTCTTTGTCAAACAGAAATGTTCAACATTAACGAGCCTATCATTTACGGGACTTTGCCTCTTTCACCTTCTCCTGTGATTTATTCTGCTTGTTTTGGTAAATTATTTTAACTTGTAAATGGACCTGGTTTTATTGTTATTGTATTATTTCATGAAAACAAAGAAGTATCCGTGTTTTAAACATATTTATATGAAATATGTTTATCACTTGCAAACAGCTTCTAAAAATCATACTTTTGGTAGTGTAATTCGTATTTAGACGTTTTGATTTTTATAGAGTTCAATATGGATATTTACTTTCATGAACGAATACATTTATCTTATCTTGCAATCACAAAAACGAAGTAAACATGAAAAGAGACAGGTCCCGTATCTGGCTGAACTGACCCCAAATGTTGATATAATTAAATGATAGAAAGGTTATTCTAAGAGACCAAATGAAATCGCCATACTAAATGCACAAATTTAAGGACCATGGTCTCGAAAATGAATAAAATTAATGTTATTTCTGGGTTCTAGTAAACCTATCATACGGAAAAATAAAGGACATCAGTACTAGTAATATTTTACATTTAAGATGTCGGAAAACTATACAAAAAGTGTTTATTTTTCAGTTCTAATATTTATGAAATGTCGTGGTTTAACTGAGAATGAGTGTGGTGCCGGCAACGTCGTCACACTGATTATTTCTTTTTCATGCAAGTTGGTATCTTTAAAACTACTGAAGGGAATGGGCTGAAAAATTACACACTTATTTAAGAGCATAATAGGAGGTCACTAACATGGACCTTGACATAATTATTGCACTTTTTTACCTTAGAAAAGTCCATGTTGTCCAGGCACTTGTTTAACTATCATGCTTTGAAAAAAAACGAGCTCGACAAACCTTAAAATGATTCCAAACGTCTCTTAGTAAATGTTCCAATGTCATCAAATTACAATCGGTTTCTTTACCCATAGATTATAACGTTTAATGATGTAATAAAAAATAAATTATCATCGATTGGTTATCTCTACTCTTATTTCAATTACTTTTGCAATTGCTTGAAATAATTGCAGAAATTAATTTAATACGCACAGTTTCTCCTTCGAAGTAAAACATAAACCGGTCACTTCCTGAAACTTGCACGTGACCAAACCCCGCCAACCATAGAGTCAAGAGTACCTATTAATTAAAAAATAAGCCATCTGAGCATTAAGTATGTATGATAAACTAGTTTTATTTAACCATTTAACTGCTAAATGTATGTAATTGATTTGTTCAGCTTTGAGTCTTACAAAAGTTCAAATTCAGCAAGTAAATGTTTAAAGATGACCAGCATGGTCAAATTGTACTGAGATGATAATGACAGTCTTAAACATGTATATATAAGACTTTATTATAGTTTTTAGAACTACAACATTTCTATAAAAAAGAATGGACTTTATGGCAGACTAAAGCATGAAATTCAATGGCCAACACTGTTTGCATGTTACCTTCTTAATACAACACAATAGCTTCAACCTGATTTAACAATGATACCTTGACGAACGCTAATAGACACACACACGTACATATGAGCCAATTTATCACAGAATGACATATGAAAGTCAATAGCAATGAGAAAATACAAAGAGAAAAATTTTAAAAACAAAACACTTTTTGTTATAATCAACTTAAAGATGCGTGATCAAGTAAAAAAAATGCGCGTGATGTTATTCAGAAAACAAAGTTGAAAGGAAAGTATTGAAATAAAATCATACGTAATATGTCCCCATGGTTTGGTTATCTCACAATTTTACATGTTGTTTTAATTCATAGTTTGATTTTGTCTGCGGTCTAATTTCTCCCAGTCTTATCTGTGTCGCTTCTTACATTAAAGCTGTTGTCTCATAGCCAAGGTGAAATACTTCAACATTGTACTTTTAATCACATGACATCACTTGTTTCCCTTTGAAATATAACCATATCGCATTTCTTTTTATATTACACCTTATAAAATGAAACCAAACAAATTGACTACCAGCTTTGGCACCATGTGACCTCCCAATATGTTATGGGATCAAATAGTATCAATAAAGTCAAGTATATATATTGCCAGTCGAAAATCACTATTATACTGTACCTTACCTAGTTATCATTTTCAAAGTCCAAAAAAAAAAAAATCATATCAGATTAAAATTGCACTCGAATTAACTATGTCAATTGTTATCTGTCAAAATGTCCAAAAAATAGATTTGCAATTAAGAGTTCATTATACGTAATTGAGTAGAATACTGATCATATTGGACTATTGCACTCGGCTAGCACCTCGTTGATATAGATTTGATATAGGGTTCAGTATTCTATACAACTATGTTATAATTTATTTAACTGTATAATAACCTCATTGTATTCAAAAAATGTTATAAAGCTCACAAAAGGCCCGCTTGATAATATTTTCTTGAAGTCGTTTGATAACATTTTATGTAATATGGCAACTTATGCGAGATCCTATGTGTATGTCACTCAGTGTTAAAATGGGACATAGGTAAGGTTTTGAACAGCGAACACTTCAATTGATAAATATGTTACACCCTGAGCTTATACATTTGTTCAAGTGAAAAGGGTGACCAGTTGGCAAGGACAGTAATAATCTTTGAAGTGAGATAGACTAGCTTTAAACATTTCACTTTTATCTGTACGATCCTATTTATAAACTTTGTAAATATAACAGTATAATTTCTCTGAGTTATCATGTTACGTACTATAAGTCAATGTCTTTCAAATAGAATGGTCTGGAAACGGGACCATTTTACGAAATAGGATGTCTCGGCAGAGTCATGTGATTAGGGTATAAATCTACCGACCGTGTATCACCGTTCAAAATGAAATTATAAAATATTTTTTTTGTTAAATCGATCAAAGAATTTACTGAAAACTAATTCTTGCAGGTTTTACTTAATAAGTGATGATTTAACAGATTTGCCTGAAATTATGACTTTTTTCGTATCCGGTGTCAAGAAAAAAATTTACTGCTCGTATTTGATAATAGGTCTGAGTTTGATAAGCCTTTTTTAAATTTATGCATTTGTACAAGAAAAAAAGGTGACCAAATTGCCAGGATAGACAAATAATCTTTGAAATAAGATAGACTAGCTTTAAACATTTCAGTTGGCAGTTTGACCTTTTATCTGTACGATCCTATTTACAAAACGCCATGTAGTTATGTAATAGTATAATTTCTCTGAGTTATCATGTTTATATATAATTATACTTATTATAAGTCAGTGACTTTCAAATAGAATGGTCTGGAAACGGGACCATTTTACTCGGCTAGGTCATGTGATTAGGTTCAAAATGCGGTAAAATTCAGTGGTACGTAAACACATTTTTAGATAATAGCCTCAGTAAAATACATGAATACGTTTATACCCTCAGTAAAATAATTAATACGTTTATATTATCAATGTAATACAATAGTACGTTTATACCCTCAGTAAAATACAATTGTTATATTATACCCCCAGTTAACACATTAATACGTTTATACCCTCAGTAAAATACATGAATATGTTAATACCCTCAGTAAAATACATGAATATGTTAATACCCTCAGTAAAATACATGAATATGTTAATACCCTCAGTAAAATACATGAATACGTTTATGCCCTCGGTTTAATACACTGATACATTTATACCCTCAGTAAAATGCATTGGTACTTTTATACCACAGTAAACACATTAATACGTTTATACCGTCAGTAAAATACATCAATAACCTTATGCCCTCTATAAAATTTATGCCGTCAGTAAAATGCATTTACATGTGACGGCATGACCGAGTGGTAAACGCGTCGGACATCAAAGTAATCAAAGCACCGCTAGCATCATAGGCTGAAACACCGACATGACTGGAGCAAGTCATTGTTTCATTGAGCAAGAAGTTTTACACTTGTTGCTCAGCACTGGTCACTTCCAGGAACGGATCCGAAACTGTGTCTATAAGCTTATATCTTCCTTCAAAATAAATCTAAAAGACATTGATACGATTATAGTCTCCGCAAAATACATTGATTCGTACAGTGATACGTTTTAAAATGACTTTTTTTACTTTTGGTGATTTTGTTCCGTGTTTTAAACCATAAGTTTTATCATTTTGTCATTTCTCCCTTATCTTCTAAACAATCAGGCGAACTTTTGCAAACAATTGCTAGTTAGAATCTATCATAATTCATCAAAAGCCAGTGTTCACATGTGGGACAGTCTTTGATACTTATTTCCTAATATCATAATAATTGATATTAAAAACTGATATTCATGTATGAAAATAAAAATGAAAAGAATGAAGGAAAATAATGAATTTCAAACTAGGATAACCACTATGGCATTCTGTCATTGCTTTGAAGTTAGATTTTGTCAGTATGTCCACCATAGTTAATCGGAAAATTATAACGTTTAATCCACAAGTTTTTGTCAATTTCTCAACTGAGAAAATGTGTACCCTTTCCCGACTGAACCAGTGGCTAAATACAGTAAAGTTACAGTTATGTGCAAATCAACTGACACAGCGTATTCGTGTGCAATTCGTGTGCAATGAAACAGCCGGTGTAAAAGTGAGAAACAGACGTTGTGAAAAATACATTACCGGTGATGGAGTTATTCCCTTAATTAAGACAATTTATCATGTAACATTTTGCAATACCCATGCAGTTAAAGTAATTCTTAAATACGGGGCATGGGTAACAGTGTTACGCCATTACAGTGTTATAGCGGCGGGAAACATGACTTATTTCACATTATTCACGTGTTTATGGATATTGAAAGTGTCAATAATTTGTAAGATAACGCTACTTTTATTCACTAAATATTGCTTAACATATAAAAATGAATTTTACAGAAACTGAATATTGAAATGAAAAGCCTTTTCTTTGGAAAGCAAGGTAAAACTACACACGGGAATTAAAATTTAAATAAAGATTATGATTATTATCTTTATTTCCTCCATAACTGAGGAGCTTTAACAAAATATTGATTATAATATGCATATTAAAATTGTACTAAGAATCATATGTACAGTAAATATAAATACAAGATTTATATGTATAATATAAATGAGAAAAGAGAAGGCATATTGTACAAACATTCAAATATTTACTCATACTGAAAGATAACTAATGCAATTAATCCGTGATATCTATCAACAATTAGTTTAAACATAGTTTATTTCGAACAAATTCACAATATATATACAGACAATAATGTACACAATACAAACATAATATGCTGAAAAAGGATTGGGTCCGAAAGCTGAGCTTATAAAGGCCTTCTCCTTATAGATTTACAATGCATAAAATACGGTATGACAGTATATGTGACTTGCTTGAAATATATCTGATTTTACATTTTTTTTTAAGAAGTTAAAGTCAAAATTGTTTCTAACATTTAGTTATAATGTAAAGCAAATATTAATACAAAAAAATGAATGAGAATACAAGACTGCATCATTTGTTATATAAAATTAAAGAGAAATAACGTAAATTAAGATAGAAAGAAATGAAGTAAGAAACTTTCAGCAAAATAGAAAAGAAGAAGAAATAAATTAAATGTGGATCATTCGGATAGTTCGGCGATTTAGATGGGAAGTATTTATTGATTTGAGCTGATGTGAATATGCTTAAGAGAATCTCCTGCTTTCTCGGATGTATGTATGAACGGCTTCAAACAGTCTTCTGTTTGCATCATCACTAATGTTTGGGTCTCCATTTAATAACTTTTGGAGAGTTGCTGAACAAATAGTAGATATAGTGTTAAGAAAAGAGGCCCTGCTGTCAGCATAGCGATGACATCTATCAACAATTGTCAATTGATAAGAAAAAAAATGAATTAATGAAAATATATACATACATAATGATATACAGTTGTTAAGAGTCGCCTTAGGAAACTCATACGTGCATCTCTCTACACAAAACGTTTTATATTATTAATTATGTATGTAGTAGAAAATGCAACGCATACAGAAGTAATAAATAAGCCATTGCTTTGAGAAACACAATGTGATATATAGAGCATTATACACAATAACTAAACGGTTTCTTTTTTGAATTTCATTGATCTGCAGTAAACTTTGAAGATAAGAACTTTGAATTTTAAAATAAAAAATACAACCTATGTTGTATGCATATATATATTTTACAGTCTGCGATGATCCTGACCCATGTGAGCTGAGGGACGCCGGGCTATTATCCCATCCTAAAGAATGTCAGTTATATTACAATTGTTCGCTGCCAGTGAGAAGATTCAAACCATGGTTAGGGAAACATGTAATGGAGTGTACATACCCAGACGTTTTTGACGAGAAAACTTTACAATGCGGAGATTTTCTAAATGTACAATGCAATTCAAGAGAAACATATGACCACGCGTGTAAGTATTTCATCTTCTTCAGACATTTGCATATTTTTATTATAAGATGTACCAGACAGACTCGTAAAAGTCGGCATATTTCGTCACTTTCCGTTAGTTCTAACTAAATTAGAATTGAAAGCGCTAAATAATTCAAAGTCAGTGAAAACTTAACACTCATTGCTCAGTACTGGTTAACTACAGGAACAGATTTGAGAGTGTGTCTATTATCTTATAGATTTCTATAACTTCTTTTACCAATTCATGTTTAAATGTTGAATTCTGCTTAAGTTTGTGCTAGGTGGCGTGGACGGTAGTTTGCACTTTACAGTACCGTCCATGGACAGGCTCAATCAAACCGAGCCTGCAAAATTTTCAATTTTGCCGTGTTGGGCTTTCTTTAGGGATTCTTATTTCACTCTATTTTAAGTAATTTCTGTATGAACTAACTAAATATAAAACAGTATTTATTACAATGACAATATGCAATACACAGCATCTATATTTAAATAAATAATGATTTGGCAAATAATGTTTTAAAGTCACCGTCAGTATCGGAAAACTTTAAGTTGTTTTATCATAAACTGATATCATGATTAATTTCCGGCAGACAACAGTGCGCATTGCTACTCTTTTAAAAGTCATGTAAATGTTAAAAACGGAAAGTTACGCGGTTTGTCAACGTCGGATACCCACAACCGAACCACATGTTATGTTATATGTTAATCAACCGTGGGTATCCGACGATGGCGGTTTGTCGACTATACAATCCCTGAATCGGTGAAATACTTTAAATTTCTAATGACCGTCAATAGCTGAACACCATGGCTTTAAAGTAGCAGCGTATGCATTTTCGAACCACCGAAATAGAGTTTAAACCTACGGATTAAAAAAGAAGAAGCACAATTTCAACTATAGATTAATTTCAGTTCCGACATGTTCAAAACAGTTCTTGAAAATTTGAAGAAAAAGTAAAGTAAGACATATTAAAGAATGTATCATATTGCATTAATATTTTATTATTAACAAATAACATCATTTTATACAATCAAAATGGTGACTTATTTTGTTTCAGGCGAATATCGCAATAACATGTGCTGGCCAAAGTCAAACTGTAAGCGATGCATTAGTGACTTCTCATGTAATCCAGAAACCGGAAGTGGTCATCAGTGTCACTTTGTGATATCTGATCCCTTAATGCTAAGAATATGCCCGTTACTTCGTAAAAATGCATGTTCATTATAATGATAATTATTAAACTTGACCACTTATAGTATTGCTTGTTGTTGTCTCATTATCCAGAAGAAAAAAACATGATGTATATCATCTTACAGAGAAAGGATATATTATATACAAATACGAAAAGTTTATTTTGCATAAAGCTTAATACAATGCTTATAACAAATATAAATTGTAATATATACAATGTTTGGATGTCAAAGCATGGATTTTACAGCAGACAAAAGATAATTTATGGAATATCATGTCCAATATTCAATATTTTGCGCTTGTATGTATATGTTTCAAATTAACAGGTGCCAACTTACAATATACTAAAAAGTCTACACTTCAGTTTTTCTATCTTATTCTGGTACGAGTATATAATGGTAGCGAGAACACTAAAGATTTACAGACTAGAAAAAATGTTCACTGTTGCAAGTCAGTTCTTTCTGAAAGATATACATGCACATACAAACCTCTTAGTCAGTAAGTTATTGACTATCTTTTACATATTATAATATTATAAAAGCAGTCAAAGATTTAGCCCAGACTAGTTGTTGGTAATATCTAATGGCCTAAATAGGTTTTTACCCCCCCCCCAAAAAAAAACAAAAAAAAAAAAACTTTAAAAGTGGAAAGTAAAGCTAAGAAAATTTAATTGTGCCTACCATCCATATAACAAAGAACAAAACGAATGGACAAGTTTAATATGATGACATTTACGAAAAGTGTTAGCCTGGGTTCCAGTCTGTAGATTTTTTATCGGCTTCTGTTCGGCAAATCGACAAACCCGATCGAAAATGAAATAGCGCTTATGTTATGACTAAGCAAAAAATATCAACGCCTGAACGCCAGGCTAGAAAAGTATGATAGTTAAAAGTTATAAGTTAGTATTTATTTCATTTTGAAATACAATGTCAATATTACTAAAAACATGGATGAATGAATGCGACTTCTAGTAATATATCGAAAACGTGTTTGTTCACTCATAGACCGAATTTCAAACTATTATACATGTATCATAAAACATTGATTTTAAGATTCTTTCTTATTTTCTGTAACTTATAGCAATGAATTGTGCAAGATTAAATGTGTATGCATGTCTTCAATCATATACAACAAGCAAATTCAGCACAAGAATTACCCGAGACATTTGAATTCGGGTCCAATTTCCGGCCAATATCGTTAATCAGAAAAAGGTTAAGGAAGTTTAGACTTTAGCAGTCTAGAATTAAAATTCTTTTTTTGAATAATCTATAGAATATACCTTATTACCGTAAAAAATGAGAATCTTTGTTCTGTTCTGTTCTGTATGTTTCAATTTTAATCGGATTAAAGTAAACACAATGACCGGTATTAATCTGTTTTTATTTATCTTTTGTTATTGGATTGATGTTTGATCGATGTGCGTGCTTATCAATTATCGATAATTATCGTTAAAGATGATCGGCAAACAACGGTTGAATAAGATATTGTTTTTAAAACGTAACATCAAAGGCGGCGTGTTTTCAGAAACACTATACAAACAAACATGTGTGAAAACCTTAAGGCATGCGCGATTTGAATCCGGTAATTTTAGAAACAACATACGCATTTGAGAAGTTACTCGCATACAGTGTGTTTGGATAGCAATTGCTCATCATGTAAGTAAATAATATTTGTTGTTATATATTATTGTTGATTGTATAGCCTAAATGAATGTAAAAACTTACATTATTTAATTGCCGATATTCTTACAAATTGACTTGCGAGATCGTGTTGTGAGACATGGTTAACGGTAGTAGTCAAACAGAAGTTATCAGACTTAGATTCTAGTAAATGCAGAAGAACAGAACAGAATATTTAATTGGCATTAAATACAAACAATATTATAGCCATACAAATATAAACATGTATACAAACTTTACCAGAAGAACAAAAGTTTAACAATTTAGATTTAACAAACATTTTTAAGTCTAGTTTCTTAATGGTATCATTGTCTTTCTCTGAAAGCCAAATATAAAAATCGACCTAATTTGTAAATTGATCTTATAGAATCTGTTGACATTAAAGTAGTGAACTTTTGAATAGATGGCCATCTGCAAAAATACGGGGTGAAAGTTTTGATTCGTAACTGTCTGTATTTAGGACAAACAAGTAAAAAATGATAAGGATCTTCAATCATATTCATATTACATTGAGTACAGTATCGTTGTTGTCGGTCAGTATTGTTATATCGTCCAGTTTCAATGGCTAAATTATTTGTATATAATCTAAACTTTGTAATTGTAGTTTTATATTTAGTGTCCATGTTTAACTGCAGGTACTTCTCTGTTTCAAATTCGTGTTTGAATAAACAATAGTGCGATAACCTATTAGAATTGTTAATTGTAGTATACCACGATTGCTTAAAGATATCTTATATTCGCTGCTTAATAATAACATAACTGATATCATTGGAATTCTGAGAAAGCCACAAATTTCCTAATCCTATTTTTTTCAAGCAAAATTTTAATATGATGTGCCCAATTAAGACCGTTGTATGAGTTTCCATTGTTTGCGTCGTTTTTCAACATTTCGTATATATTTATAATTAATGGGTTGTTTGATTTCAAAACTTGTATCCAATATTTGATAATTATCAATTGCCGTGCTGTTTTCATGGGATATCGCCTACAAGCCGTATAGATTTGTCGATCGTTTTACACATAACAATTTTCGAAGGAATTTACAATGTATTTGTTCAATGTGGTTGCCATCATGATACCCCCAGACTGATGCATTATAATTTAATATAGAACCTACTAAACTGTCGAACAGACGAAATTTTTCTTTCAAAGGTAATTCAATTTGATAAAAAACTATAAATAGGTTATGGAGCGCAAATGATGAATGTTTTGATATTCTAATTTGTGTTCTATACCACGATCCATTTTTGAAGAGATGCGTTCCTAAATACTTAAATGATGGGACTACTTCTAGCTGTGTATTATTAAGAAATATATTACACTGAGTATGTCGACCACGTTCAAATACCATAACTTTGGTTTTGTTCGTATTGATTGTTAGTCCCCACGTACGACAGTACCGGTTAAGGTCATTTAGCATAGACTGCATTGTTTCGGGTGAGTGCGCAAATAATGCCGCGTCATCAGCGAACATCAAGAGGAAAAACTTAAGTTCATTTATTGTAAATATTCCTTCTAAATTAGTATCAATATTTTGTAATATATCATTAACGAACAGTAGAAACATCAGGCTTGAGCTCGGGTCTCCCTGTTTCAATCCTATAAACGAGTTGAAAAATTCCAACATTTTACCATTATATCTAACACATTGTTTAACGATATTATACATTGACTCTAGAGCTGTAACAAATTTTGAACTAACTTGATAACTTTTTCCGTAAGAAATTTCTATCTATACGATCAAAACATTTTTCGAAGTCTATAAAGACACTATAAAGTTTTTGCTTAGAATTTAAGGTTTTTGCAATAATAGAGTGAAATAAAAATATACAATCAGTAGTGGATTTTCCTTTTTCGAACCCTTTATTGGTTGTTTAATATTAAAGTTTTTTCCTGTGTCCAACTTGTAAGTCTATTCATCAAAACTTGCGAGTATATTTTAGCCATCACATTAATGAGAGTTACTCCCCTATAATTTTTTGGGTCCTCAATATTACCTCCCTTGAATATTGGTGAAATGATACCCTCTCCCCATGTTGTTGGATATTCTCCAGTACAAAATAAACGATTAAATAATTTAAGTGTGAATGGAGATGTTACTTCAAACGAATGTTTATATATTTCAGCAATAATTTCATCAAGGCCTGCACTTTTGTTATTATTTTGAGAAAACGTAGCATTTTTTAGTTCATCATAAGTTATCTCTTTGTCTAGAAACTGGTCGGAATTATTTGCATTTACGTTTTCATTTAGCAAGTTATTTTGATTTGAGCCAAATAGTTCTTTAAAATGACTATAAAGGTCGTCTACAGATAAACTTTGTGCTTTACTATTGGGTTTTTTATATTGTCGTTTAACATTCGACCAAAATTTCTTTGGATTATTTCTTGCCATCTCCGAAATTTTATGTTTTTGCAAACTTTGAAACTTTCTCTTTTCCGTCTTTTTGACCTTACAATAATTAATTTTGGCTGATAGAAAAGACATTTTGTTTTCATTCGTTTTACGTTTAAGATAGTTATTCCTCGCGTTATTAAAAGATTTAAGTGCATTATAGCATACGTTATTAAACCAATCTTGCTTCTTTTGAAATGAATTGTTTTTTACTATTCTCTTTTTACTAAAAACATCTTTTGTAGAAGTATGAATTAATGTTATAAAATTTGATGAAACAATATTAACATTATTTTCTAAGTTCTCTACACTTGATTCTAATTGTCTAATGGCATTCTCATCTTGATTCAATCTCAATTTAAAATCTTCAATTTTAGACGCGTCCCACTTTATATATGTGTTTTCTATCGACTCATTTTGTAAAATTTTGTCTATCTTTTTGTAAGATTTGAAATGAAATACTACAGTGATCGGAAAACTCTGTCATAACATTGACTTGAAAGTTATTAACAATATGAAAATTTTCACTCTTGAGTAACAAATAATCGACTGTACTTGATCCATTGTGCGAATGGAATGTAAAGTCCCCGTGAATATCGTTATGTAAGCGACCGTTACAAATGCGAAGACTAGTTGTTTTACACATATCGAGCAGACGACGTCCATATGCATCTATCACGTGGTCAACATTTTCACGGTCTACTAAATGTATGTCTAAGTCTGTCCGATCAATTTGATTAAGTAAATAATTATCAGTTTCCAAAACATCAGATAATGTTGAGGTTCTTGCATTTAAATCGCCTAGCAAAAATATTTTACCAAGGGAGTTATATGTCTCAATATCAGACTCTAATTGATCAAACATATCAATATCAAAAAAAACTTAGCAAAGGAGAACAACTAGGTAGAACATAAGTATTACATAACAAAATATCTTCATCAAAATTAAAAAGATACACGAATTATAGACTGTTTATACATTAATTTTGTTTTGAAACAAATCTGATAATACACTGGTAAAACACCAAACTTATTTAAATATAAAATATAATTTAGAACAAGAAATAACAACTGTAGAATCTGAAATGGCATCGAACTTAGCAGGGGTATTTGTGCACTGTGTCAAAGATACGTTGGTGATGAATTTCATTATATTCGTGAGTGTCCATGATTTGTTACAACAGAAACCTAACTTTTTATAGAAAAGTAACATTAATTCTGTTGATCTGCGAATGAACACTGTTGTTAACCCTTAGATAACTTAAAAATTGTTTATTTCTCTTTTAACTTTTAAGATTGAAATGAGCCAAATACTATATTAATGTACTGTTGATGAGAGCCCACTTAAAGAAGTTGCTATATATAAATAATAATTAAAACAGTGATTTTACTGTAAAGACAAATGTTTTATTTTACTAAGACTGTCGTTTCTTACACACTCGTGTATCAAATATTATTATTTACTATTTCAAATAGTGTATAAAGTTTTATAGTGTACACAATCTTAGAAGATTTTAGTTGACAGGATATTATTTTACAAATGTTATTAACTGTCTCTTATAATTCTGTATGAATGACATTATATATCGTGTATTGTATTTGGATAAGACATCCGTAAACTAAAATATATATATTGCATTGATAAAACAGGTAGGTCTTCATGTAAATTATGTAGAAGCCAATTGTTTAAGTTGCTAGTTACTAAATTTGGTAACATTTTGAGGATGTTAAGTTTAACAAATGACATACTTCCCCATGTTGCATGATATGAGCCGCGTCACGACAAAACCAACATAATGCGTTTGCGACTAGCATGGATCCAGACCAGCCTGCGCATCCGTGAAGTCTGATCAGGATCCATGCTGTTCGCTTACCACCTCTATTACAAGTGGAGAAACTGACAGCGAACAGCATGGATCCTGATCAGACTGCGCGGATGCGCAGGCTGTTCTGGATCCATGCTGGTCGCAAACGCGCTATGTTGGTTCTGTCGTGACGCGACTCATATAATGGTCAACATTTCTCTTATACGGGGAAGTCAAAGACCGTGCCCACGAAGCGGGTCCGGGCTTTGGCTTGCCCGGCTATAGACTACACGTGTATATTTAAAAGAAAATCAAATAAAAAACAATTAAAAAAATATATAGAATTCTATACCTATCAATGAAATTTTCAGTGTCAGTTCTAGCCGGGCACCGCCATTTACAATGTAACTCAATGAAAATAGGCGGGATATTCCGATATCGGAACAAATCTCAACTTTTCAGATAAATAGTAAACGTCGAGTGTTCCGAGTGAAAACGGAAGCGGGTATATATAATACCGAATGACACCTTTAAAACGGAAAAAATGAAAGGATTTTTTACCGACTTCCCCGTTTTTAGGCTTTTCCTAATTTCATATTAATACAATGTAGGCTTTTATAAGAAAATGTGACAGTGTGAATATATTGATGTTATGTTTTTAAAATATAGCGTAACCTTGCACGGAAAGATAATGTGCTAAGGAAGACAAATCTTAAGTGCATAAAGCAGTAAACTGCTATGATAATTGATTAGCATTTTATTGTTATATATGTATTATATATGTACACAGACACTTGGGGTTTGAAGCTCAAAACGCCTTTAAAATCCAAATAAAATGCATATTTGTCAATCCCAGCACATGTACTGATCATATATATCAAAAAAACTTAATATAAGCCGTTTTGAAAAAAAATCATATTTCAACATCTATAATAATACACAAGATAAAAATGTTCGCCGGAAAAAATCCGCTCCCCTACCGTCATAATCACCATGTATTTTAATCCATTTCCAATATTTTCACATAATCCTTTGGTCCATCGACACAGAAGATATAATGCTTCACGATGATGGTCAATTTTAAACTTCAACGGTAATATAAACAACGCAACAGCCGAAATAAACATCAATATTCTCGCCGTTTTTTTTTCAACGACAAAAACTTTCGATAAATTCAATGGACCAGACGGCTATGAACGAAGCTATCCGATTATGTGGCCCCAGCTTTGCCGTGTGCAAAATGCGCAGCGCTTTTAAGTTTGGGAACCACATAATCGGATAGCTTCGTTCATAGCCGTCTGGTCCATTGAATTTATCGAAAGTTTTTGTCGTTGAAAAAAAAAAACGGCGAGAATATTGATGTTTATTTCGGCTGTTGCGTTGTTTATATTACCGTTGAAGTTTAAAATTGACCATCATCGTGAAGAATTATATCTTTTGTGTCGATGGACCAAAGGATTATGTGAAAATATTGGAAATGGATTAAAATACATGGTGATTATGACGGTAGGGGTGCGGATTTTTTCCGCCGAACATTTTTATCTTGTGTATTATTATAGATGTTGAAATATGACTTTTTTTCAAAACGGCATAGATTAAGATTTTTTGATATATATGATCAGTACATGTCCTGGGATTGACAAATATGCATTTTATTTGGATTTTAAAGGCGTTTTGAGCTCCAAACCCCAAGCGTCTGTGTATATGTATAGATGAGACTGTAATAAATAATTGTCATATAATAATGACTCTCCTCTATAGTTAGGCATGTATAGTATTAATCGCTCTGTCCTGTAGCTTCGATAGAGCTATAAAGTATGTCGCCGAAACTGTATGTCGTGTTGTCTTAATACATGTATATTTGTTTTCTTGTTTGTTTTTTTTGTAATCTCTTTTCATCGAATGTCGTAAAAGGCTAGCTACCATGTAGTTTTAATTTAAGTTTTACGGGAACTCCAAGTTGACGAATATACTGGTATGCTTGAACTGAAGTTGTGTCCGCGTTTGCCATTTTTTACAGCTTAAGGATTGAACAAAAAATGCTAATGCCTTATTTTTTAAATCAATAATTAACATGATTATTCCAAATTAAAAACTAATATGTTTCGAGTTGATCTTTTTTTAAAGAAAAAAAAACCAGAACCAAAAATTAGTTTTTATATTTATTTTGGGAAACAGTTCTGCCGTGAAAAAGGCAGTTATTTTGGCAAGGAGAAAGCTATATAGTTGTGTAGGTTTAAAATGTAAGTTAAATCGGCACCAGGATAAATTGCTACATTAAGTCATAACCAAAATAGTCTGAATCCTGACACAATTTGTTTCTTCGCGCGTTGTACGAATACCCTTTAAATATTTGGCATCGAAAGCTTCATATATATATGCATGTACACATCTGCCTTCATACAATCATATCCTTTCGCATATACAATATTGAAATTATCAATATTGAAATGTCTATGTTATTTTATTTCATGTTTTTACCTATACAAGTATACATATATATAAAACATAAACTACATGAATAGCCATTTGTTTACTTCTAAGGGGGACAACTCCACAAAACCATATTACAGCAAGTTACTGTTTTATGCACTAAAAAGTTATCGCCCTTAGCTAAACACATTTCATAGCTGAAACATATATTGGTCTTATACATCGTAACTAAAGTATGATATATTCTTCACCAGCAAAGTGATAAAAGTAACGTTGACAACGAAGTATAATCTTAAAATAGCTTTCCAATCGGATGGTTCAGGAAATAAAATCGACGATAAGTGAAATTAGTTTACAATACATATATAGAAGGTAGTTTTAAATAATTACGACATTGTTTATTCCGTAAATAACATGGTTGATAACTGTGGCATTTATATTCACTTTTGTTTTAGGATGGCTAACAGAGACAACAAAGAGAACTTGGTGCCAAAAAGACAAAGAATAAAGTACAAACCTGAACAGGTAAACTGAAACTCCAAACAACTATATTGTTTATACGAATAAGAATACTGAATATTGTATATATTATACATGTATAACTGCTATATCAGATATTTCTATATCCTGTTTGTTTTTAGTGTCTTTTGTATAATCCGATCACGATAAACAGAAGTTTCTTCAGATTTATTTATAGTACGGAACAGTCCATTTAAATACTATATAGGATAAATGGAATTTTGAACATCCTAATGATTGTATGTTTGGCTGATCATTGTAGATGTAGGTAATAAATGCCCCAACAGCTCAATCGGTAGAGCACTAAGTTCAAAGGGAACCTTGCAGAAGGGTAACAGAGTCTTCGTTCATGTGCGAGACAACAAAATGATAATGTGTTTTTTATATGATCGATTTATTTATGTCACTTTTTAATCGAATAAGATTCATCACATTTATTCGACTATCTCATTTGTTTCATTTCTTATTATAAATGTATCAATATTTTAACAAATTTTAAGAGAGGCAAAAATACAATATCTTTAAGTTCATATGCATAATAATATATTAATTTTGTCAGACAGTTATAAGTTATTAAAAAAAATAAAACTTGAATAAAAATGCAAGTTTTTACCAGGTTTCGAACCAACAAGCTGAATACACTTTCATTTTAACAAGCGGTCTTACTTACTGTGCTATAGTGTCAGTCGATGATAATATCTCATAAAATATAATTTGTATAACTTTTAATGTAATTATTTGGTTAATCACTTGCAGTTTACATGTGTCCCTGGGTTTATCTTTTAATGGACTGTGCTTGTATTTTTTAGAACTGACGAAAGTTCTGTTAATCGTGCTCGGAGTCATTAATCAAATAGCGTTCGTCCATGCTATTTTATATAAATCGATGCCCTGCTTTTTCAATCTTTGCTATGCTATATCAATCCGTATTATATATACTTCTATCTTTACGTTTTATGGTATTATCTGTTAATGTAATTCTATTATCGATCCATGTTATGCTATTATCGATCCATGTTATGCTATTATCGATCCATGTTATGCTGTAAATGATTAATGTTATGCTATTATCGATCAAGGTTATGCTATTATCGAGCCATGTTATGCTATCATTGATACAAGTTGGGCTTTTATCGATTCAAGTTAAGCTATTATCGATGCATTTTATGTTATTATCGGCCAATGTTATAATAGCTAAATGCTTTTCTGTTATCATCCATGTTATGCTATTATCGATCCATTTGATGCTATTGTCGAGTCATACTATGCTATTATCAAGCCATGTTATGCCGATCCAAGTTACGCCATCATCGGTCCAAGTTATGCTATTATCGATGCATTTAACATTATTATCGATCAATGTTATGAAATTATCAGTCCATGTATGCTGTTATCGATCCGTGTACTAATGCCACAATCAATCCGTGGGCGATACACATTATACAATACTGTTACACAAACTTTTCAAAAAGGAAATCATAACACATATCGAATAATCAAACTTTAAAAGAAATCACCTAATTAAAACAGAACAAAAATGAAATACAGCTTTGTAAACCAGAAACCAGATTATAGTTGTTTTTATGTATGATATAATCACACGAAAATGTGGTGATACGAGTATAATTGTGTTAATATGACTATTATTGAATCACTTTCCTATCAGTTGAGAAGTCAAGTGGCAATAAATGGCATGCTATATTGCAGCGTTCCGTTGTCTCTTTCTATCGAAACATGAGCCGTGATATATACACCCTCCTTTTAATTGAAAGCCATTATCGTACAAAATTGTTTATTTGTAAGGAGAAAAAAGTGTGACACATTAAACGGGAACAAAGTTCTGTCACAAAACAGACCCGGACCCGTATTTGTAATCTTTAGATTTTTTAGTCCTTACATGTTTTTTTCCCATGAATTTCTTATCCTTAACTAACATTTATCGCTTTAAAGACATGAGACCGGAAAATCCAATTTCAATTTAAGCAATGAATTTAAGGCCTAAGTTATGTATTTTCTCCATATTTGATAATAAATATACGACGTGGGAATGGTTCATTCCGGGTAATTTACGGGAAGGGCCCAACCCTTTTGCCATTTGTTATTTAGAAATCAATTTGTTTTTCTGTATATTTACATGTATATATTACCAATAAAATATGATTAAACGCTAAACGGGAAGGTTTTGTCATTCCTATTGAAAATACGAACGCGTTTTTTGCTGCCATTTTAAATTTGAGATTTGGGAGTAAAAATGAGCGGAAATCGTCCGACAAAGGCAATGAGCTATATTTAAATGGAGAGGAAGCTATGACGTCATACACTTAAAATCTATATCAAGGATCTATAATCACGCAAGTTCACATTTTTGCGAGATTTTCCGAGACCGTGTTTGACGATACATATATGTATATATGTACGCAGCCATAAATAAAAAAAAATTGTTATGCTTATCAAAAAGAAGTATAAAAAAGTAATAAAGATTAAGAAAATGTAAATCTCTGTAATGGATGAAAATGTATACAAATAAAGTTATTGAAAACAAAATGGCGTAATTGATCAACTCAAAGGGCCGGTGAATCTCGCGCAAAGGATTGGGGCCAGGATTTTGAAAAATGTTCTATTTATATATCTTTTTATCCCTCCGTAATTAAGGAAATTTCAGGATATCCTACAATGATTTTGTTTAAACTGTTACGATGTTCTTGTGGTTGTTTCTGAAATTTCTGTGATATAAGTATAATTGCAGAAAAAAATAATCACTAAAAACTTTAAGAAATAGTATCAACTAATGGATTTAGTGCCACTTCGACGAACAAACTCTGCACATCGGTTACGTGCGACGAATAGATGTTTTATAAAAATCCAGTATAATATAAAAAATACTTAGACTGTCACAAACTTGTATACAAAAATGTTTTATAATTGTCAGGTTGAAGTGCTAGAGAGGTTGTTTGAAGAGAACCATTATCCTGATACCTTTCGACAAGAACAGCTTGCCCTTGACCTTGGTATAACACTTGACAGAATTTCTGTAAGTAATTTAGTAGTTAATGTTTGTTTAATAAAGTCCATGAAACTAAACTAAACTAAAGTGATCGATCAGTCAGCCGGCAAACATTTAACGGACCAAAGCCGAAGACTAAGGTCCAGTCACTAAATTCTAAGAGGTTCAACGTACCATTTCGTATATTATACCACACTTTACTAGAACATATGGCAGAAGTTCAATGGTGAAGGGAATAAAAAAAATTTTTTTTTGATAAGAATTTCTAGTAAAATATACTGAAAATTGCTGATAAAAATATTTTTCTCGGTTACACACCGCTAAATTTTAGCGGTCCTGTGCCTGAATAGGCGGTCACTGTACGTTTTAGTCGGAACGATAACGTCATCGTAAATACTATATTATTAAGAGGCCCCGACACGTATACAAAAAATAAAGAAGCATATATAATTTGTAAATTATATTTCGAAAACAAAATGCAGATATTTGTGTCTTTATGTATGAAAATACATACAAAATCATGTATAGGTTATAGTTTACATATTATAATTATATACAAAGAAAGAGGAAGCGTTAGCTTTCAAACTATCGTATCATTTGTTGCTTCTCTTTCAGACACCAGTAACGTTATGATACCACCTTCTCTTATTTGTCCTTTAACGTTACGAATAATTGATCTGTTACTGTTATCAAGGAATTCTATTATATGAACTTAAACCTATACTTATCGGTCAAAATGATTGTGTATAGACTTTCTTTCAAAGTTTTCCCTAGATCACTTGTCTATGTGATTTGTTTTGTTAAAGGGTATATGAAATATTTTTTCAAAGTTTATCAGAAGTAAAATTATATATTGTTTCCATAATTCTATGATCCATTCTTTAAGTTGTAACATAAGATAATTCCGTTAGTTAGCACACATGAATATTGTACGTGCACAGAATAAAATCTTCCAGAACAAAGTAATATTTGTCTTTTTTAAGTATTTTTTTTTCTGTGTAGCAATAATTGCTCGCGTGCGCCATTCATTTTACGACTATTTACTGGCCATTTTTACAGGCACTTTGTAAGTTTTTTGAGCAGATATATAGCTTAATACTCTTTATTTAGATTGCTTACAGTCATTTTATTTCATGCTTTCCAGTGTTTTACTGTAATATATCAGGTGATTATATTCGAATAAACCACTAGTGGAATTTATAAAATATAATTTTCACTGTAGTCGGACAATGTCTGGATGCGGATGAAAATAATATCATTACTAAATGGAATAACAGCAAAATAAATGCCGTCATATGAAATTTTGCTTCTTTCGAAAAGAAAGTCGATATCATCATACATCATGTTAAAATGTAAAAAAATAGAGGAATTTCACAAAACTATATTTCAAAATTGATGATGTGACGTCATGATGTGATGACGTCATATAGAGTTTGCTCGGCGCGTTACGTGGCAAAATCAGTAAAATATACTTAAAATCACTTAAAACATGAAATAAAAAGAAAATTTATTTGTTTTACATATAAGATTGAAATATATTTCATTTGTGAACACCTGCTATTCTATTTTCATTTGTTGCAACGCCAGTCGTAGTGTTCACTTAGTGAAATATATTTCAATCTTACATGCAAAACAAACACATATCTATGAGAAGTACAGATTTGTTCACTTCCCGATACGTTGTAAATATCTACTAGTAAAAATTTGTTCAACTTCACACATCTCAACTTCGCCACATTATAATAGAGTTATATAATCTTTAAATGTATTGGATTGACCTCCACAACAACTTAGTTGACCTCTTAAAAACAACCAAATGAGTTGATTTATCAATCATATTGACATTTATTTGATACATATTAGTCAATGAAAATGAAGAACGAATTGTAATGAATTTAGATATTATCAAAATTACGTATCAGGATAGTGATTTCGACCTATAGATGGTCATCACCATTCAACAACAGTACAACAAACCTTTCTTTTGTATTACAGATTTGGTTCCAGAATAGAAGGTCAAAGTTCAAACGACAGCGTCAAGCAGATCACATGGCCTGGATGCGCAAACAAATCTTCCAGAGTAAGGACGATCATAATAATGGCATTATGTTCGGAACGCCAAAACTTCCGGCATTGTCGTCTGCTTGTCACGTGTTGAGTCCTATAGAGACACGAATTCCAAGGGATGATTCTACAGCAGATTTAAATTCTGTGTAAGTAACATAGAGCAAGTATTGGATTCATTTGTTTCTACAGTTCAACCAATAGAGATGGAAACAAAAAAATCGTCTTGTTTCAAATGAATAATGTTTGCATTAGAAAATTGAATACAGTACAGTTCTCGTATTTCTATTGGTTGGCTGCATTTTTAGATGTTCTTCACTATTGTTTTTGTATATTATTTACACAAAATGAGCTTATCTAAACTACTTTAAAATCATCTACGTTGTACTTCTTACTTTTCAAGCTGTAAACTGATGATATAATTTGCCATTATTTGCATATAAGAAGAATTATAGCCGTTTCTATCACTATGTGCGCAAGCCACCCCAAAGACGTACAAAGCATATAATGTCTTTTTATAGGGAATGTTATTATAGGTATTTATTATATTATTTCAGATCTTCAAGTCCTTGCATGTTGAACAATATTTCAAGACCATTGCCACACGAAAATATCTTTAATTACAATCACGATCAGACGACAACATGCCGTTATGAGACAAACATGACATCTGCTCCAGCGTTCTTCTTAACGCCTACACGAACAGGTCTAGAATATGACTATACGAGTTCACCTAACACTATGTTACAGCACACACATGTACCAGTCTTTGACATGTTTCATTTTGTGTCATCAAATAGTTCACCAGCTTACGTTCCCAGCATGCACGCTGTCGCTCAAAATCACGTTACAAGATCTCGTTTGGACGAGAATGAACTAAACAAATGTGCAGTTAACGAGCAGCAGCCACAGATGTCGTCAGAAGTCCACACAAACTTTAACAGCAAGAAGTGTCCAAGTTTACAAAGAGCTGATAATTCTTTTGGAGAAAATTCGAGATCCATTATAAACGCAAGTGAACGAGATGTGATATGGTTAGATACGGACTCGGGCAGCAGCCCAACCAAGGACACGACTCTTGATTGTTTAGCCCATTGGTGTTAAAAATTTTAAATTGAAAGAAACGAAGATTTTATAAAGAAAATACCAGGACTTGTTCAAACAATACAAATGTGTAACTCAATTAAAATACATGCAAAAGAAACACACATGCGCACAGACGCACAAATATGTAAATATTTTCACCCAAATCATTGTGCCTCATTGCATTCGTAACATGCCTGGAAACAAGATACTTAATCAAATAAGCAGACATTGTAATTAATAATTGTAAATGTGTTATTGTTATTAACATTATTTATTATTATCTATGTGCATGCATTTTCATTTCATTACATATGTAATTGCACAGTTCCCGTATGACAAATTATCACAAAAAGAGCAAGTTTCAGGTACATTTATCAGTAGCAAGTGCTAAGTTATTAATTTTGAACTTTGAAAGTGTATAGCTTATTTAAACTATAGTTGAAAATTGAAGCGAGAATCATTATTTTGCGCTTATGTTGTACATTGTGAAATTAGTTTATACATGTATATAGTATATGTACTTCAAAATGTAGCTATAATAAAATGCAGTGCTTTATCTATTATTTTTCAACACACATTTCTTATCCCCAATTATCCCCAATTAAATGAGCCATTAAGCGTAAAATGCTACCATTTTTTATTTTTTTAAAGTTCCCTGTTACAATTTCGAAAAAGTTACACACTGGACATTTACCTACGAAAGACCGGTAGGGCCATTTCAACTTCATGAATTCACGATTTCAGCTTCGATAATTCACGACTTCAACTTCACGAATTCACTATTTCAACTGCATGAATTCACGATTTCAAGTGCGCTAATTCGCGATTTCAACTTCATGAATTAACGATTTCAACTTCACGAATTCAACTTCGTGAATTCACGATTTCAACTTCACGAATTCACGATTTCAACTTCGTGAATTCTCGATTTCAACTTCATGAATTCATGATTTCAACTTCACGAATTCACGATTTCATCGTCATAAATTCACGATTGAAACTTAGCGAATGCACGATTTCAACTTCATGAATTCACGATTTCAACTTCATGAAGTTGAAATCGTGAATTTGTGAAGTTGAAATCGTGAATTCATGAAGTTGAAATCGCAAATTCGTGAAGTTGAAATCTTGAGTTTGCGAAGTTGAAATCGTGAATTCATGAAGTTGAAATCGTGAATTCGTGAAGTTGAAATCGAGCATTCAGGAAGCTGTAATTGGGAATTCATGAAGTTGAAATGTCCCCACAGGTCTTTCGTATTTACCTGAGTCATCTATTGCTTCTGCTGCATTTTGGCAATTGGTACACTTATAGTTATTTGGAGGTACCACTTTTTACTGTTTGTTAACTTTATCTCATTTTATTTAACATTAAGTGCTATTTACATTAGGTTATAAGAAGGGAAGTACAAAGCACCGCGAGATACGTAATTTCCCTTTATCATCACAAGATTTGTACGTGACAAACAAGGCCCACGTTAATTAATGATACAGGTCCTTCTACTGTAAATATCTTCGATTGGATTAGTGAATTTGTAATACTTTTAAGTTGACAAATGATTCCACATTTGGATACCCACGGCCGAACCATTAATGTACATGTAAATTAACCGTATGTATCCGACGATTTCCATACACACCAACTTACCTGAGTAGTTCAAAAAGCTTCTTACTAAAGGAAATGTTTCATGTTCATATTGAAATTGTGATAAGACGATATTTATGGTGACCCATGTAATCAAAAGATGATTTATATTACGTAAAAATTACGTCATAACTTTGCCGTTAAGATTTAGCACTACGAACCTTTTAATAGTTTTGAAAATAAACATGTACATTAGATTTATTAAGCCTATTTGTTATAATCAGTAAATGATCAGTATACATAAATATCTGATGATACAATAATTGAAAAGCATGAAGATGGAATGTTGATAAATTATTGTTAGATATTTCCTACAGCTGTCTAGATAAAATATTTAGATGATACATTGTTAAATTAGCTAGGGTACAACAAAATTATTCAAATTATTGATACTCAATCGTATAAATAAATATTGTATTATATCTGTTTCTTTTTTTTATTTAACTTTAACATTTTATCACATTTTTGTTGCTTTGTATATACACCAATATAACTATTACGCATGTCTTTATATTGTACACGTGTAAAATAACGACACTGTTGTAAACGGCACATTATGCCTCGGAAACAAATAAATTTTAACTTCTTTAGAAAGGACAAACATGAAATTTATAATGTTTAAATTATGTTTTTAGAGAATGTTAATGCTTGATTTCTGAACAAGCAGCGAAACAATTTGTCATAAAAGTAGCAAAATTCCAACAAAGTAGTACTTTGACTGATAAAAGCACTCAAAGTGTTTTCAGTGGTAAAAAAACGACAATTTTATGCAAATATATTTTCAAATAAACAAGTATAGTCTAAGCTTAAAGTTCGTCCTGTCATTTTTCTGACTGTAAATAAAGTCCTATTATGCCTCAGAAATGCTTTAATTTTTTCATTAAAAGCTTTTTCATTTTGATGTCCTTTTGTAGTATCCAAAAAGTAAGTCATTGGCCATTTACCAGAACGATCTTTTTCATCTGTTGCTTTTTAGCAATAAGTACAGTTAAAGTGAGTACATCAAAATACTACTTTGTTTACTATTTGCTACTTTTATGACAAATTATTTCCAAATATCGCCACATTCTTCAGGAAATAAGCATAAACATGCTCTAAAACCATTATTTAAAAATTATGAAACTCATGTTTGCCCTTTCTAAAGAAATAAAAAAAAAATGTTTCTGAGGCATAATGTGCCTTTCAAAGAATTGAAAAATCGAAGCGTGATTTATGTTGGTTCTAATCAACAAGCATCCTTGTGCATGTACATATTGAGCAAACATTGTGTTTCAAATCAAAGAAAATAAGCTAACTTCATTCCACATGTGGGTCACAATAAGCGATTTAAATTTGGCATTCAAATGTTTAATAAAAACTCCAATCTTTTGTCTCAGAGGTAAAGTTTGCAAACTATTATTATTCAATAGTAAGTGACAATGTAATATTGTCAAAGCCATTTTACATTTTATTTTTGAATTTTGAAAAAAAAAAGGATTTTTACCAAAGAAATGTTTTGGTGTAATTTGGAACGAACGTATTAAGTAGATCTATTTAAATGTAAGAAAGTATTGAAAACAGAACATGTATGAATTCCCACAAGCATAATGTTTTAGTTATGTTTTTCAAATAAAGTAAATAAAAAGATAAATATATATAAATATTCATGTCTTATAATTGAAGTCGAGTGGCGATCCTGAAAATATATTCCTCATCATTTCTATATACTATATCTCATTTATGTCAACCTTAACCAGAACGCTGTAAAGATCTTGTTAAAAGATATGCAAGTTAATATGATATAATACCTTAAGTGTAATTGTCTATCTTGTCCTCTGCAGATCGAGCATGCGCTAGAAAATTCTTCACCCTGTTGATTTTGCATAGCATTTGGTTGCGTCGTAAAAAGGTTTATAACTAAATGCAAATACAATGTAATAAAGAATCGTTCAGTATATGAAAAGAAAGACATTTTGGTATTTAGTTTTGTTTTGTTTCAACTTTCAAATGTATCGTAATGCGCAAAAATAAATTATTATAAGTTATTCTCGTTCAAATCTTTCTCTTCCTTCAAAATATGGTTATTAAGTAAATGGATACATAAAAATGAATACATTTTGTACTTACATTGTATCATTGTTTATGTTACATATTTATCATTAAAATGCTTTAAACAATGATTTAAACAAAAACGCCAGTAAACATTTTTTAATCTGATTGGAGTTTTAATTAGAACTACGTCATTGTCCATATTGAGACAGAGTTTTAAAAACGTGGCCAAAATGTCGTCAGTAAATTCAGCGAGCGTTCATTTCACCAAAGATTGCATGATTTTACTTTTTTATATATCATGTATTTTGAAAAAAAAAATGAACGAAGGAATTAATTTACAAAATGAAATATTACAGACAACAATGGATCATTATTTCCACACATAATATCTTCCTTTCAATTAGCAGACGGCAATACAGAATCAATGAAACACCGGATGCTCGCGTGTTTGATTTCATATCGCTTATTAATAATACCAATTAATAACGGTTCTATGATATGTATTTTACATGTACAAGTACAGTGATTATTTTTCATCAAACAATAATGTATCACGGTTGCAAAAGTAATGGACATATAGTAAAGAACGTATTACGACAGTACTGAAAACTTGGTTTATGCTGATACTAACGATGCATCGACGTTTTGTTCAGTTAATGTAAACAAATTGTCTTTTCTAACAGCTTAATTAAGGAAATTGCATAATTTAGAAGGGCATCAATTCATTAAACATATTAAGATAAGCTAATAAAACATGACGACACAATTATAGCAGCTTAGTATTATCTACAGTTTCACGTTACAGAATGAGCAGTCAAGCTAGGGTAAAGTTTAGTCCTAGAAGTGCCCAGTTATCGTACAAGTATCTGGATTGTGGAAGCCGAAGAGAATATGAACAATGTCAGGATATAAACCTACAATCTCTACATATATCTAGTATGATGTTTCACCTAACGTAACAGAGGCACGATCGTGAACTTCGTTTCAATATGGTGGCTGAAAATAATCTCTTATATCTACTTGAAATGCCTGTCAAAGTATGTACGTACAACAGCAACATTCAATAACTATTCTTTGTTTCGGTATTTTATTGTTCTTAATAAGTTATACACTAAGTTGCGTACATATACGCATACATGCATGTCTTATGTATTGTAGATTTACCATTTGTCAGTTCTTGTATTATAATGTAAACTGTTACTTTGCTCATTGTAATGTATGCTGCCTCAAAACTTGTCGAAAGCATATAGTTTCTGATATTAGAATATGTAGACAACATTGACAGGCAAAATAAAGTTCTTAACAGTCTTTATACTTTAAACATCACACTTCTGTAAATGAAATCATGTATATGAAACATCTTTCTCTCTCATCATTCGTTATTTCGAATCTGCTTCTGTTTCGTTTGACTAGTCACTTTTATGTTAAATTAGATAAATTGTTCTTTATGAGCAAAATGTTAATTTGTGCTATCCCTTGTCACAAATAATAAGTCCGACACATAATGGGGATAAAGAGAAATTAATACAGAAACAAAAATAATTCGTCAAAGTAAGAAGCTGTTTGTATTTCTGAAGTAAAATAATGAACGCCAGATGTTGTGTGCTTGTTATTGAGTGAATTACTGTAACATTGTATTGAATGATTTACGGTGTTGAGAACTAACAAAGCTGTTACAGGATGCATTTTAGAAAACTTTCACATTCTGAACTCCTACAGATTTGAATAAAACATGTGTTACTTGTGAGAAACAAATAAAATGCCCTGGATAAATAGTTTTATCGATTATCTACATGTAATTGTTCATAGAAAACCTGCAAAGTATTTTTAAAACTCAACATTCGAACCAATATTTGAATAAGGTTTTGTTTCCCTTCAAACAGTCCATAAACCTCTCCAAGTAAAGGTTTGAAGAACAATTATCAATAGTTAAGCTTGTTCATAACAGTTTTATTATATTTAAGAAAACGTTATAAATAACATAAACGCCATAAAGGAACCTATCATATCGAGAATGTGTTGTAAAATTAAGTGATTTATTTGAGTAGGACAGTTATCATATTTCTAGTTTCTTCACAAACAATAAATATCTAGAGCCGGTTGGTAAACGTAAACTAGGCAAATAATTTTATTGGCCTAAGTTATTATATGGGGCGAGTCAATATCATTGATATTGTCGATTAAATGAACTTGTTTAACAATTTCTCTGTCAACAGATCTGAATCGGATGTGAAGCAAAACCATTCATTTGCTGAAAACGTGTGTTTAACTTAAAAGAAAACCATTTTCTGTTTGTTTTAATGACATTTGGTCAATTATTGAGAGCTTGAAGTACACAAAATGCCATCAAAGTTTGTGCTTTTATATAATCAAGGAAAATAAATTGGAAATTTATTTGCTCATAAAGTAAGTTTGAATATTTTTTCTCTTCTTTTACGAAATGTTTTATACATATAAAGGGATTATTGATACAATGTTTGATACAGTAACACATAAGTAAATTGTCTACATGTTAATTATATATACTTGCAAATAGGTTAACTCATATCTTGATTGTCTAAACCATTAACTAGCTTGAAACTATCAGATTGCCCTAGAGTAGGCCTTAATTTACAAACTCGCTCATTTTTCCAGTCGTAGAAAACACTACGTCTTACACGTCTAATATAATGTTTATGTCATCGTAATACATAAAGAGCGGGCAAAAGAGCAATGAAAAAAGAAGACCAGGTGTGCAAAACGTTTTTTTTTTTAAGTCAAAACATTGTTTTATGAAATTCATAACAGTACTGAAATAAATCTTTTGATAAAAAGGATTTAATAATTGAAAATTAAATATGTTAAAAGAGACATACTCGTTATGTTTATTAAAAGGAAGTGTTTAGAGAGTCCAAACTAGTACAAGGATAGGCATTAATATTTTAGTTAAAACATATAAGAAAGTCTTTGATTGCAAATTTAAATGTTAAAAATTCTATTTTCAGCTAAGATAGTTAAAGTTGATAAGATATGATACAGAAATGTGTATCCGTTCTTCAGCTTCGGGTTCGAACGTATTGGAGAACAATGTGTGTTTTAGTGATATTTACTCTGACCGTGTTTATAGGTAAGTCTACCTTACGTTACCCGACATTTGAATCACTCTATTGTTTACAAACATTTATCTGCAATATCTATATTTGCTAAACTGCCAACGGCCGCGCATATGAGCGAGGAGTGTAAGTCAAAAGCAATAATTATTTCTTCATAATAAATTGGGATAGGTGATTAACCAAAGGCCACTGGGTTTTTATAATCACCATGTTACCATAATACCAAGTGTCAGCTTTAATCGACCAATACAGAAATAAAAGTAGGACAATAAAAGGATATGTACATTTTGTCGAGATGGTATTGCAACTGAATTGCATGTAATAATTGAATGTTCTATATAAGACACAATAAGGAAACCATTGTTATAATTTTCCCATTTTATCTTTGAATTGTTTACTCGTATAATAACAAAACATTAAAAGTTTATGTGCCTATTTGGCCACCAAGACAGTCATATGACAAGGTAACTAGCAAAAACCTGCTGTGATATTGTTTTATAGAAATAACATGTTACATATTAATTTAAGATTTACTATGCTCATCTTTATGTGAAATACTTTTATTGCAAAAATTCATTGAAACATAGGAAAATCTTGCTGAATTGATTTTTTATATGAAAAAATAATGCATAAATAATATTAGGGAGGCTACATTACGTATTGTTGGTCAAGTTAATGTGGTGCCTTTTTCAATTATCAAATTTGATCACAATATATCTTAAAGAAGCACGTATCCAGAGTCATGAAAATGTACACATGTATCTAATTTTACAATAGGACAAGACGTTTCTCGTGAGAACGATTTAGAACGATTTTCTTGTCTCTTATAATTCTACATAGATTGACAATTTTATGATATTGTTTATATATACTATGGGTGAACATAAATGCAACATTAATTAACATAGTAAAGAAATGAACGTAACACGCACCTTTAATTGCTGATTGCAGTCACATAAATAGAACCAAGTTGCTAGAACGATTTTCAGGCCAAAATGATATGATATTGCATGAGGTTTTAATTTTCGGTCCGAAAAAGAATTTTGTTTCGACAGCAAATGTAGTTTTAGTCACAAAGATGTCTTACAGGTTATACGACTCAGTATCTTGATTATTAACCCGAGTCTCTAAACGAGGATTATATTGTAAAATATTGTTTATACACACCATATAACATACCAGACATCTCTTTAACTTATTTATAGTCATCAGTTAGAACATGATATACAAAATCCTGTGAGGTAGCCAGTAGGATTTCTATTACTGTATGTTTGAGAAAAAATATCTAGACTTATAACATATCTTAACATTGTCTTTGTAAACAAATGTATATTCTTTTACCTGATTAAGTATCATATTGTATTTTGTGTTATCATGATCAGGTGACATGATAATTGTTTATTTGCATGGCGATGTACCATGTCTATTCTGTTCTATAATCCAGGAGAATAACTTTACTCGATTATAACCTCAAAAGCGACTTTATAAACATGCGGTGTAACACCGCACTTCGGGGTCCAACGCGATACGCGTCATAAAAATGAATTTTAATGATATTTTTACGTTATACGAGGGTTGTCAAAAAAATTCGTGCACTGCAGCTATTGTCGTGAGAGTTATTAATACAAAAACATGAATTATATATCACTTGAAGGGGAAATCTATCTCAAATAAGAAAACAAAAGAAAAGGCCGTGTAACTGGCTCGTCGTGAAAACGAATCGTCATACAGTTACCTTGGTAACGTAATACCGGCGCACGACAAAACATTGGGTTAGTTCATTACTTTGATGCATCACAGTATCCTTTAAACACTACGTATAAACGTCAAAATTCAGGGTAAAATGTGTGTACGTATCTCTGACGTCACTAGAAAATATGACGTTATTTGCTCTATTGTAACGGTCGTAAACAAACATGAATGTGTGGTCGTCAATACTGTCATTATGTGAAAATTTCAGTCGGTAAACGTTTGGAAATACGGACGATCATCAAATTTTGCGCATCTTTTGGTAAAACACAGACAGATACCTACAAAGAACTTAAAAGGGCTAGCAGACCAGTTCAGTGTCACGAAGGCTCGTTTTTTAAATGGCACAAACGCTTTGTAGATGGGCGAGAGTCGGTAGACGATGACAACCGGTCAGGCAGCCGTCCGTCCGTAATGACGACGCATGTGACGAGGGTTGTCCAATATATTTGTGCACTGGTGGAATATGTTACATGTACATAGTGTAGCGTGTACCGAGCTGTTGATTAATTATTCAAGTGCTACAAAATAAAATGATTTTAAACCACAAGATTCTCAAATGCAAATATATAATTTTTCTTGGGATACTTATCCGAAATGATTTGAAATATTTTATATAAATTTTCCTTCTGGTTTCTTTACCTTTTGATTATATATTAACTTAATAAAACTCTAGAAATTATAAAATGCAAAAATAACAATCTTCAACTAATACTTAAATAATCCAAAATATATATTTCAAGAAGCAATTAAACTCTATTTACTCTTACTTTCAAACTAAAATTTACATTCCTAAACCTATCTCTTATTTCTAACTTTCATATTTCAAATCAACAAACTCTAATCATAAAACGTTCAAAAACCGATTCTTCAAATAATGTCTTCAAATAAACTCTTCTCTGTCAAACACTTGTCCAAGAGGTTTTACTTAGGCAATAAGGTATTTTTAGCACCAGTATCTAAGATGCCTGGCTACTAGTAAATACAATATTACCTATATCCAACTCTTGCAAGGACAACAGGCAGACTAACTACTTAAATCATAAAATATTTTCTGAAGAAGTAAAGATATTTTTAGCACCAGTATCTAAGATGCCTGGCTACTAGTAAATATAATTACAACTTCGATCTTAACGGTCCGAAGCCAAAAACAAATCTAACCAAAAATATATTTCTTAAAATAATTTATGCCCAAGGAATTTTACAGAAATCATAAAACGTCCTTAGTACCAGAAATCTGAGATTTTTGCGTACCAGTTAGTATTTATGAATTCGTTTCCACTCTCCAACGGACAGGACCAGACTGATTTTTTTTTAAATGCGTTTATTTAAGGTCGCCGCCGGAAAGCCCATATGGGCGACCGTACACACAAGTCGGGCCATCCCGCCGAGATTTTTTCGTCGATTTTTTCCAGCTTTTATTGGTGGAGGAAGACCCCAGGAAGACCCCAGGTGCCCCTCTGGGCATTATTTCAGGCACGAGCGGGCACCTGGGTAGAACCACCGACCTTCCGTAAGCCAGCTGGATGGCTTCCTCACATGAAAGATTTCGACCCGAGTGAGGATCGAACCTACAGTGGTGAGGGACCAGTGATCTCAAGTCAGCGACCTTAACCACTAGGCCACGGAGGCCCCTAATGAATTTTTTACAATGAACTCGCTCTATTTATATGCTTGTGAAGCATCATCTCCGCAGTGAAGAAAAACAATCATTTTGATTGGCTAAAATAATAAAACGTTTCTTGAAACTGATTTTAATTAAACCTTATAAGCGTCTGTCATTTGAAGTAAATTTCCATACAAATTACTGTAAGTAAACTAGCAATTCAAAATATAAACACTTTGGATGATTCTCCTAACGTATATCTTTTTGACTATAAAAACAACTAAAATACCTACTCTTTCATGTCAAATTTAATACATAACTTTTTTTATTTTTTAATACAAATGGCGAGCTTATAAAAAGGGGAGGCAATCAAATTTACTACAAAGTACATTTCCGTCACAATAGGAACAATAAAAACTACAAAATACTTTGCATCACTTATTCCTCTATTGACGGTTAAAAAAATGACATAAAAAGCAAATGCCACTTTACAAGCAACAAAGAATTAATACAATAACAGTAATGAACCAACCCAATGTTTTGTCGTGCGCCGGTATTACGTTACTAAGGTAACTGTATGACGATTCGTCTTCGTGACACGCCAGTTACACATATTTTTCTTTTGTTTTCTTATTTGAGACAGATTTTTGCTTCAAGTGATATATAGTTAAAGTATTTTTATCAATAAATCTCACGACAATAACTGCAGTGAACGATTTTTTTGGACAACCCTCGTATAATGTAAAAATAAGTAATGAAGTAGGTAAAATATATAAGGTCGGATACATATAACAATAGCAGACGATATTAATTTCATATTGTTTTATCTAAGGATTGCATTTTGCTATTTATTATATTTAGTTATATGTATCACAGAAAAGAGGCATTAAAGTGAGATATGTAAACATATTTTGTGTGTATAGAGTGTAATATTACGTTCGATAACAAATTATTTAAACTGAAATAGTGCTATTTTGTATTGACAAGTTGAGCTAATTAAAAAGATTGCCCATTTAAATGGTGATCGACCAACAGTTGGTTTCGGAAAATGTTTAGGATAAAATATAAAACTGCCTAGAATATAAAAAAGACTACCCCACTTTTTTATAATTTGAACATTCCTGTGATATTTCAATGGATATTTACATACATTTCCTTTGGTCGCGTGATTTATTTATTGATAATCCGAAGAAAATGATGAAATTGAAAGGAATTGTGTTGCAAATTATAAACTGATTTTGACGTTCACATGTTCAGTCACCATTTCACCTGGGCTGTTAAACTTTGCTGGTGCGCTGATAATTGTAGTGGTTGTGTGACATTTTTTTTCAGTCACATTAAAATCCAGATCCTTATATCGCAGGATCTGGTGAAAATCTGAGTTTTACATATTTCTATATTTTTCATTTAGTAAATATTTAGATAAAAAGAGCATCGAAACACGAGACTGATTTGGGTACGAAGGGGTGAGGGGTGATAGTAAATCAGATTGCCAAGTAGTTTGATGTTCCTTTCTCTTTTTGGTATCATAGGCAAAAAATGAAAAGTAATTTCCCCTGTCGTCCGTGATATGAAACCCCCATAAAAAATAACCACTGTGCATGGGCATCTGATTATGATTTTTAATCATCATCCATTTCCCCCTGTCAACATAATTTAAAATTAAACCAGTTAAAACGGGCATGCTTTTATTCTTATACCGACATGTAAGTAAGAAGATATTAAATTATTAAATATTATCAAATAGCCGCTCAAGTATGGTCTCGTGCTGTACATTTTCGTCTACATTATATTCCACTCGTGTCATTTCGGTTTTAGTATGAAGATGGCGTACAATTGGCAACAATAAAATAAAAGTATTTGCGACACCTAAATGTGTATTTAAGAATACTTTAAATCTCACTAATAGCTGCAGTTACTTTCTTAAAATAACATGATTGATATCTGAAACCATAAAGATTTCAGAACCACAGATTTTTTCCGAGATGGCAACAAAAATACGTGTTTTAACGGCATTTACTGATGGAGTGATCATGGTCATTCCGTGCAGATGTAAACTGTTTTACAAACAGTATTTTGTTTCCAAAATTTAATCAATTTTACAAGCAATAATTTGTTTCTAAAATTTCATTAATTTCGACTTTGTTGTGATAAATGCTTCCGAGGGATCACCCTTTTTCCAGATTTTTGTATTTTTCAGTACAACAGAGGTCAAAAGCCGTGTGGCAGCCGTAAAAAGTTGCCTCGAAATTCACTTCAGTGTTGTGATATTTTACTGTTCCTTCAAGATCATTGATTCCAAAATTCAAGTGTTGATAATTGAAAACTGCTCAATCCGGTGCTGGGGGCGTGAGGGATGTTGCACTCTTTCATTATCTCTCATGTGCAGACTCAATCAAACCGAGTATGCAGTTTTTATGTAATTTTGCTGTGATCATAATTTCCGATGCATCGCATTTAATTTCCTCATGCGATGCCATGTGGTCCAAATATTTAGAAATATCGTAAATTGTGAAATAAAATTAAAATAAATTAACAGCAGTACCCCTCACGCACCTTTTCTCTGATAAATGTTACTTCTAACTAACTTTTTACAAGTCATTAAAAAAGAAATATAGAATTGTTTGAAAATAAGATGTAATGAGATAATATTTAATGCATTTATTACATTGTCATCAATGTTTAATTTGTTGTCCAATATGACACCAAAACTTATCAAGTAAATTGCAAATGACTGACAGAACAGAATGCTATTGACAACATTTTTTTTAGAAATACATGTACATGTACATTTACAATTGAAGAAGTTTGTTATAAATTCACAATTTTGTAATATTTAAAGTGGTAAAATTCTTAAAGCATATACTAGTAAGCAATATCTTTTTAATTACTGCTACATATGAATTTTAATGACACGGAGTACAATTATTTAATTGCACAGTGATCTAAGTATCTAAATATCGATCGCCATCTTGAACACAAACATTTTAAAATATCAAAACCACGTCTGAATACCGAATAGCGCATATGCTATGAATAAACAAAAACTATCAACGCCTGAATCTCAGGCTAGTTGGACCCCAGAGTGCGGTGCCATAGGGCAGTACTATAATTATACTGATAATGTCCTCTAATATCTAATACACACTGCCACTGCCAGAAGTGAATTTTTCTATAATTTACATATTTGAAAACAAAAAATATATACCTGGAAATGAGTGGGTGAGTGGTTTTAGAGAGAGTGCTTGAACATATGAGTGGATGAGCACGTGGATATGTGAATTTGTGAGGAAGTGAGTGAGTTGTGGAGTGAATATGTGAATTTGTGAGGAAGTGAGTGACTTGTTGAGTGAATATGTAAATTTGTGAGGAAGTGAGTGAGTTGTTGAGTGAATATGTAAATTTGTGAGGAAGTGAGTGAGTTGTTGAGTGAATATGTGAATTTGTGAGGAAGTGAGTGAGTTGTTGAGTGAATATGTGAATTTGTGAGGAAGTGAGTGAGTTGTTGAGTGAATATGTGAATATGTGAGGAAGTGAATGAGTTGTTGAGTGAATATGTGAATATGTGAGGAAGTGAATGAGTTGTTGAGTGAATATGTGAATTTGTGAGGAAGTGAGTGAGATTTTGATCCAAGTAGCATGTTTATGGTTACCAAAATGTAAATGTATATCAAACATCTAGCCGAATAAATGATAAATGTCCATGCCACCTATATTACATGCAACATAATAATGGGTGGAAGCTTTGATGGAGTCGGTCCGTATGTTCCTTGCCCAGAAGGAATATGTAAATGGTTTATGTTACTTGGTACGAACATTCCCCATGACCAGTAGATAGCCCTTCTTGTTTGTTTTTTAAGTTTAAGTAGATCACTTAAAGTTGACCTCTAAAAGTCCGACCTATAACTAGGGGATGTTTTCGCCTACATTTCCAAGATTTGATGTGGAGGTCGGTCATGACTACGAGATGATGTTACAAAAACATATTCATAGGCCATTATATATCCTCATTTTGGTGCAAAGGGTGAGCAATTTAATACATTATCAATATTATAACAATTGAGCAGGCTTAATTCGTAAACAGAAACTTCTTAACGTGAAGATCACACAACGTTGCACTAATACCGATGGATCAACAGCTTGTTTTTCCCAATCAACAATAATATTGATTTATCGTTTGTATATTTTCCCGAGCGACAGTAATATCAATTTCCTTATTTTTCCGGATCGACACTGCAAGTGATTGTTTTTCTCGACCGACATTTGGATCATTTGCTTGTTTTTCTCGATCGACATTTCGATCATTTGCTTGTTTTTCTCGATCGACATTTGGATCATTTGCTTGTTTTTCTCGATCGACATTTGGATCATTTGCTTTTTTTCCTGACCGCCACTAATTTGCACAGATCATGTATTGTTTTTCCCGAACAAAACTGATAAAGAAGGAGCATAATTATGCTTTTTATCAACACCTTTTTGTTTACTTACATTTCTATGAAAGATTGTTTTACCGTAGTATACCAGGACACTCTGACTTCAAAAAATGCACATAAAGAAATATTAACATGTCTGCTATAAGGAAGGATTATCGTGACTTGTAAATCTCTGCTCAAGATAATTTACATATTTTCACTATAAGGGAAACATAATCTATATATTTTCCAAATATTATTCTATCTTTGCAGTTTGGACAATATCATATGATGTGTTGACAGTAGCTGGTGACGTCAAATATCCGGTCCAAACTGGTGCTCGCAATATTGCAAAATCAATGCGCTCAAGTTTGTTAAATATCTTAAATATATCCGACACTGGCAGAGCAGGCTCTTTGGCAGGTGAGTAAGTTGTACTTTTCACGACAGAAGCTTCTCAAATAAAGGATAATTTGCAGTACGTTATAAATACTTGAAACTTTTAGTTCATACAAATGACTCGTATTCCTCTTTAAACTTGCTAACTGCAAAATATGTCTGTACTATCCTTCGTTTTTTTGAACGGATCAGTCATCAATTAAAAACCCGTGTATTATTGATGAACTTCTTGATCTAATTGACTGTATGTGGTAATCATTAATACCGTACTTAATTAATATGGAATAGAAAAAAAAATCATCAATGAATGCCCTAAAAATGTTGCAGACTCGGTTTGATTGAGACTACTCATTTCATGGGCAGTACTAAAAAGTGCAAGCTACCGTCCACCCAACCAAGTCCCACACGAAACTGGCCTAAGCAGAATTCATGAATAAACATGAAATGTTAAAAATTTTCAATTCACTAAAAAGGAAGTAAAAAAGAAAAAAGATAATTTAAGTGTAAAGAAATAATGATTGGTTATATCGTGAACTCAATTATTATTGGGGATAAAATATTTATATTTATGTCTTTCTTAATATAGAAACCAATTTCACTGGTGTTGTTTTATTGACGTATATGAGAAGTGGATCATCCCTCACAGGAGAGATTCTACAACAAAATGAGCACGTGTTTTACGTGTTTGAACCTCTACGAGTTCTGTCACATCTGGTTAAAACCAATCAACCTGTGCTATGGTTTAACGGGACAAGAAGGTTTGTCATCAAATAAACGACAATGTTTCATTTTTATATACTAGTACATAGCTAAGTATAGAAAATAGGCATGATCGAAATAGTGATATTTATGAAACTTGCGGAATGGTGCATTTTTCCAAAGTCCAAAGGTGCCAAGTGCACTAAATATATAAAGTTACCGCCTCCAATTATTATGTTAGTATTAAAAGTTCGTTACAACTGTTTTTAAAGGGACTCCAGTAAGGTTTTTGATATAAAAGTTTGGAAATATTTTTTCAAGATTTTTTTTAACTGGATGTAGGTCTGGATCAATAATTCGTGTTCACAGTTTCAGATTGTTTGCTCACTCCGTTTTACTGGGCTTTCATTTTTTATGGTGCAAATTATCCCCAGATGAAAACTGTTGCAACGCTTTTCACCAAAATCAGCCAAAAGAAATCATCGCATTAAAAATCGATTATCAATTAAATATGGAGTATTGTTGTATATTATCTATTGCTTGGTTTTCCATTTTCAGTGCACCAGTTGATTTTGAATGATTTAAAAATGTAATCAGTTTAGGCTAGTGAACCTCAGTGCAGTCTCTTTAAACATTTACAAAATTGATTCTGTTGGATATATAGCGATAATTATGAAAATGGTAAAGTGCAGAAAATAAGAAATCAGCATAGCTGTGTAGGTACATACCTTTTCTAATACGTGTTATTTACCACAAGTCCCTTCAGGCTAACATATTTATTTAAATTTTGAGCGAACGCATGACCATTTCATATTGTTCATTATTTCAAAATAGAATCCCTTATCAACGCCTAGAAATGGTAAAGAAAAAAATGAAAATATTGTAGTCTTGGTTTGTCTTGGTTTGATTTTGCGTGTTGGTAATCCGTGTTCAAAATCTCATTTAAATAACAGATAAAAATCTCTTGCTCTACTGAAGAAACATAATCAGGTATCTTAAGTAGGGCCATCAGGTGTTGTCTCTAAAAGCTATGACAATAAAAGCGTCCTGATGGATAAGTGATTCGTTGAAAATAAAGAAATGGTTTATTTTTAAGTGCATTTTAAACCTAAAACCGTGCAAATACTTATTTGTTTCAGTCCTGTGACAGCGTTGAACATAACAAGTGTGAAAAAGCAGACGTTAATTGGATGGTTGACCTGTAATTTCTCCTTGGTTCCATCGCAATCGTTTGACGACTGGTATTTTCTCTCTTTCGGAAAGAAAACAGATGTCTATAACAATTGTATTTTTAAACACTTTGGTATAAGATACAATAATCATTATCCGAATTCTTCACAGACAAGTTCAATCTTACATATTCGGTTGTCAGCAATTCGTAGAGGGGAACGTGAAAAGTGTTTGCAGAAACTACAAAACACGTGTTTATCTTCTAAATTTAGAATAGTTAAAACAATACGGACGTCTATGAGTTTAGCAGACGAAATCTTAAAAGATGTGTATGGAAGTAAAATAATACATTTAATAAGGGACCCTCGGTCTACAGTTTTGTCACAGGCGCATTATAGTGGTTGTCCAGGCGGGAAAAGATCCGTGGTAGCGTGTTCAAATTTTCACTGTAAAAGAGTGGATGATGATACAGAATTTAAACAGAAGTTACTGACAGAAAAACCGGCACGAGTTATATACCACGCTATACGAGCAAATATCCTTGAATCCAATTTCGTTTGCTAAATCTTTATACAATTTTATTGGAATGGAGTTGTCAGAAGTGATCAGTAACAGTGTTTTAATGATCACCACAGGTCATAATATAACAGGATGTAAAGTTTGTGAACAGTCTTGGCAATCAAGAAATAAATCTTATCTTATTGCCAAACAAGACAATTATGAGACAATGAACAGTCATTTGTTATCATACGTACAAAGTGTGTGTAAAAATACAATAAAATATTACGGATATGAAATCTACAATGTTAGTCATCGAGAATTTCTTAGTTATAATATAATAAATGTATCAAATGACAAGCCTATACATGTATAACATAACCGGTTTGTTTGTTTTTTACTGAGCACCATCTTTAAGCAGTATTTTAGGTAGCGTGTAAGTAGCCATGCTACCGAACGAACATCCATTTGATGTCCAGTCGTTATTATGTAATTTGGATTCATCACGAATTAAGATGGGACTGAGCGATAATTTACTTTATCCCAATGGCCCACTCCTATGTTATTATTTTACCAGCACAAAGAAAACGTGGTTTTGTTAAGTCAGCCAAAAACTTGATATGTAAATGAGCATCATGTTATACAACCATTATTCACCCATTGATAATTTTTCGTCAAAACAAGTGAATCAGATACAATAGTTTGTCATGACGAGTATGGTGAAGGTTTCCGGAGACAATTATGATGATGAAATAAGATTTTAAAACTTGGTCGAGAATTATTGGGATGGTGTATTATATGACCACCTTTTCACAAAAAAGAAAATAATACAATACTAAAACTGATGATAACGACACCTTCGATAATGATGATGATAATCCATGGTGATAACATTTCTAGGATGATCATTATAATGACTATGACTATAACAACAACTTCTCATATGTTAACATCTAATGTGGTGGTTGGCGGTAAGTATATATAAATCACCATAATTTTAGAGGTTGCATTCAGATCCTTATATGACAGGATCTGGTAACGACTAATTTAAATCTGGGTTTCCCCTAGTCCTAGTTATTTTAAAGGGAGGTAATATAGTTCTTTCTATGTTGCGCATTGGATGTTGCAGAAAAGACCTACATGGAAAATAAGTTAGGGGTGACATTCTTCCACAACTGGGAAAAATCAAACGTCCAAGATGGGTTCCAAGATGTATGTCAAACTTAATTGTAGAATTCATCATGATGAAGATAAAAAGTACATATTTAGATGAAATCGGCGCCCATTTATGAAGGAGCTATTTTTAAACAGGAAAACGGTAAATTTAAGAAAATTCGAAAATATTCTCTGTTTCTGATTTGGCAGCGGTTTTGGTGGTTAATAAAACGGATATATTTGTAAAACATAATAATAATCACAAAATAACCTGCAATATTTCTTTATTCAAACACATAAATTGTCTCCTTGTGTAAATTATACTTTACATCTTATTTAACTCCTATCAATTCATTTTCTAGTATCAAGGTGGCGTCAAAAATGGCCAAAATTAATTGAAAAATAATCACTGCGGACATGTTAAAGTATATTTAAGAAAAGTTTAAATATACTTATACTATATCTACTCAAATTTACTTATACTATATCTACTCATGAAGCAACATGAGTGGTACCTTACAAATATTTCTTAATATCATCAAGATTTCAAAACGGCAGCTTTTTACTAGATGGCAACTTAACTACATTAACTTCAATGCATGGTCCTGGTGATGGTGTAAATATGAATTGTTTTACAAACCTTTTATTTCTATTATACGTTTTTATTAGCTGCAAATATATGTTTTGGAATATCGAAAATTGAGATATAGACTTAAAATGAAGCCCATCTGTAGCCGTCCCGCAACTTTATCCAATTTACCTGTCACAAGTCATTAAACAAAAATTGAATTGTTTGAAAATAAAATTCAATGACATGATATTAATTTCATTTCATCCCGTATGATCCCGATCATGTCTTAAATGGCACCTAAACTTATCAATTTTTATCAGAATTTTAAATGGCACTAAGTTCTATTGTGTAGCTGAGACGTTGCCTTTGAGGAATTGCAGCCACCGTTTATCCCTTAGAGGTCGTCAGAGGCCACGAAAGGGGTTCGAATGACTGGAATCTATGCATGTCTTACCTCAAGCAATGTTGTCTTAATTCTGTAACACTCGACATAAGCCAAAATCATCTTTCCTGTTGTTGTGTCATATGACATGAATAGTTTGGTGCGCCGTAAAACCAAACTTAACAAACAAACATATACAGTAAGATTGCACAGTGATATACTTTTTATGTATTTAAGTATCGATGTCATTCTTATAGAATGTTTAACATGATTTGTAAGCTAGATTCCAAATTACTATCATGACAATATCAACAGAATGCATCAGAATGAAGACTTTTTCTTTGCATACCTTCACACCTAGATCAAGAGCTTTAATTTCAGCCATTAGATAATTTGAAAACACATAAAACATCAACGGTGATAAATTGCATCACTGTTTTGGTCCCATTGTGCAATCGAACCAGTATGTTGCGTATTGGCGAATATATACTTGCGAAAATATGTTCATGTTCATGTAAATGATTTCTTGGTCCTCTCCTGTAATTCCTCATATATCTTTCATATGAACAAGAGTATATATATTTTAAGATGAGTCTTAAGTTATCTTACGTGATATCCTCACATAGTTTCAAATGGTGATTGAATTATTAGGAATATGAATGAAAAACTATTATTATACGAATGTATGTCCTGAAGACTTTAAAATTTATTTCCATTCTTTAGACATACGTATATATTGATAAGGAGGGTTAAATTAAGCATCTGTACTATTTACCAGTGCCATTCACAGTGACACTGCACTGTAATCTTTTTTAATCGGGATGATAACGTTTTATCTGAAATTCGTGCTTAATAGGCGGTGCTTAATTTACCAAGTGCGTTAATTAATTAACAAGTATTTCTCTTTATTATTGTCCATTTTTTATCCTATATTGTAACTTCATAATTTTTTTAAGAACATTAATATATTTCATGAACGAATATTTAATTTATTTTCTTAATATTGTCTATAATATTTTCATGTACGAAATCTGCTGTGGTCATAATATTATTTTTATAATAGGTTAAGCTTAAATTTGGTTTGCAAATTACGGTCATGCAACTACATAGTTAGGTTAAGAAGCAGACACTGGTTTTCGTTGAGTCTATTATGATTTGTTAAATATACAAATTTACAATTTATATGCATACAGTATATTATTTTGCAATGGTTTTTATTATTTTAAATGTTTCTGGAATTGTGTTTTTTATCAAATTATTTGTAAATAAAATTAAAATGAAAGTCACATCTTCATGTATATTGATTACGTGATGGTTTTAGCAAAATTGAATAGAAAATAAACATCGACTAAGTCGGGTAAAGAAAGTTTGCAAATTGTAAATCGATAACCTTCATGTAGTAAACAAACTTTGAATTGCAAGTATTAATTTCATATTAAATTTTCGGCAGAAGTAACTGTTCAAGGAGGGCCAGGCATTATCATATCGCAAGATGCTTGCCGTTACAGTATCACGTGAACATTCCAAACACCACGACTGAGCGCGGGATTTATAAATATAGCTAACCGAATACCTTTTGTATTAATTTGATTTGTATAAAAATAATTTCGTTTATTTAGCTTCAGAATAATCATAAGATTTTTTTCCGTTTTATATACACATTCCGCTTCATTCATATGTTTGTTTCCCATTTAAATGATCGCATGTTACGTAGGGATGATGAGGGAATTATAAAAGTTGATATAGTTCGAAAAAACCGTGCAGATTTCTCAGTAAGCTCGTCTAAATCGACGACTCAACATGTTTAGACAGAGAAAATCTTTGCAATCGCAATATTCTTAAATAACCAAATATGAGATAGAGGCATACGATGAAGTTCGGACGAGGAAGAGCGGTAACACAGGATAGAGTGGTCATTGACGAACGCCTACGAAATGATTCGCCAGTTTCAAGGGGGCGAAAGCGCAGCGCAGCGGAAGCATGTTTTGGAGACAAGGAGCACGTAGCTCGAGACAGGAGACAGAAGAAATTGGTGGGGAAGATAGCAGGTCCCTGCAGGATACTGGTTGGTAAAATTTAATCGACTTTGAATAAATTACTATGGATTCGGGTTTAATACCATTAAATGAAAGAAAATCGTCTATTTCTAATGAAAATGTTTAATTGCTACCAAATTCGCAAATTTTTTCTGAGTTGGTTCGCTTAGCAAGTGACGATTTAGCTGCTGCTCTTGTCCGGTCATCGCTTACAGGCGAATACGTAAACTTGTCTCTGCTGCTAAAGGTGCCGAACGTTGAACTTTCCTAATTTTGCAACGGAAGTATTCTCAAATTAAACGCCGACAGGTAAATTGAAACTGGAAATAAGGAATGTAAAGAGAAAATATTGTCCATACAAAAATGGACTAACGCATATATCATTTATTTATCAATTAAACTCTGAAATCATCCTTATAAAGTACATGATATGCTTCATTATCTCTTTAATATCTGGAAATGTGCTTCACGGCAAGGTGGTAGTGCCTGGCAAACACATACGATGACCAATTTCAGCACCGCCAGGCGTTATCACCATGAATCAATAAAGTGATATATTCTCGAATTCCTGCTATGTCTAATACCCGCAGATACACGTGCAATGTCTAATAAGGGTTCATGTACGTGGTAAAATTGCAGATTTTCTCATCATTGTTCCAAATGTGATGGGGTTCATCCAGAGTTCCAATGCAACAATTTTTCGCTGTTGACGAACTCTCAATCGTCAAAACCCCAGCCAATTTTTGCGCCAAGCCAGCTGTTAACTACTTCAGGGGCGGCACAAGGGGTCAAAATGATCCGCCAATCTCAGTAATAGTAGTCGCTGGACAGTTCAATATTTCAAATTTAGCGAAATCGCCAGTCAACGTAGAACTTCTAAAATATTTTTGTTCATTTTATGACAAAATTGAATCAGGGTTTTTATGGACGAGTTCTCTGTTCAGTATTAAGAGCCTACAGTACCGCGTGATTCAAAAAATATTACGCTCGACAACATTAAATCCAGAAATCATTCAATCGCAAATAAATAAAGAAGTCAAAGCAGGCATGGTAGCATGTCCATTCACTCAACGCAAAATATTTCCCCGATTGGTCCAGTCCCTAAAAAGCTCCACGCAATTCACCATTTGTTTTATCCCTCTGGTGAATCAATTAATGATTATATCGACCCGACACTCTGTATTTTTAATACACTCGTTTTGACGAAGCTGTCA